ATTGCTATGTTAATCATAACCCAGGGAGTGTCATTAAGAAAATAACATGGGGGGTACCTGGGGGGCCCAGTGGTTGAGCATCTGCCTTCGGCTCAGGTCATGATCCTGGAGTCCTGGGATCAAGCCCCATGTTGGGCTCCCTGCTCAACGGAGTCAGCTTCTCCCTCTCTCTCTGCCCCTCCCCACTGTTCGCTCGCTCTCTCTCAAATCAATAAAATCTTTTTTAAAAAGTGTACCCCAAAAAATCAAAGAGAATCAAAATGATATAGTAAAAAAAAAAAAACAAACACCAAAGAAAGCGATAATGAAGGGAATGAGAAACAAATAACCTAAAGGCCTATAGAAAACAAAGGGACACTCAGCTGGCTCAGTCGGGTGGAGCATGGGACTCTTGATCTCGGGGTGGTGAGTTCAAGCCCTACACTGGGTGTAGAGATTTGTTAAAAATGAAACCTTGAAAAAAAAAAAAAGAAAGGAGAGAAAATAATAAGACAACTGGGTGCGTCCTTATCCATAACTATCTTAGTTGCAAGCAGAGTACGTAAACTACAATTAAAAGACAGAACTGGTAGGATGGATGAAAAGAATGATCAAATTCTGTGCTACCCATGAGACTCATTTTGGGGTCCAAAAACAGCAAAAGGCCGACAAGTTTCTAATGCAGGCCTTTCATGAAAGTGTTAAAACATGAACTTTTGAAAAGTGGGTGATACCTGTATAGAAAATCAGAATCTCAAAACATGAGAGGCACCGAACTCTGGGAAACGAACAAGGGGTAGTGGAAAGGGAGGTGGGCAGGGGGTTGGGGTGATTGGGTGACGGGCACTGAGGGGGGCATTTGGCGGGATGAGCACTGGGTGTTCTGCTATATGTTGGCAAATTGAACTCCAATAAAAAAAAATTAGAATCTCATTAGGTTGAAATTTGTCAAATATATGGAAATCCTGAGTCCATAAAAATATTAGATACGTTTTTTTTTCCCCTAAGTTTTTATCTAATTACTCATAGAGACACACAGAGAGAGACAGAGACACAGGCAGAGGGAGAAGCAGGCTCCTCGCGGGGAGCCCGATGCGTGACTCGATCCCAGGACCCCAGGGTCACGCCCTGAGCCCAAGGCAGACGCTCAACCACTGAGCCACCCGGGTGCCCCCAGAAATATTTTTTTAAAGCTAATTCGCTACCTTCTCAGGATGAAAGAGAACCATTTATTAGCTTAGAAATGAAGCAAACAAAACAGGAAAGCCCAGCATTTATCCTGTATTTTCTCTATGTACCACTGGGAGCCAAGTCAGAGGTGCAGGAGAGCATCTCTTTACGGCTAACAAACGAAAATGAACAGAGAGAAAGACCTCTACTTTGCAGTCCCTGCTGAATCTGCCATCAGGCACCGATCACCAATGGCGTCCAAGGCTGCTAACATCACAACAGAAAAGCTAGACACCAAGTACGTCCCGATGAAGGAACAGCACCTAGAGTCTTGTCAAAGAGCGTGGACCTGCATGTGGTCAGCTCCCTCAATGCAGCTGCCAGCTTGCAGAGGACTGTGTCGGACCGCACCAGGGGTGTTCGACGATGGGGCCCAGGGCTCAGTCCTCCAAAAAGCTGTGAGGCCAGGAAAGGCTGGGAGGAGGGTGTGGACAGCCAGAGACAGCAGCTGAGCGAGCAAGATGGCACTGCAGTGTTTGCACCACGGCCACACTTGAGTGTGACCATAATAAAAGTCCAGAACAGCGGTCGTTTTTGGAGGAGGGAGCAGGCTGCATTTGGTTTGAGGTGCACGGAGGGGCTTGGGGGTGGCTGGCACATTTGCAGTTGTGAGCTGAGTGGTGACTGCTCGGGGTTACAGTAATCCCCACACTGTGTACTTACTTCCCACGCCTGATTTTACTTTACAGCAGCGTAAAAGTTAACATCGACCGTGAGCTTACAACCTGTGAGGTACTACTCTAAATTCTCTGCACGTGGTAACGCATTCCATTGTCCCAACAACTATGAAAGACAACTCTCGTTTGTTTTACGGATAAAGAAATTGAAATACAAACGTTAAGCTATAAAAAATGAGTGAAAAGATACCGTCTCTCACTAGGAACCAAGGAAACACAAATTCAACCATGATCCCATTTTCCCAGCGCTCAGCAGGCAGGAATCGGCAGTGATAGGATGAGGGACGAGGCACCGGCCTTCAAACGGAAGCGGGAACTCTGCACCCTCTCGCCACACCGGTCCCATACTAGGGAAATTCTCGGCAGGTACGGAAGACTACACTACTAAGATGTTCACAGCAAGCTGTTTGTAATAGACAAAAACTGGAAAACATCAGAAAGGAACATAATAAAATGTGGCACGTTTGTAAGAGAAAAGACCATAGCAGTTAAAGCCAATTAAACAGCTCTGGAGATACCAGCACAGATGCCCTCTCACATCCCTGCTTAGTGAAAAAAGCAAGTTGCAAAATAAACCATCCTGTGTGATACCATTTGTTTCAAAGTCGCACAAAAAGTTACTCTTCGCATATACGCTCACGTCTGGGAAGAGCTAACATCTGCTAGAGGTAAACACAAGGGAGTTGTGATCACAGCCTTGGAGGAGGAGAAGGGGCTGTGACACAGCGGGGACTCAAGGGCTGTTTCAGCGTCAGCTACTTTGTTTTTATTTTAAAAAATACAAAGCAGGGGCGCCTGGGTAGCTCAGTGGGTTAACTGAGCTAAGAGCGTCTGACTCTTGGTTTCAGCTCAGGTCCTGATCTCAGGGTCGGGCTCCGGGCTGAGCAGGGAGTTTCCTTGACGTTCTCTCCCTCTCTCCTTCTGGCTCTCCCTGCACGGAGGGTGCATACTCCCTCCCTCTCTCTCTCACACAAATAAATCTTTAAAAAATAAATAAAATAAAAATGCAAAGCAGCGCAAGAAAAGAGTTTATCTGTCCGGCAGTGGCAAGTGGCTGTCGTAGGCTGCGCCAGTCGGGCCTACAGCTAACACAGCAGAGCAAGGCACGGCAGTTGGGGGCCGAGGCAAAGCTGGCCTGTGCCTGCTGCAGGCTCGCACGCGCCGCGGTCTGTGCCAGGCGACCTTAGCCGTGGTGGGGCCCACCCCTGGGGCTTGCTGCACGGAGGGGTCAACACACGTGGAACTCCTGGCCCGGAGCCTGGCCTAGAGGAACAGCACACGGACATGTCAGCTCTCATCGTCACAAGGGGCATCACCCGGGCCTGTGGAGGCACCCAGAGGGTAACGGCAGAGAGGACGAGAGGGCTTGCTGCTCTGTTCTCTGACCTGTTTGTTCAGCAGCACACGGATGGGTCTGCTTTGTGAAAACTCGAGTACGTTTTATGATTCACGCGCCTTCCCGTACGTGTGCCACGCTGCAATCAGACTTACAAGGAAAGAAAGGGTTATGGAAAATTGTGTTAAATGACGCTCTGGACCTAGCAACGGTCCGTAAGCAAAGACGGAGACCAAAGGACTAGAGAGAGTTTCCCTGGATTATGGACTCAAAAAGAAAATCATCTGCGAGAGTTGTCGGCAAACATTCCTTCCAAAGATGGAAGCGATAAGGAGCAAAAGCTGAGTCGGGCATTTTAAGCGAAGAGTGACATCGTTGCCACAGTTGCGTGAACCTCATTATGAACAAGATCCCACTTAAGAATTTGTTAGGGATGCGACCTTGAGCGTCCATTGATGGGAAAAAGAAAAGCAAAACAAAAAACAGTGACTTCTACGATTTCCTTTACCCGGCGCAGGCAAACGAGAGGAAGACAAAGGAGAGGGCTAACACGAGCCTGGCAAGGAGGGGCTGATCCGCGGCGAAGGGGGCGAAGGGGGCAGCGGCCGGGCTGCGACACTGTATTTTGCAAGTTTCACCCGAAAGGGCCAGAGCGGCGATGGGCGGGGCACGGTGCCTCCAGGACGGGCCCTGCCGACCTGCCGGACCTGCCGACCTGCGCCCCTGCTCCGGACGACCCAGGGGGGCGCAGGCGCGCGCCGCCCGGACTCACCTGCAGCTGTCCTGGAAGCGGCACTTGCCCTCCAGGAAGAACGGGCAGGGCTTCAGGGACTTGTGCGTGGGGTAGAGGTAGAGCACCCGCACGCCCGCAGAGCCGTCGCGCGCCGCCTCGGTGCCCACGATCATGGCGTTGTGGTACTCCAGCGTGCCCCAGGGGCTGTGGTAGGGCGCGTTCACCTTGCGGCCGCTCAGCGCCTCCTCCTCGTCGCCGTCGCCGTCCCCGTCGCCGTCCCCGTCCTCGTCGCCGGCCCGCGCCTCCTCGCCCTGCCCGGGCCCGGGCCCGCTGGGTGCCGGCTCGCGCTCGGGAGCCGTGTCCGGCGCGGCCCCGGGGGCTGCGGGCGCTGCGGGCCCCGCCTGCTGGGAGCCGCGGCCGTCGGCGTCGCCCTGGGCCGCGCGCTCCCCGTCCAGCGCGGCCAGCAGCTTGCTCTTCCGGACGGACACCAGGCTGGCCTCGGTGAGCTCGATGAGCTCCTGGAGGTCGCCGCGCAGCTGCCGCAGGTCGGCCAGCTCCGAGGGCTCCAGGCCGGCGCCCAGCGCCAGCTCCACCTGCTGCAGCTGCGCGTCATAGGTGTGCAGCGCGGCCTGCAGGCTCTCCTCGTCCATCCTGCGGCCCGGCGGGCGGCGCGGCTGCAACGACCGGGAGCCCCTGAGCGCCGCGCCGCCCCCCGCCTCGCCTCGCCTCGCCCCGCCCCCGCCCCCGCCCCCGCCCCCGCCCCCGCCGCGGCCCGGCCCGGCCCGCTCCGCCCGCCCCGTCGCCTCGGGCCCCGGCCCCGTCGCCCCAGACCGCGCCCCCTCGCCCGGGCCGGGCCCCTCCTCCGCGCGGGCTCCCGGCCGCCGCCATAGAGCCCCGCCGGCCTCACCGGCTAGAGCGGCCGGCGCCCCCGCCTCCGCCCTCGCAGCCCACCGGCACTTCCTCCCGGGCGCCGCCGCCACCGGAAGTGCCTCGCGCGGGGGACGCCGGGACGCGGCGCGCGGGGAGCGTCGGGACGGCCCCGCCCCCCCGCGGCCTGCGTCCCGTCGGGCGCCGCGCGAGGTCAGCGCGGGGTCGGCGCGGGTCGGCGAGGTCAGGCGCGGGCGGCCCGCGGCCCCGCGGCCCCGACGGGCGCCAGGTAGCGCGGGCCGGTCGCCCCGGGGGCGGGGGCGGGGGCGGGGCGGGGCCTCGGGGGGCCTCGGGGCCTGCACCCGCCGTCGGGCCGCGACACCCGCCGGCCGCCGCCTCGCAGCCCGGCTCGGGGGGGGGGGGGGGGGCGCGGACGCCGCCAGGGGCCCCCGCTGCGCGGCCGCCGGGCACCTGCGGGGGCGGGGGCGGGGGCGGGGGCGTCGCGGCCCCGGGAGCCTGACGTCACGGCGGGCCTTCGGGGGCGGGCGGCGGGGGGGAGGGGACGGGAGGGGGCGGGGGAGGGGAGCGCCCCGGCTGCGCCCGCCCGCCGCGACCGCCGCCTCCGCCGCGCAGGCAGGATGTACACGCTGCTGTCCGGCCTCTACAAGTACATGTTCCAGAAGGACGAGTACTGCGTCCTGATCCTGGGGCTGGACAATGCGGGCAAGACGGTTGGTGCCCGCCCCCGGCCCTCCCCCTCCGGGCGGCCCCGCCCGCCCCCGCGTGCCCCCCGCGTGCCCCCCGCGTGCCCCCGCCCGCCCCCGCCCCGAGCCACCCCCAGCCCCCCGGGAACGGACACCGGGGAAGCCGCCCTCACCTCCCGCGCGCGCGCGCGTCCTCTTCGCAGACGTTCCTGGAACAGTCGAAAACCCGCTTTAACAAGAACTACAAGGGGATGAGTCTGTCCAAGATCACGACCACCGTGGGCCTCAACAGTAAGGGCGCCCCGGGCCGCGTCAGGGAGCCCGGAGCAGAGCGGCCCTGCCCTGGCCTGGCCGGGAGGTGGCGCGCGGGGCAGCGGGTCCCCGGCCTGAGCGTGTCCTCTCCCCTCTCCCCGCAGTCGGCACTGTGGACGTGGGAAAGGCTCGCCTCATGTTTTGGGACCTGGGGGGCCAGGAAGAGCTGCAGTCGCTGTGGGACAAGGTAAGCCGCTGTCCGCTGTGCCACGTAGGGCCCCGGCCATGCCCAGGCCGCCCCTCGCACCACTGCCTCCAGGGACAGCCCCGGCCGAGCCTCCCGTCAGCTCCCACCCCGCTGTGTCCCTGAGGCTTCCCCCAGCCCTGTCCCAGCCCCCCGGTGCCCCCACCCTCCAGAGTGAGGACCTGCCGGTTTCCTTTTGATTCAGAGATTTGCTTCCGATGGGTACAGGCCGGGACGAGAGGTGGCCCGGAAGCAGGTGCGGGCAGGCAGGAGGCCTGGGGTGCTGGGCTTCAGCGCCGGGGCCTCCTCCCGGGTTCTCCCGCAGGACCTGTCCTCTGCGGCGTCCTCCTCCCCGCCTGGCGACGGTGCCCCTGGAGGCCTAGAGCGGCTGCCTCCCTGACATCCGGGGTGTGTCTGGGACACCTGTGCGCTGTCCTTCCTCCCTCACGCCCCCAGCCCTGGCCGCCTTGCGCTGGGCGCGTGTAAGCAGAACACACCTAGCCCTGCCCTCGGCCGCCCCTCAGGAGGATCGCTGTGGCTCCGGTGCAGCCCCGCTTCTGGGAGCACAGGCGTGTGCCCTGACCCGTACCAGTCGTCCCTGTGTTTAGAACCGGGTGTCCAGGTCGGGGTTTCTGGTCTGACTGCGGCAGCAGGGACCTCGGTCATCCTCTAAAGTGTTTTTTTTTGTCCTGACTTGTATTGACGAGGCCATCTGTCCTGTGGCCAGACGGTCACCAGCAGATTCTCCAGCCAGTCAAGTTGGACCGAGGCGCAGGAGGCCAGGGCCTGCTCTTCTAAACCAAGACCCCCGGGGGCGTGAAACGGGTCCTCACGTCCCATCTCAGGCCAGGGTCTGAGGAGCAGACTGTGAGGCGGAGGCCGGGGCAGGATGTGTTAGACGACTAGCACCGGGCGGGGACCTGGGGGGATGTGGGGCTGGGCGGTGAGGAGGGTCAGCCCGGGTCCCGGCGGGCAGGGGGCCATGGGGGCGCTTGCTCCTCAGACCAGTCCCACACCAGGCCGAGCTGACCAGGACTCAGCTGCCGGCTGGGTCACCACCGTGGGCTACCTGGGGCGGCTGTGATTCGGGGAGGACGCATTTGGGTTAAAATAGGTGCTGCAGGACCAACGGGTTCATCCCCCGGGTGCACCGCCTGCCATGGGGTTCTGCACCGGTCACGCAGCCCATCGCACGTCTGACTGGGGCACGGCTCCTCCAGGACTGGCTCTCGGTCGGGCAGAGCTGTGGGGGCTTTGAAGCTGGCAGCGCCCCCCCCCCCCCCCGCCACCACTCCTGTCAGCGGTGTGGCTTGTCACGAGGGTCAGAGCCTAGGTCCCTCAGCCCCGCTTCTGCGGTTGACCTCTTGGTTCCTCGTGAGCTCCCGCCAAGGGGGCAGGTATCCCTGCCGGGCCGGGGTCTCTGCTGGCCTCTGAACCCACCTCGTGCACGTGCCGAGCAGGCCGTCGGGGGCTGTGACTCAGCAGGTCTCTTGCTGAGCCTTTGGTAAAGGGCTGCCCGGGAGGTGGCCACATGGGCCACCCCCTGGCCAGAGCTGTGAGGAGGGCAGTGGAGGCCTTGTGGGTCCCCAGGACGGTGGGAGTAGAGCTCCACGTGCCGCGCCCCGCAGCCTGGCCCCCGCGTGCTCGGTCTGGCGCTGGGACATGGTTGGGCTTGCTGGCCTTTTGTCCCTGGCAGGTGACCAGTAGCCCTTCCCCACGGTCCCTGCCTCCATCCAGGCTGAGCGCTGCTGCCTGCGGTGTGTCCACGTACCAGCCTAGGCCGCAGCTTCCCAGCAGATGAGACGTGGACTCCCTGCGCCTGCCCCGGGGGCACTTCTGGCCTCTGCCCCTCCAGGCCACACCAGCAAGACCGTCGTGTGGCCGTGGGGAATCAGCGGTGCCGTGGGGTCGAGGCAGCTTGCCATGTCCCTGGCCCTGGTCATGCTCAGCCCCAGATGTCCCAACTCCCGTCCGTCACGCGCTTCTGGGCCATCACCTGCCCGGGCCAGGCCGCACATTGCGGGGGGCTGCGGGGTGAGCCCCTTCCTGCCACAGACACCTGCTGTCGGGCCGGCCGGCCCCCAGTTGTCAACAGCAAGACAGCGTGCTGCTTAGAGCCCCTGCGGCCCTCTGCGCACCCAGGGCGTGGGCTGCAGGAGTGCTGGTGCGCCAGTGACTGACTCCGCCCCTCCACGAGCCCTGGCTGCACCCTGAGGGTTTCCCGGTTGTCAGGGTCTCGGCTCATTGGCCACTCACGCATCCCACCGGTGTCGTGTGTTGTGTGTGGATGTCCCAGGTTTCTGGGCTCTTGTGGCAGCTGTGGCAAAGTGGCAAAGATGCTGGTGCTTGCCGGATACGGAGACTTTCAGGCTCTCTTCTGATTGGGGTAGAAAGGGGGCTCCCCCAGTCTAGCCGTGTGCCTCGTGCCCCACATTCCAGGGGCCCGCTCCTCGCGTGCCCTACTTCATGCATCTGTCTTTCCGGCTTTGTCTGCAACAGAACTCTTCCCGGGCCCTGGGCCCTGGCGCTACTGCCGTGTGTGTGCCCGGGGCTGACCGCTCTGTCCTTAGTCCCGCCTGTCCGCTTGGTGGCTTTTCTGCGGCTCGTCAGTGGTATGGCCATCAGGCCTGCCGTCCGTGCGGGCACGTGACCTGACTGGTGCCCCTCCCTCCACTGCCCTAACTGCACGGGGACCCGCTTAGCTCGGGCTCCTCCAGCCGCTGTCAGGCCAGCAGTCATGGGCAGTTCCCAGGAACAGGTGCTAAAGTGGGATTTGGGGGTGTAGCACCCAGGAAGTGGACAGAGGGTGGTGGCCACGCCCTGCCCAAGGTCAGCAAGCCCTCCCTGAAGGAATCGAGGGCTGCATCGTCCTTTTGCCCCACCTTCCCACTCCCTAAAGGCGCCCCAGGAGGGTCTTCCAGTTGGGGGCTGGCCTTGGGGTGGCCAGGTGCCTGTGGCCCAGCACCCCACTTTCTGCCCTCCCCAGTACTATGCGGAGTGCCATGGTGTCATCTACGTCATCGACTCCACAGATGAGGAGAGGCTGTCGGAGTCCAAGCGGGCATTCGGTGGGTACGGGGGTTAGGGCTGGAAGGAGGCTGGGGACTGGTCAGGTCCAGCGCGCCCGCCTGTGCCCCTGGGGCTGCCCTTGGCCGGAGGCGGGGCCGCACCAGGCAGGTGGGGCTGTGGCCGCGTGCGTGAACGCGCTTGCGCAGAAGCCCTCACTGCCCACGTCTGCACCCGCTCCAGAGAAGATGGTGACGAGTGAGGCGCTGGATGGTGTCCCCATCCTCGTGCTGGCCAACAAGCAGGACGTGGAGGTGAGCTTCCCCGCGGGGCGGTCCCCCGCCGCCAGGGCAACGGGGGGCCTGCCCTGGACACCCCCGTAGCCACGTTTGTCCCGGTGCACATGACCTTCCCCAGGTGCGGGTGCCTTCTCCGCACAGGGGGGCAGGGGCGGCTGGAGGCGTGGCGGGGAGACCCTGTGCGCAGGGGGGTCCCGGGGCGGGGGTCTACTCCGGCCTTGCCCTGCCGCCCCGGGGACTTCCCCCGCTGGCCCGGCTGCGTCTGCCCCTGGCGTCCTGCGGCCCGCATGCCCCCGCTCCTCCCCTCCGGAGCCCAGCCCCTGCCAGCGGGACGGCGTCCTGCCCTCAAGGCTTCCCCCCCCAGACCTGCCTGTCGATCCCCGACATCAAGACGGCCTTCAGCGACTGCACCTCCAAGATCGGCAGGCGAGACTGTCTGACCCAGGCCTGCTCGGCCCTCACGGGGTGAGTGGGGCCCTCCTCCCCGGGCGGGGGCCCAGCCGGCCCCGCCTCACGCCCGCTGTCTCCACAGCAAAGGGGTGCGCGAGGGCATCGAGTGGATGGTCAAGTGCGTCGTGCGGAACGTGCACCGGCCGCCGCGGCAGAGGGACATCACGTAGGCGTGGCTGGTGTCGCGGGTGCCCACAGCTCGTCCTGAGTGCCAGAGGAGCGCTCCTGCCGGCTCCGTGCCTCGGTCCTGGGGCGCGGGCTTGCTTTGCTCTGGGGTTTTTTTCATTTGCTTTGTTTTTTCTTTAAGACAAATTTTTCTGTGTCCATAAAAGCGTAGGTATCGGGGGGCTTCTGCCGAGGGGAGTCGGGGCCCCCACACGACCCCTGCCGAGCTTCCCCGGGGCAGGGGTCCTCCGGGCAGCAGGGGAGGCTGCTGGGCTCCTGACCGTCCCATCTCCGTCCCTGCTGGGCCTGGAGGAGGCTGGTGTCCTCAGGCAGGGGGACTGCCGGTCGCGGCTGTAGGCCCCTGGGGGTTCTGAGGCCCCAGGAGTCGGCCTGGGAGGCTGTGTCCTCCCCACCCTGGCCTGACGTCACCTCCTTTTGCTCCCCAGCAGGAGGGGAAGGAGGAGTGTCCCCTTTGTGTCTGCTGCTGACCTGGGACCAGTGTGAGGCAGGGGCAGGCTGCGTTCCTGTGGGGCCAGGTGGCTGCTTGGCCTTTGTTCCCAGCGGGGGGAGGGGGCGTCCCTGTCCTGTCTGGGAATAAGCTGTCTCGAGACCCATGTCTGGGCCTGTGCCTGCTAACAGGCCCCCAGGTGAGGCTGGTTCGCGGGACGCACCCCCCCTTGTTCGAGACACCCCCCCCCCCGCCCCGGGACCTGCAGTGGCCTGGAGTCCTGGGGTCCTGGCTGCAGTCAGGAGTCCAATGGGCCGGCACTGGCTGGAGTGTGTCCAGAGCCACAGCAGTCTGGGCTACGCTCCGTCGCCCTCCTAACCCCACCCTGGGTTGTGGGCCCTGGCCGTCGGCATGGTGACCACAGCACAGGGGCCCCTGGGCTAGAGCTGAGACCCACCTGGGCACCGCCTTTCCGCTTCTGTGGGCGCGCCTGAGCCAGAGCCGGCGACCCAGGTTTGGGGGTGAGGTCCGACCCGCTAGCCTGGCAGCCCCTCCCGACCCCCCCGTGGGGACATGGGAGGGTTGCTGGGAGAGAGGAGTCAGGACTGGGGGTGGGGAGGCAGCTGCAGGTGAGGTGACTCAGGGGGAGTCATGGGCCACAGGGTGGTTCCCCCCCTCCCCCGGGGCCCCTCCTGGGATCGGTGCTGGGAGTCCCCCGGCTGCTCTGGAACCGTCCAGCCCTCTTCTGAGACCGTCTTGAGGGGAAAAGCTGTGTTTTCCAGAAAGTGCCCAGGAAGCACCGGGGGAGGTGCTTGGCTGCGCCTCTCCTGGGAAATCCCCAGCGGGCGCCGGGAGCGCCATCCAGCCGGCCCGCTCCCCCAAGAGCCCCTGCGCTTGGCGCCACCGCCCTCCACCGTCCTGGCCACAGCTGGAAGGGACATACCTGCTGCCCACTGGGCCTCTCCAGCCGCCCCAACTGTGGAGGGTCTGTCCGCCGGGGGCGGGCATGGGGAGCTTGAGCCCGCCCACCCGATGTGCCCGCCGCGCCCCCCGCAGACACGGTTTCACACGACCCCTTTCACAAAACAGCTTTATAAAAATAAACTTTGTTAGCGCAACAGGAGCCCGGTGGGTCAGCCAAGGTTCCTTCAGTGCCGGGGTGAGGCCCGCGTGGGGCGGGGTGCTCAGTGCGCCCAGAAGCGCGCGCGGACGCTGCGCTCCAGCCCCGGCAGCCGGGCCTCCCGCAGCGCCCGCAGCAGCCGCCCCGCCAGCGCCCCGGCCCGGGCCTCGCGGAGCTCCAAGAGCTGCCACCGCAGCTTCAGCTGCAGCTCCGCGCGGCCCTCCCTCGGTGGTACCGGCCCTGGGGCCTCGGGGCCCGCCAGCGCGTGCCACAGTCGCAGGAACTTCTTGAAGGACAAGTCCTGGAACGCCACGAAGTCGATGAGGGCGCGCTCACACTCCTCGGCCCCTGCAGGAGGTCGGGACCCAGTAGGAGGGGCCCCGGGGGGCAGGGCTGGGGCCCACTTGGCCGGCGTGTGGCCTCTGGGGAGCAGTGGGATCCCAGATGGGGCGTAGGGCGTTCACCAGCCCCTCCCCCCCCAGGCTGCTCACCTGGCGCCCCTGGCTCCGCGGTGCTGAGCGGGAAGCCCACGCAGGTGGTGCACAGGGCGTCGTGGGAGGGGGAGCCGGGCACGTTGAGGGTGAGGCCCAGGGCCGAGCAGTTGCGGTGCGGCTGGCAGCGCTCCGAGCTGGAGCTGCGGGCCGAGAACGTGCCAGGGCCGCAAGGCTGGCACTGCGTGTTCTGGCTCGGGGTGCCTGGGGCGAGATGCGGGCCGGGGTCAGGGGGACCGCTCCCTCGCTGCAGCCGCCGCTGTCCCCCAGGGCCCCGCCGCCCGCCCGCCCGCCCACCCACCGGGGACAGCGACGCCACTGCCAGGCGGGCAGGGCTCGTGCTCCAGGCAGAAGCCGGCGTGCGCGAAGAAGCCGGGGCGGCAGCGGCAGGCCCGGTTGTGGGTGGGCTCGCAGGGCCGCGCCTCCTCCTCGCGCTCCCCGCAGATGACGTTGCAGTAGCGGCAGCGCTCCAGGTAGTTCCAGAACTGCGTGTAGTGGCGCGGGGGGCACGCGCCGCACGTCGTGGGGCTGTCCCGGCGGCACGGCTGCTGCACGAAGGTGCCGGGGGGACACTGGCTGCACACCAGCCACTCCCGCGTCTCCACGTCCCGCCACGGGTAGGTGAGCGCGCCTGTGCCCGCCGCCCAGGGCGCCGCCAGAGCCAGCAGCAGGGCGGACAGTGCCCACGGCGGGGTCAGGGGCGGCGGGGCCCGCCTCTCCCGTGCACACATGGCTGTGACTGGCGGCGGGGACACCAGGACACGCACCGGCCCCAGCCGCCCCGGCAGCCCCTCCCCGGGCCACCCGCTCCCACAAGCGCCAGGCCGGTGGCCTTTATGGGGTGGCCGGGCCACGCCCCCCGGGGGAGGGCTCGCGACGTCCAGGCCCTGCTGGCGGGTTGTCGGCAGCGTCACCACGGCCCCTCCCCCACCAGGAAGCCCCTCGCCCCGCCTGGCGCCAGGCTGCCTGGGGGTGGAGGCAGGGCCCCAGGGGTGAGCACGCCCACCACCAGCCCGGGCAGCGGGGGGGGGGGGGGGGGGACGGGACACGACAACGGCTGGACGTGGGGCTGTCCCCGTCCCTCTCCGGCCGGCCCTGAGGACGCAGGCTGAGCCCCGCAGGACGTGTGTGCATCTGGCAGGAGGGCCCCCCTCCCAGCACCTCACAGCCCTCCGCAAGCCGCAAGCCGCGACAGTGTCAGCAACTTTATTACGCGGCCGGTCACCTGATTAAAAGCAGGTCCAGGGCCCACACAGGGTCCAGAGGGCAGGGCACAGGGGTGCCCCACCTTCCAGTCCTGGTCTCGGGGCTCCACCCACAGTCAGCAGCCAAGAGGACTTCCCAACCTGCACCTCTCTGCTGACAGCCACCCCGACCTCGAGGTGGCTTGGGCCTTCCGGGCAGGCCCACACCCCGTGAAGAGCACGTGTCCGGCTGCGTGTCCTGGGAGCGTCCGCCTGCCCCGGGGTCTGCGCGCTCACCGGGGCTCCGGCCAGAACACCTGCGCGATGCTCTGCTTCCTGGCGGGGGCGCGGCAGGCCGGGCAGGTCCTAGAGGCCTGTGGACACAGGACAGTGCTGCCCGGCGCCGCCGGCCGCCCCCCAGCCCACCGGGTGCCGCAGGGCCCCCGCTGCCAACCTGGAGGAGCCGGCGCCAGCAGGCCCAGCAGCGGTGGAAGTCGCAGGCAGGGCACTGGAAAGGGACCGTGTCCTCCAGCCCGCAGCCCGGGCACGCCAAGCCTGCTGCAAGGGGCGTCCGTGAACGGGCACCGTGGCGGCTGGTCCCCCCACCGCCAGCACGCCCTGCACCCCCAACACCTACCCCACTCGGGCTGTGCATGCCTGCGGGGGGCGCTGGGGGGCTGCCTGGGAGCCCCCGCATCCCCGACGGGCCTCGGTGGGAAGAAGGCAGAGATCTTGCTCTGGGTGGTCCCCGGCTTCTCTTGCTGGGGGGCGCCTGGAGACAGCGGCCAGTGAGCGCGGGGCGGGGCGGGGCGGGGCTGCTCTGCGGTCCACCCTGCGGGCGGGCCCCAGCCTACCTGGAGGGGCGAGGTCCGGCGGCGCGGTGGGGGCCCCCTCCTGGGGGCCTGGCCCGGGCCCCGTGCTTGGGGCAGCCTCCGTGCTTGGGGCAGCCGGGCCCATCAGGTCCGCGCACGTCTGCCGGAAACGCCGCTTGTGGTGAGGTCTCAAGAACATGCTGAACCCTGCGGGGAGCGGGTGGGGCTCAGCCCTGCCTGCCCCCCCACCCCCCCACCCCCGCCACGGCTCCTGCCCCGCGGGCCCCTCGGCGCCACACACTCTGCAGCAGCGGGAAGTCCTCAGGCCTCGACGTGGTGAGCGCGGCCACCACAGGCACCACCTTCTCCAAGTCATCGTCCCGCTTGTAGGCGGTGAGCGCGGCCAGGAGCTGGCTGCAGCCCGTGGACCCCAGGGCCCTGCGGACGTCGGCCAAGTAGGCCCTGGCGGCAGGCGGGCCTTGCCTCTGTGCAGCGGCGGCGGCTCTGGGCTCCTCCCCGGGCCGGCTGCTGGGGTCTCCTGGAGGGGAGGGACATCCCAGGGCCTCCGTCACCTGGCGCCTCCCTCACCTTGGGATGCAGAACTGGAGCAGCCCCCACCCGCGAGATCCTCCCCGCCAGGCGCCGTGGGCTGTTCCCGGCCTGGCCTGAAGCTCCAGGGGCTGCTACCTGCAGGTGCCCGCCCGGAGAGCAGGTGCGGTCCGCCCTGGTTCAGGTGCTGCCCGGGGTCCAGCTGCCTGGCCACCCCCTGGGACAGGGTCAGCTTTAGGTCACACTCCCCGCTTCCTGGAGGGACATGGACACATGTGGAGCCACCCAGCTGGTCCCGAGGCCTGGCATGCTCCCCGGGGAGGAGGCAGGTCCAGGGGACACGGACGGACCCACAAGGCCCATGAGACCACAGCAGGGGCACCCAGACCCGCAGGGGCCAGTTCAGAGAGGCCCCAGTGGACCTCAAGCCCAGAGAGGACAGGGGCGACTCAGGCTGGAGGGTCCCCGCCTGGGAGGTCGAGCATCCTCCTAAGCCAGGTCCCCGTGACACCAGGCCGCGGAGTCCGTGCTCAGGGCCGGCTGTCTGCTAACCACGGGGACAGGGGCTCCGAAGTGTGGAGGCGCAGGGCGCACTCTGGGTGGATGCAGGAGGGGCCTCCTGGACCCCTGCACGTGGGCCACCCCAGGGGCCCCGGGGGCACGCGCCTCCCCCCCCCAGCGGAGCTCCACCCAGCTGCCCTGCAGGGCCGACCCCGCACCCCCGCACCCAGGGCCCAGCGCTGGCCTGCTCACCCCTGGGGGCCGGGGCCGCCGCCCGCTGCCGCGGAAGGCTGTGCTCGGGCTGGTAGCCGCAGCCGCGGCCTGTCCGCTGCACGCAGGCCTCCTCGAACCGCTGCTTGTGGTGCGGCCGCACAAACTGGTAGAAGCCTGTTGGGAGGGCGTCTGGCCTGCAGGTGTGCCCTGTGCCGAGCACCCCACCTCCCCAGGGGCCGGGACAGGCGTGGAGCCTGGTGCCCCCCGGGATGGGCGACCCCCCGGGCCAGCGCACCTTGGAGCAGGCCGTGCTTCTTGGGGTCCTCGGCAAAGAGAGGGCCGAGGCGGGCCAGCAGCGCCTCGAAGTCGTCGGAGCTCTTGTAGTCCTGCAGGGCCCTGGTGAAGGTGTCAAAGCTGGCCTGGCTCAGCGCCTGCTTCACGGCCACCATGTACAGCTTGGCCCTGCCCGCCTGCGTCTCGGCTGCCGGCCCCTCCTGCCGGGCACAGGGCCAGGCCGTTCAGGTGGGGCTGCTGCTGCTACCGCGGGCCCGGGGCCGGGGGTGGCTCCAGCTGGGGACGGCCATGCCCCTCGGGAACAGCAGAGGCGGCCCGGGCTCAGAGGACAGGCGGCCCAGAAGGGGGACGTCTGGATGGAGGGGGACGTCAAGCCCGCAGGCCTCCCCCTGGACTGCCGGCCAGGAAGCCCGGGAAGCACACAGGACGGCTGCAGCCTCCCACGTCCCCGTCCAGTGCGGCCCGATGCCAAGGCCCCTGGCACCCTGCCCACCTCCAGACGGCACCAGCCCCCCTGCCCTGGGCACCGCCTGCTTCTTCCCAGAAGCCCAGGATGATGGACAAAGGCAAGTGGTACATGGGGCTTTCCAGGGCTTTCCTGGCCCGGGCCCTCCGTGCCCTTAAACGCTTTCATCTGAGGGAAGGCAGACCCTCCCCACGCTTGGCACGTCCCCACGCGGCAGCGGGAGCCCAGCGCAGCCCGATGCAGGCCCCACATCCAAGCAGCCTCCGGCCGGGGCCTGCCTTCAGTCGGCTGGACCGTCGTGCCATCTGCGAAGCGCGGTCCCATTAAAGCACGACAAAGTGGAAGGCCCAGGGCTGGGCCCACGCGTGCGGGACTGCAAGCACGGGGCACGCAGGTGGGAGGCGCCGTGGGGCCGGGTCAGGCACGCACGCTGCAGGGGCGCCGAGCTGCTGAAATGCCCTCCAGGTCGTCGGGCCCTGTGTGGCCCGGGCCCGGACAGAAGCGGTGGGCGCTCGGCGGCAGCCCGAGCCCCGGTCGGAGGGGCCTGGAGCTCACGACAGCCTGAAACGACGCTCCTTTAAACACTGAGGCCCACGCAGGTGGGGGGGCGCAGGCGTCGGACAGCCCAGGGCGTGGGGCCACACTGTGCCCCTGGGAGGGCAGCGAGGAGGCCCTGCCACACACCCCGCGCACTGGGGGCCGCACGCCTGTACCTCCTGCCCCCGCCGGGCGTGCGTGCGGGCGGTTCACGTACCTGACGGTCACCCAGCACCCTGATCTTCCTCCGCCCCGCTCTCTGCTCCTGGGCCGCCCTCTTCTCACGCAGGACGGACGAGGTGGGGAGGTCTAGTGCCTGAGGGGGACACGCTGTGGTCCGGCCAGGCCCTCAGCGCCCCCAGAGCCCGTGATGCACCACTGGGCCCACAGGCAGGGGGGAGCTCCCTCGTGGCTCGCAGGCTCGGGGACCCTGTGTTCATGGCCAGGGTGGGGGTCGCTGTGGCAGCGGGGCTCCCCAGGGCCCAGGGAGCGGGACAGGCAGGGGTGGGCATGTGCCCAGGGCTGTGCAGGGTATGGGGTGCGGGGTGCAGGGCCCGGGGCGCAGGGAGCCCTCCCGCCGCACAGCTTGGGCTCCCACAGGCCTGGCCTCTGGCGCCGCGGCAGCTCCCAAAGGGCGCCAAGGGGTGCGCGGGGGCAGCGGCCGCCTGGGGGTTTCCAGGAGGGAGCACGGATGGGTCCCAGGCCACGTGCCAGAGTCTGGGGGTGTGTGTCTGGGCCCCGCACCTGCTCCTCCTCGGGGGGCGCCTTGTCCCCAGGCCCCCCGGCCTGCTGCTCACTGTGTTCTAGGGCGGCCAGCAGTCCCACAGGCCTCCGCGGGGCGAGGCCCAGCTCCTGCTCATACTCCACACACAGGCTGCTCTCGGCGTCCCTGGCGGCCGGCGACCCTGCAGGAGCACGGGCATCACCCGCAGAGCCCATGGGGGCGCAGGAGGCGGGAGGCAGGAGGGGAAGGGGCGGGCCAGGCCCCCAGCAGCACGCAGCCCCGCCCAGCTGTGTCACCCGGGGAACACGTACCCGGGGGTGTCCGCCTCAGGCTGGGGACGTGCACATCCAGACTCTTGGCCTTCCTGGTGGAGAGGGGCCCAGGCGACGCGGCCACCACGGCAGCACCAGCTCCCTCACCCAAACTTGGGGCAGCAAGCAGGGGGGCGGGCACAGGCATCTGGACAGTCACAGGGAGGTTGGGTCCTGCACAGACCCTTCCCCGGCAGGGCGGCGGGCACAGGGCACAGCCAGCTGGGCTCGAAGGACTCACAGTTTTCTGAGCCACGCGGAAGAACTGGGCCACGTCGCGGATGACAGGCCCGAAGCTGTCGTACACCCTGACGTGGGGGCGCACCCAGGAGGGCAGCTGGGCCCTGGCGTCCATGTGGGCAAACCTGGAGGGTGCCAGCTGTCAGCTCGGGGCCCGACACCCCCCAGCTCCGGCTCCCACTCGCTGAGTGAAGGACCAGCGCCCGGCTGGCGCCCGCCAGGCTAAGCACAAGGGTCTCAGGTGAGCAGAGGGGAGCCGCACCTGTGGTCACAGAGGAAGATGGCCCCGTAGTCATGGCGATGACGGATCACCCGCCCGATGGCCTGGTTCACAGCTCTGGACGCCTGCTGCCGGTACCACTCGTGCCCGGAGAGGAGCTACGGGAGGCTCGGTCACGGGGGGCTCCAGCGCTTCCTACCCTCCACACACAAGCCTGTGCCCCCGCCTGGCCCCCCACCCAGCCCCCCACCTGGCGCCCTGGCCCCCACCCGATCCCCAGCCCCACCCTGGCCCTCACCTGGCCCCCTGGGCCCCTGTGGCTCTTTATCTCGTCTAGGAACTGCATCTTGAGGACAACCCGGGGGTCCATGCGTGGGGGGTACGGCAGGCCCGTGATGATCACACCTCGGCCGTTCATGTCTGCGAAGTCCAGCCCCTCGCTGGCCTGGGGGACAGTGGGCACCCTTGTCCCCGTCCGCCCATGCCGAGACCCTCCCGGGCACGGGTGTCCATGTGCAGGCGGGGAGGGCTGCCTCCCACCCGGGAGCTCTGGTTCCCAGGAGCCCAGAGCAGCGCCCACTCCCAGGGCCCAGAGCCAGCGCCTCCGGGAGGGCTGCCAGGGAAGGCCGTGGATCAGGGGCCTGGGGGCCGCACCGCCCCTCCCACCACGTCGCAGCCCCCAAGTCAGAGCTGCGAGCTTCCTCCCACAAAGGTCCAGCCGGGGAAGATGGGAGCGTGGGCCCCCGCGGGGCAGCCTCACCTTCCCCCTGCACACGGCCAGGAAAGTGGCCCCACTGGAGCCGGGACAGGCGACTCGTGCGTAGTAGGCGTCCACCACCTGGCGGGAGACGGCGCTCAGCCCCTCCGGCTGGGGGAGCGACACCCCGGGTCTCGTCCCGAGTGAGGGGCCGTCCGGCTGGGGGAGCCAGCAGGCCGAGCCTCCTCACGGCGCGGGTGCCCAGGCCGACCCAGGGCCTGCTCAGAAAGCTCCGGGGCTCTGCCCGCCCACCCCCGAGGGACGGCTCAGCACCCTCCCGGGGCCGGCTGGCGCCCCACGCAGCCCCAAGCCAGACCTCGGAGAAAGCCGCCCTTGTTCCGTGGCTCCACAAACACGGGCTTCAGCGCCTCCAGCTTCCCGGCCGAGTCGTGGGCCTGTGACGAGACACCGGCAAGGGGGCGCCCGGCCCGCGGTCAGGCCTGTGCGTGTGGCCCCGCCGGCCCTACTGCGCGCCCCGGCCCAGGACGCACCCGCCAGAACTGCAGGCTCCTCTCCAGGACGGGGTAGGACGGGAAGAAGACCAGGAGCCCGTGGGGCACCACGCGGGCGATGTTGCCTGCAGGCCGCGGCTTCGTCAGCAAGAGGGCCTCACGGGGGCTGCAGGCAGGGGCCCGCCCCGGGGATGGGGCGCCCGCCGGGAGGAGCCAGGGCCCCCCCGCGCACTCACCTAGCGCCTTACCCAGGGAGGACAGGCAGGCCTCGGAAAACCTGCGCGAAGCCGGACCCCGCGTCACCAGGGTCCTCACCAGGGTCCCGGCAGAGGCAGAGGCACGCCGCCCGCCCCCCGCCCGCCCCCCGCCCCCCCAGGCCCCTACCGCTTGTCAAAGGCAGAGCTCAGCTGGGCTCCGTCGGGGCCTCTGGAGACGATGCCCACCCAGATCTGCTGCTGGTGGATGACGTGTGGGTTCTCCAGGCAGACTGGGAAAGGGCTGGGGGCAGGGCGGCCCCGTGAGGTCCTGAGCCCAGCACCCTCAAGCCAGGGCTGGCCTGGGCCCCGCACCCGCAGCCGCCCGGGGCCGCCCTTACATCTGCATCTCCAGGGCAAAGGAGGACACGGGGGCCAGCGTGCCGCTGGTGAGGATGACGGTGCGGACGCCCTGCTGCACCAGCTGCCGCATGCTGTGGCCGGGGCTGAAGCACCAGTAGCTCAGCACCTTCCCTAGGGGAGGAGGGGGAGGCCGGGGCTCGGGGTCTGGGGGGCCCTGCTCCCTCCCTCCCTCCCTCCCTCCCTCCCTCCCTCCCTCCCTCGGGCGTGCTGGGAGTGCAGGGGGACCCAGAGTGGGGGGGCCAGGGGCAGAGAGCACCGCCGACCCCAACCCAGACTTGGGCTGAGGCGGACACGTGGCCCGGGGCACCACGGCTGCGTCACAGGCCCTGGCCCCCGCTCGCAAACCACCCAGCAGGAGCCCACGCGCCCGGCAGGCAGGACCGGTGGCGGCGTCACCGGCAATGAGGCTGGGGGGGCCTCCTGCTGAGGACGCTCCCACAGCACGGGAGTCACGGGCCAGACGTGTTTCCCGTAAAGAACAAACCACTTTCTGGGGCCAGAGAAGCCTTTTCCACCCACGCGTCGGGATCGGCCCTGTGACAGGCGGGGGCGTAGGGGCCGGGAGCTGCCCCCCTCCGTGCGGAGGCCCGGGGCCAGGGCCGGCCCTCCCGTCGCTCACGCACATCCTAGCTTCTCGGTAAGCTCAGCCACGAACCAACTTCCTACAAACGCCCAACCCCGGCAGTGGTGATTTCTGAGAACTCACGCTGTGGGCATGGGAACTCGGGACGCTGCGTCCCTGGCGCCCTGGCTGTGTCCGTGTCCCCCGGGGACAGCACCGCAGTGGGGCGAGGCCTCGGGCACTGGCGCAAATTGCTTCCCGCGACCTCACAAACACCACGGAGGGGTGCGTGGGTCTCCCCGCCTCCCCCAGAAGCTGCTTCCTGCTGACAGGCCAGGTGACCTGCCCTAGCCCCGTTCCCGGCCCTGCTTTTCCTGGGGAAGCGTGTGGTCCCAAGTGACCTGCAGCCAGCAGCTGTGGAAGGGCCGGGCCCGGAACACAGGAGGCGGGGGCAGGCCATGGGGCCGCCTGAGGAGTGGCCCCCTGGCCTCACACCCAGCGCCCCGGGGGCGTCCTACAAACCCCACTCTAAAGGCCAGGCTGCAAGGGGTGCTCAACCCTGTGTGCGGTGGCCAGGACACTCGCCAGGGCTGGATGCCACGGACACACAGCTCGGCCAGGGCAGGCCAGCTTCACACCAAAAGCCACAGGGGGCCCGGCACAGACCCGTCCTCGTGTCACGAGCAGCCTCAGCTCTAGGACACAGGGAAGCAGGTGAGCCCAGGGACGAAGGGCTAGGCCTGACCCCACAGGGGGGTCGGGGCAACAGAGCCAGCACCTGAGGAACCGGGTGGGCCCGGACAGTGGCCTCGCTGAAGCCCGCCCCGCCCGTGTCCACCCGGTGGGATGGCGGGAAAGCAGCACCCCTGCGCTGACGAGCATGCACCCCAGCCTTCCTGTGGGCTGACCACTCATGGATCGGTCCCCGGAGGCGTGAGGAGCTGGGCTGTACCCGGGCTCAGTGGACGCCCAGCAGGTGCTCGGAGGTCTGTCTCCAACGGCCGCGTGGGGGGTGAGCTGTGAGGTTCCCCGAGCAGGCCGCGCTCAGAAACCCACCACTGGACACGGCGCCGTGCGGGGGCGAGCAGGGCTGTGTTCCAGGCCCCGACCCCCGGCCCCCTGGCCCCCGGGCCCCCCGCATGCCTGGCTTTCTGGCAGCCGTGCTGCTCCAGGCATCTGACCGGGGACCCTTCCTCTGGTGACCAGCATCAGAGTGGATGTGAACCTGGATGGACAGAATGGACAGTGTCCAGACCCAGCCCAGGAGTCCCTCGCCCTGGAGAGAGCCCCCACCTCGTAGGACGGGAGGCCCCCACCCACACCCCCACCTCGTAGGACAGGAGGCCCCCACCCACACCCCCACCTCGTAGGACGGGAGGCCCCCACCCACACCCCCACCTCGTAGGACAGGAGGCCCCCACCCACACCCCCACCTTGTAGGACTGACAGGCCCCAGGCCCCCCCAAGGAGCCGGGCGTGCCCTCGGCAGGGTCTGCACTGAACACGATCTGGAGAGCAGACATGAAGACATGGTGAGCAGGACACAGCCCCCCAGGACACATGCCCATCCCCTTGCCCAGTGCTGAGCGGTCGGCATCCCGGGTGGGGACCTCCATGCTGAGGGTGGGGGCGCACGCCACCTGGCCTCCCGGCAGTCCCCCCTGCCGCCATCCTGCAGGCCCCTCCTGGTCCGCACGCTTCCCCCAGGGGCAAGCCCGCGGCAGGCGGGGACCCGGGAAGGACCTGGTTCAGCCCCCAAGTAAAAGGACAAAAATCATCCCTGATCCAAGTACAGGGAACTACACTCTAGCCAAGGCGACCAGCCGAGGAGAAGCAGCAAGCGGGTAAATCGTGGACGGAGCACGAAGGCAGAGACGCCAGACACCAGACTGCCCGACTCCGGAGCCAGCAAAGCCAGGTGACAGGCGGTTAGGGCCGAGGAGGAGACGGCACCGAAGCAGACGCATCAACAAGTGAAGAGGGGGCGCCCGTGCTGCCTGGTGCCTGGGCCTGCGGTGCCCGGGGATCAGGGGCCAGCCCAGTGGCTGAGCCCGTCTCACGCCCCCTCGGCGCCCCCCGTCCCTCCAAGGCCCGCCTCCTGCGGTCCCCGGGCTGGGTCAGCAGCAGACCCCTGCTCACATGACCTCGCGGGGATCTGGATTTGGGGAGGTGCAAGGCTCTCCCACTGGCGGGGGACCCCCGGGCAGCCCTTCGGGTATTCACCACAGGCTGCCCCGCTGAGGTCCCAGGGCTGGCCCAGCGCGACCCCTGCCCACGGGAGCCAGCTGTGGGATGAGGGATGAGCCACCGCCCAGTCCCACTCCATCCAGCTGGAACGGACACAGCAGAGCGAGCAGCAGGCCCGCAGGCAGCACCGGACAGGCGGGGACACGGAGTCATCTGCTAGGCCCTCTTAGGGCAGCTGCCACAGGAATCCCCAAACCCTCGGGGTGACGGGTGCTTGGGCTCAGTGAGGCTGTGGGGGAGAATCCTGTGCCATGGACAGGTCCCCTGGGGAGGAGGGGGCGCTGCCCGGGACGGGGGTGAGGGCCGGGGCCGCAGGGCTGGCCTGGAGCAGGGCATGGCAGGAGGGGGCAGCAGAGCACAGGGCCCGCTCCTCTGCAGGGGCCGAGAACAGGCGCTGGGAACGGGAAGCACAAACGCAGGGCCCGGCGGGGGCCGTGGCTGCAGCGCGGTGGCAGTCTGGGCGCCTGCTGTCCCCTGGCAGAAGTGCTGGGATGACGCCTGCCCACACCTCACACTCGAGGACACGCCCCCGCCTCTGCCCCCACCCCCGGCCGGCAGGGTGCCTCGGGGAAGAGGAAGTGCACTCCAGGGGCCGCTGGCTCGAAGCACCTTGGTGATGCCCCAAGTCTGGAGCCGGTAGAAGCTCCAGGCCCCCCTCCGCGGCCCTCGGGAAGGGAGACGCCGCACCTTCGCCGCAGGCCCGTCCCTACCTGGATGATGTCCGACAGCTTCTGCAAGCCTGCTGTGTTGCTGAACAGCCCCGTGCCTGTGGGAGCAGCAGACGCTGGCCGTCCACGCCCCACCACGGGAGGCTCCGAACCCCCGCCCCTGGGAGCCACGAGCAAGCTCAGCCTCAACCTGGCGTTGCTGTGGGGCGTGCCCCCGGGGTGCAGCTCCCACGCTGCCCCCAGAACATCTCCGGAGTCAGCGGGAGGAGAAAAGAGGCCCTGTGCTCCAGTACGGCTGGGCCTGCCTGCCCACCCCCAGGGCCCGGGAGCCCAGGAACGCCGGTCACCCAAGAGAACGAGACCCCACCCAGAAGAGGTGGGCCCGCAGGGCAGCCTCGGGGTGCAAACAGGATGTGGGGGCTCAGCACCAAGGCTCACTGACCCACCAGGTCCCTCAGCACTCTTCCTTTAAAGGCCCGACCAAGAAACGGAAAGCTGGGCTGTGCTTTACAAAACAGACGCCCGTCCAACAGCGCTGATGCCCCAATGTCACCGCCAGAGAGGGAGGTCTGGGGGGGACGCTCCTCTCGGGGATGCAGGAGGCTCTGGCCCTGAGTCAAGGCCTAGCGCCCCGCAGGCTGCAGGGCAGGCTGGGGACTCACGTCCTGCCAGGTGCTGGATGATCTGGTCCAGGGAGTCGAGGATGCAGCCTTTGGTCTGAAACGTTATCTGGGCCTCGGCGAACAGCTCGAAGATGTAGCTGTGGGAGAATGAGCCTCATGCGGGGCGCCAGGCAGCGGCCTTATATTCCCCGCAGTCGGACACGAGCGCCAAGGGCTCCAGAGTTGGCCGAACCCAGAGGTGAGAGAGACATGAGCACTGAGGAGAAGGCCAGGCCCCCAGGGGCAGCGTGGGAGGCAGTGAAGCCTGCCGTCTGGGCCGTGGAGGGGTGGGTGGGGCGGGCCAAGCAGCGTGGCTCCTCTGGGAAGCAAGTGGAGCCCTGCGAGGCTCCGGGCACAGCAGCCGGGCTCGGGGAGGAGGCAGGCAGCGGTGCTCCAGCACATTATAGAATTCCCCAGACCCCCAGAACCGGAGCCTGGATCCCAGCACGGCTGCCAGCTGCACCCGGAGGAGGGCCACAACCAGCCCCAGACCATGACCTTTGGGAAAGAACCCCAGCTGCCCCGGGCTGCTGAGACCGCAGCCCCGCGCCCTGGTCAGAGCCACCGGGGCTCCCGAGGCCAGCAGGGGCAGCTGGGGGGAAGAGGCGTCTCACCGTAAAGGGCCGGCCCAGAGGGGGCGGCGGGGGCAGGGGCCCTGCCTGCACGCGCACTGGCCCTAGGCCCCAACACCCTAGTACAAAGCCTCTCATGGGCCACTGAAACCAAATCAGACCTCACAGGTGTGCGGGCGGGGCCGGGGGCAGGGGGCCCACCGCAGGGAGCGCCGCGCACGCCCTGCCCCTTACCTCCCTGGCTTGGTGACGCCGCTGTGGTCCCCAGGCAGCTCGACAGCATCGATGGCCGCCTCTAGGCGCAGCAGGATCACTGTGGGGAGGGGGTCATGAGGGGCGGCCCGCCCAGCCACGGGCACTGGGGGAGGCCAGCACTCACTCTTGAGCTTTGCGAGGTCTTCCAGCTCCATGTGCAGCCCTGGGAAAGCAGCAAATGCGTCGTCACGTCCCACTTCTGCCAACCGCGTCCCCAAGAGCCAGGACTCTAGCTGGATTCCCGCCTGTGTCCCCAAGTAGGCGAGACACAGAGATAACCACGGACATGAGGCTCTGACATCCCCGCAGCCCGACTGTGGACCGGAGGCAGCAGGGTGAGCTCAGGGGCTGTCTCAGCGCGAGGCACACGCGGTGGCACGCTCACGCACGTGGGTGCGCTCCCCAGCCCTGCTCACCGGAGACCCAGGACGACCGACCCGGCCACAAGGGGCCCCCCCCTGCCCTGTGGGTCCTGAGAGACCATCTCCTGTGACAAGGAACCAGGGCTCCTGGGAAACACGGCTGATGGCGGGTCTGGGGCAGGACGTGCAAGCGAGTGAGCCACGTCCCGATTCCCCGTCAGCCTGGCAGGGCCCTGGAACATCTGCAGAGGGGCCCGAGCTCAGCAACGGGACCGAGGCTGTCGTCTGTGTTTAGACACAAGTACCACCGATGACATTAAACGCTCTCCTCCTCAGGGGACAAGGGACCAATCACACAAGTCAGGGAAAAATTCAAACTCCCAAATCCGAAAACAGGCAAAATGTCAAGCATCTATCCGGCTTTTCCTGTGAGAACGGTGTCACCGAGTAACAGCCGAGGTGAGAGCACCTCCACGAGGTCACCCCCCCAATAAACCGAGCGGCGCAGGGGGCACACGACCCTCCGTCAATGCCCCGGTGACCAACGGGTCTCGGCACCGAGCGCAACAGTGTTCCCGTCGCCACGGCAAGAACCTGCCGCCCGGAGACGCCTCCGGAGACAAGTGCGGTGACTGAAGCCACCCCGTCTGCGGCTCCACCAGGTCGGAGGCTGGAGCAAAGCAGGGTGCATGGTCGCGGCAGGTCTCTCCTTCCTGGGACCCGCCTGCCGCCTGCAGCAGCTAAGGGACGGTGGCCACACCCTTGCCGACACTGGTCACTGCCCATCAGCCTGGCAGCAGCCGTGCCGCTGGGCCTGCAGGGCGTCGCTCGGCGCTCAGACCTGCGCCTCCACGTGCGCGCTGACCCCTCGCGTCTACTCTGAAGCGTCTGTTCCTACTTTCTGTCCATTTTTAACGGGACTGTCTTTTCTTTGAGTCGTAAGAGTTTCCTGTGTGTTTGGATAAAAATTCCTTATCAGATACGTGATCCACAAAAAAGCCCTGCCGTCCTCTGGCCGGTCCTTCCGCTGTCCTGGCGGGATCTCCGAAGCCGAACAGTTGGACTGTGATGACGTCGGCGTCTCTCTTTCCTTTGTGCTTCTCAGCCAGCAGCACTTGTTCCTTCCTTAAAGGTGTTTCCGTATTTATTTGTCACCTCCACCCCCACCTGGGGGTCACCCCAGAGAGCACGCGTCACACGCTCCGCTGACCGAGCTGGCCAGGCGTCCCCACAGCATCACTTCTGAGGCCACAGCCTGGAGAGCGACACTGGGGTAAGCGAGCCCCAGGCGGGGGGTGCCGAGTGCAAGCCGCCGGGGCCATGCTGAGCAGCCCCTTCCGGGGGACGGGGTGGGAAGGAGGCGAACCGTGACCGGGGAAGAACCCGACACAAACAGCCCCCGTGCAGGGCCCACGCCGACAGCGACAGTCCTCAGCCACACACGGGGAGCGTAGGGCGCGACAAGAACCGTGCTGGACACGTGCTTCTCCCAAATCCCAGAGCCCGGGCAACCCACGAGGAAACAGTTGCCTCCCAACGAAGGCACATGCCACCAAAGGCCCTGGCGACCCTCCAACTGTGGCCTTTAGCAAGAGCTCACGGACCAGAGCAGGCCGAGGGGACGTGCCTGGTGCGGGCTCTCCTGGCGCAGAACAAGGACGTCACTGGAAAACCAAGCACCGGCAGCCACTGTGCGCCCGCCAGGACGGCCATTTCCGACACAAAATGCGTGAAAGCAGTGCTCACGCCACTTCGGAGAGGAGCAAGTCGAAAGCATCCCGGGACCGTGTCACTCTAGGGCCTGGCGCATCCAAGAGCCCGGCTGCTCCCGCCGGCAGGCGCCACGCGGGGCCCAGGCTTTGGGAACCCGCCCCCCGCCCCCCACCGGCCCGGACTCCGGACTCCGGAGCCGACCCCGAGATGCAGCTGGGACCAGCCGACGGGGCGGGCGCCCGGGCCCCGGCCGAGCTGCCGGCATCGCCAGCCAAATGCTGCGGCAGCGGACCCAGACGCAGGCCGTCGCCTGGAGGGAGGCAGGCGACCCTGGGGGGCGCTCTCCGGGGGGCAGGCCCGTGTGCAGCGCAGAAGCAAGAGTGAACAAAATATGCGCGTGTCTGCTCCTGCGTGGGACAAACGCAGCCAAGCAAGAATAAGCTGGAAACCAGGAAGATACTTCGCAGCCTCCAGAACCACACGGAGGTTTCCAGCGCCCAAGAAAACCAAAGCAACAGAATCAATGAGGACAAACACCGAATAAGAAATGACCCTAAAAGGACAGCGCAGCCACGGGGCGGGGGGGCAACGGGGACTTGTGAGCCTGGTCTCCCGACCAGCACTCGGACGCATGCGCTCTGGGGAGCAGCTTGCCTGGTCACGGCCGGGGAGTTGCTGTCACACAGCTGCCTGCATGTCCCAGGGCGGACGGAGCACGAGAGACGCCGAGGAAAGCGGGGACCATGGTTCTCCCAGCAGGGGAAGCACGGAATCGCCACCATGAGGGAGCGAGCGCGGCGCTGGACGGGACGGCAGGGTGTGCAGGGCACCCCGTGCTGCGCGGGAGAGCTAGCCGCTCCCACAGGCCCAGAGGCGAGGGGCGTGGGGGGTGAGACTCAGCACTTCATAAACATCACAGCAGTCCTTAATTCCGGGGGGAGGGGTCGCCCACAGATGCCACAGATTGCTTAGGACTTACTGATGGAGGAACAGTAACCTCACAGCGGACAATGGTGGCAGTTGTCACCTAAGGGAATAATCCAAGTCGGCATCCCCAACCATGCGGCAGACGGGCTGCGCCTCCGGGGACACCTGCCAAAGGTGCACAACCTGAACAGAATTGTACAACACCTCACACACGCCCACAGCGCAGGACACTCAGCACAGTAACTAAGCTTCATCCTCAAAAGCACATCCCAGAGCACATCCTCTGCGGGTGCCTCCGGCTATGACGAGGACAGCCAGAGACACTCTAGGGTGCCCGGCCAGTCACGCAGGGGCTTCCCATCAGACCAGGGCACTGTGGCCACACAGCACGTCCTTGCTCTTGGGACACACACGCCAGGACACAGTCAAAGGAAGGGTGCAGGGCAGCCCTGGTGGCGCAGAGGTTTAGCGCCGCCTGCAGCCCGGGGTGTGATCCTGGAGACCCGGGATCGAGTCCTGTATCAGGCTCCCTGCATGGAGCCTGCTTCTCCCACTGCCTGTGTCTCTGCCTCTAAATAAATAAATAAATAAATAAATAAATAAATAAATAGATAGATAATAATAAATAAATAAATAAATAAATAAATAAATGAATGAATAATTAAAAAAAAAAACAAAGGAAGGGTACAGAGAAAGAGATTATCTGTCCATGGAGAAAGGAGACTACCAAGTGAGAGTCTGGGTGGACAAGTCACACCTTCAAGTTAGCTGTAAGCTGGAAATTATTTTATTCTACTTATTTTTAAAATGTTTGTTTATTTACTTATTTATGTATGTCAGAGAAAAAGCCAGATGCACATGCTCACGCACAAGAGCTCACTGTGGGCTCCATCCCACAACCAGGAGGTCACGACTCGAGCAGGAATCAAGAGCTGGATGCCTCACCGACTGAGCCACCCAGATTGTAGTTTTAAAATAAAAGTCATTTAAAAAAAACTTCAGAATAAGATACAAGACATGAAACAACATAAATGAGATTTTCAAAAACTCAGAAATGAAGTGACAACTCAAACAGAATTAGGAGAAAATTGAAAACTTATTTTACAAACGAAGGTCAAATTAGGGGGAAGAGAAAAGCCAGAGCAGCGGGAGGGGAAGGAGGACCTCTGTCAGAAGTCGGGGAAGAGTAGAAAAAGGACTTGGAACGGTCAAGTTCTGCAGCCAGGGGCGGAGACCGCGCGTGCGGCCCCGCGAGGGTCACCGCAGCCTGGAGCCGGCGCTGTGCCCGCGGCCTGGATCGCCCCAGACTGAAGGCACACTGGAGACCACATGGTCAAAGAGCGCGCCATGGGCTGGACATAGGCCCGGAAACGTCAACTCTGAAACATTCTACGCAATGACTGGGCTTCAGAGAAAAGAAAATTCCTAAAAGAACATATGGCTTTTATGAGGAGTTTTTCAAGACACAGGGTTTAAGAAAAGCGTCCCACCGCGCATCCAGATGACCCGCTCCGGGATGACCGCACAGGCCCTCGGCGATTTACCCAAGAGGCTCCCACTCGGAGATCCTGCCCCAGGGGGACAGCGGCACACGCAGGGCCCCACGGGCGACGGGCGAGCTCGAGGCCGGGGCCTGCGTCAGTTCAGGGCGGAGCGAGGCCAGAGCGGCCCCCACGGTACGACCACTGGAAACCACACCCGGTTCGCCTCTTCCCTCCGGTGCTCTCAGGAACACGCTGCAGTTCCCCAGGGGGCTACACGGCGGAGGCCGCCGACAGCCCCCAAACACGTCCGCGTCCTGATCCCCGGACGCGGTGACATCACTCTTCTCGGCCCAAGGAGCTCTGCAGACGGGACTACGGAGAGGCCGTGGGACGGGGCGAGGAGCCTGGGTACCAGCGGCCCGTACCGGAGGGGAGGCAGGAGGCCAAGGCAGAGGAGGCGGAGGCCCGAGCGGCGGGCCCGGGAGCCACGGCCGGCAGCGCCTCCGGAAGGGGAGTGCGGCTCGTCCACCGCACCCTGAGACCTGGAGACAACAAACCCGAGTAGCTTCAAGCTACCAAGTCCGCGGCGACTCTCAGAGCGGCCCCAGCAAAGGTGTACGGCACGCGCCGAGCGGTACCACGTTAGACCGAGAGCAGAAAGCTGTGAGGCCCAACCACCTCCGACGGAGCCAGATTACTACGCATGCTTTGAGACTGTTAGACGGGGGCACCGGGGGGCTCGGTGGTTGAGGGTCTGCCTTCAGCTCAGGGCGTGATCCTGGGGTCCCGGGATCGAGTCCCACGTCGGGCTCCTTGCATGGAGCCAGCTTCTCCCTCTGCCCGTGTCTCTGCCTCTCTCTCTGTGTCTCTCGGGAATAAATAAATAAAATCTTTCAAAATAAATAAATAAATAATAAAATAAATAAAAGGACCTATTCGGGTTCTGGTTCCTGTGACCATGACCTTGGAGATACGGTCTCTACAGACACGACTAAGTTAGGACGGGATCGCTACGGATGGGGTAGGCCCTACTGCGGTAACTAGTGTCCTTACGAGAGAGGAAATTTGGACACAGACGCACAGGGAGTCAGCCAGGTGCAGGCGGAGCAGCGTGCCCGCAGGAGCCTGGGAGCAGGGAGCCGGGTGTGGGGTGGAGCCGACGCGAGGACCTCAGTCCTGCCCACCAGTGCCGTAGGGGGACTGCTCTGTTGTTCCAAGCCTCCCGGCTCCGGCGCTGAGTGACAGCAGCCCCAGGAACCTCACGTAACATGTGATGGCTTGTGACAAGCGAATAAACAAATCTTTGTAACTTCTTTAGTTGTTTCCGATATAGAAGTTACCAGGAGACATAATTCACAAGAAGCCAGTTCAGTGAGTTTTAAGAACATAAAGGGTAGGGGTGCCTGGGTGCATCAGTGCGTGCGCATCTGCCTGCGGCTCAGGTCGTGATCCCAGGGTCCTGGGATCGAGTCTCGCATCAGGCTCCCTGCTCAGCGGGGAGTCTGCATCTCCCTGTCTCTCCCCAGCTCATTCTCTCTCTCTCCCTCCCTCCCAAATAAATAAACTCTTAAAAAACTAAAAAAAAAAGAACATAAAGGGTCTTAAAACCCAAACTTTTGAGAACTGTGCTGACCAGACAAAGGCCGCTTACAAGCCCCCCACCAGCACAGGCACCGAGCAAGTCAGACGAGTCCTGGAAAAGACCCAGGCCGGAAGGGCAAGAAGGGTGTGGACGGAGCCTCTGCCCCCCTGGGGTCCATCCGTGTGTGTGTGTGTGTGTGTGTGTGTGTGTGTGTGTGTCTGTGTGGTCATGCAGGGAAGGAGGAAGCTCCAGCTGCTCACGCCGGGGCCCACGCCCAAGCGCAGGGCACAGCAAGCGTCTGGAGACGCCAACAGCGCGACGCCCAAACCCATGACCTCCGGCAAGTAAGTAGCGGAGACGCCTACTGCAGAGCGGCCTGCTCAAACCCATCCAGGGTCCCCATCAGCCCCTCACGGACTGGGGAGGACACCTGGGCAAACCGTGTCCATCAAAGACGTCCACGCACACCCTGCTCACCCTCGCATTAGGGAAGACACCGGAGGGGAACCTGTGAGAAGAGGAGGTCATACCCGAATAATGCTCACAGGCCACTCAAAAGCAGCACACTTCACGGTTAGTACGTTTGGTTTTCTTTTCTTTTAAAGATTTGTATTTATTTGAGAAAGAAAGAGGGAGAGAAAGAGAGCATGAGCCAGGGGGTGTGGGTGGGGGGCACAGGGAGAGGGACAAGCAGACCCCCCACCCCCGAGCAGGGAGCCCGCCGCGGGACTCGGTCCCAGGGCATCATGGGATCCTGCCCCAAGCAGACGCTCCGCCGACCGAGCCACCCAGGTGGCCCTGGTTTTCAATTTTATCCAGTGCAGTAAAGTCTATACTGGCTGTGAAAGTACAGAGAGGTCCTTAGAAAATGCTGGAATGGTTGGGTGGTACCTACTTCCTGGCCTGTGAGGTCCTTAGAAACCTCTTACAGAAGTTTGCACTGTGCCCGGACAAGGACTGGACTGAAAGGAGGGCCTGGGAAGGCTCTGGCCTCCGACCTGAGACCACCTCGCAGCCGCTCTTTCATTTCCCACCTGTGAGCTCACCTGAGTTGACAGAGTCAGCACTGAACTCCAAGCGGAGCTCGTCCTGCTGTGCCGCCTTGGTCTGCTCCTCCAAAACCTGGTCTAGGACGTCCAGCCCAGACGCCACGTCATGCGGGGTCAGGTCGAAGGATGCCGTCTCCTCGCACATCTTCTCCTGAGGGCCCAAGCACACCATGCTACAGCCGGTGCGGGCGGGGACTCGGGGATCCAGGAGGGTGGGTGGGGTAGGGGTGCGGGGCTACAGGAAGCAGAGGGCCCCCAAGCCCCACCCCGGTCTCTAAGGCCACGTTGGCCACATCACAAACTGGTCCAACGTCAGCCATACGACCACGCCAACATTTGAAATTTCGTTATGGGAAAATTTCCCATTAGAATATAGATTTCTGGGGCGCCTGGCTGGCTCAGTCTAAGAGCGTGCAACTCTCGACCTCAAGGTCATGAGTTCGAGCCCCAAGCTGGGTGTAGAAGTTACTTCAAAAAAAAAAAAAAAACAAAAACAAAACTTAAAAAGTATATGTAGATTTCCGGCTTTTCTCAAAAGCCAGACCCGGCCTACTGGGCCTATGGTCCTCCAGGACAACCACCTGGAACCAAGTGGGAGCTTGAGGGTGGCCGCTGCTGACCTAGGGCACTAGGCTCTGGAGCACCCAAGTGGCCTTCCTTCCGTGCCCTGGTCAAGGCCAGTCATTCCTGGAAAAACAGGGCCCTGAGCAGATGCCCCAGGAGTGGGTGGAGCAGGCTAGAGGTGACAGCGAGGGGCTGGGAGGTGGCCTCTTTGAACCAAGGCGGTGGTGTCAAGGGGCAAGCAGCAGGCCAGGCGGCCACCAGGAAGGCCCGTGGGGGTTTTGCGTGGACAGGGCCACGGGCCGGCCAGCGTGTCTTACTCAGGGCTGGGGCAGAAAGGTCTGCGTGCTCCCTGCAGGGAAGTGGGGGAGGGCAGGGCAGGTGTGGCGGAGAGACCACCTGGACACTCACCACATTGTGAGCTTCGTCGAAAATCACAACCGTCCCCTTCAGGTCGATGCTGTGTGCCCGGCGACTCTGCAGCAAGAGGGGAAGGAAGCAGGGCTGGAGCCAAGAGGCACGAGGCAGGCAGGGGAAGGCCCTCGCGCCACGGCCACCTGGCTCTACCCGCCACCACGCAGCTGGACGTCAGGGCCCGACCCACACCATGCCTGCCACACAGCCACGGGGTGGAGGACGCCCAAAGCAGGGGCGAGGCGAGCGGGCTGGGGGCCAGCACTAGTACTTCTGGGCTTCGACTGCACACGACGTTCAATTTTCATAAAATAAAGTGCCTGTTCTCAGTACGCAGCAGGGTGTCGAGGTGAGCACTGAGCCGGGCCAGGAGACCCACTCCCTCCCCACCCGACCTCTGGCCCGCTCCGCGCCAGCAGGCGTGCACGGCCTTTCCCGCTGTCCTGGAAGCAGCACAGCCCTTCGAGACCCAGACAGACCAGGCGTACGCTCTCCCTTTACGACTTGCTGTAATTTTCTGAATTTTCCGCTCTTTTTAAGAGTCAAGGCTTTAAATTACGGTGAAGTCGAACGTACGGGTTTGTCTGTGGCCAGGACGCTGTGCGTCTGAGCTCAGAAAGCTCGGCCTGCCCTCCCTGCTCTGTCCTAGAGGAGCGTCACGTTTCTGGCTTTTATGTTTGAGGCTGTACCGTGTGAAGTAACGGCTGAGGTTCACTCTTCTCCAAACGGGGATCCAACTACTGCAACACCAATTTTTAGGGGGAAAAAGTGCCAACCTTACCTTTTCCTGCTGAAATACCTACGCAAGCTTGCTGAAAACCAAGGGCCACACACATGGGTGTGCCCTAGCGGCGCCACCGTGCAAGCGGCCAGCAGCCTGGAGCCCCGACCTCCTGTCAGACCGCCCCGCTCCTCCCATCTCTCCACTTCCCGAGGGTCAGAAAGAACCACCTTTTCAGGGGTGACAGCTGTTCTGGGGCAGGCCCGGTCTTCGAGACCACACACAAGCCCTGCACAAACCCCCAGCTCTGCGCCACGGCGGCCTGCTCCCGCCCCCCCCCCTGGCACCCCTGCGGCTGCTGGCTCCGTGGCCCCCAAGGCTGCGCTCCTGACACCTCCCGGCCCTGCGGCACCCGCTCCACCCACCGACGCCCACAACTGCCCTCTGACGGTCTCCCCTGCAGCGGTGCTGAGGGGATGAAGGAACAGGGGCCCTGGGCCACTCCAGGGAGGACAAGCCGCTGCACACGTGGAGAGTGAGCCCCGCGTTAGAACAAGAGGGGTGTGCAGAGATGGGTGGACACGTGCATCCCGAGAGTGACTGAGGGAGGGCAAGAGCATGCAAGAGCACACTCGGCCTGCCTCACGGAGCCCAACTGGAAAGAGAAAAGCTGAGCCACCAGGGACTGGCCCTGGGGGCAGCCACGGCTCTCCCCAGTCCACCAGCCTGCCCACACCCAGAGAGCCCAGAATGACAGACCCACAGCCCCCGCCGGCACCACTGACCAGGCAGACCAGGTAGCGGGCCGCGTCCTCCCACACGCCCACCACTCTGACGGTCTCATCTCAGAAACGGAACCAACAAAGACTCTGACGGCCCCTCACAAGCCCAGGGACACCCCGACATCAGGAATCACCCGCCACGTGGGCGGAGACCTCACCTTGGTGTCCAACAAGTAGTTGTAAGGCATGAAGATGATGTCAGCCTGCTGCTTCAGGTTCCGAGAAAGGTAGTAGGGGCACAGCCTGGAGAAAGAGGGGACGCTGTGAGCACCACGCACCGGAGCCGGGAGGGAGGCCCAGGCCACGGAGCACTCCCGCCGGCCGAGGTGCCCCCTGATGGGCAAGCAGGCGGAAGGAGCCTCGTGCTGCATGGGGGGCTCAGACCGGAGCCGGGCCTGCGGACCCTGGGAGGGCTCACCGCACCGCGCTTCACGCCATCTGCTGTTAACGTGAGCGGATCAGCCGTCTAAAAATCTACATAAGCAAGAAACCCCAGTCCCGTTCCTGGGTAGAGGAACGAGGCAATCGGAAAGCAGATGCTGTCCTGTCTCAGCACCACTCGAAGCCCTAAAGCAAACGTCAGAAAGGCAAACATGTTCAGTGGAACCAGCCGAGGAGAGAAGCGTAAATGCTCAACCCACGGGCTGCTGGGAACCGGGGCTGCCCATCAGCACGGGGGCCACCGGGAGGCAGGGGGAGCTTCCCTGCTGACCCCGTCATGCTCAAAACCATTTATGTTTCTCCCACCTGACAACGGTTAGTTTTACGCTCGGTCAAGGCAGCAGAGGGCAGGAAGCAGCGTGCCCGCGTTCACCGCGGCAGAGCCTGTCCTAAAGGGACGCAGCCGCCACTGCCTGGCCGGGGCTCTTACTTGTGCTTGTTCCCGCTTTTGACCAGGTCCTCGATGTCCAGGATGGGGGTAGCCAGCTCCTGCTCCAGGCTCTTCTCTGGAGACACAGGTAACAGTGAAGACGTGTCCTCAGCCCCCGTGAGTCACCACAGACCCCAGAGGGAAGCCCAGGCAGCGGCAGCGCCCCCCCAGGACTCTCCCTCAGGGCAGCCCAGGCACCCAACCACCTGGGGACTCACGAGAGGCCACTCCTGCCTGTGAGTCTCAGAGCGACCTTGGAGGGACCCCAAACCTGCAGTAATCCTCAGGAAGCTCTGCTCTATACCTCAGACGCTAGCTGCCAGCCTGAGATTGAGCGTAAACAGGGCAGGGGACCCGTGGGGACCGGAGGGGGAGCACAGCCCCCTGCCTAACTCCGCCATCCCAGAGGCCCTCAGGCCGTGCCCTGGAAGCATCCGTCAGACAACCAGGCTTCAGTCTGGCAGCAAGTCACTTCCTCTCTCTGCTCCCCCCTCCCCCGACGTCAACAGGGCAGGAGCACGGATCTGAGGCAGGGCAGATGGGGGGCCCTGAGGCAAAACCCATCTGACGCCTGACACTCAGGGCCCCTGCCCAGGATGGCAGCCCAGGATAAGCACCGTTCCCTGCTAGCTGCCCAGGTGGCCCAAGGCAGGGAGGTGCTCAAGAAGGGGCCCCAGGAGCCTTCCGAGGACCTGCCTGAACCCAGCCACCCAGGAGCGGAGGCTGGCAGGACCAGGGATCTTCTCAAACACACACCCCAGAGCCCCGGGGCAGCCTCCTGTGAACACGCGCTCCTGGCCCCGGCTCCACTGTGCCAGGTCCCAGGCCCAGCCCTTTGCTATACAGGCCAGGACACACCTCAGCAGTGACCGAACCCCAAGGCGCCCCAGAGACAGCAGGGAGAGGAGGAGAAAGAACTGTGTGCTCAGCAGCACCACAGCAACAGAGCAGCCAAGGCACAGGCTCTGTAGCAGGACAGCCCGGAGCTCAACAACCTTCGGGGGGGGGTGGGCGGTGAAGGGACCCCAGGGCGGCCGCCGGCATGTGGATGCTGCAGGTGGTCAGCAGGGCCTGCTCCCCCAGACAGAGGCAGGCAGGACTCTGGCCCTAGCACCTCTCGCCTTCCTCCCACACATGCCTCTCCTCCTCTTGGACTCCTCCCAGAGGCTCCGCTCACTCTCCCCAAGGGCTGGGTGGCTGCCAGCGACGCCCCCACACACCCCGTGCCAGGAGGGCAGCGGAGGCTGAGGCACAGCAAGGACGTGCCATGGACATCCGACAGGACACGCGGCAAGAACCAGGGCAAAGCAGGGAGGCTGGGGGCCAGGGGAAGGCCAATGAAGCCTGGAGCCAGCAGGACAGCTGAGGCACCCTCACGTCGCCATACAGGGCCGGGGACAGTGGGGGCAGGGGGGGGTCACTTCCACTTCCATTGGCTCCCACCCCTCCGCTCACCTCCCAGCCACTTCCTGCTCTGGGACCCACCAGGTAAGGTAAAGGATGCTGCAGATGAGCGCACTGCAGCTGGTGGGCTGTGCAGGTGAGGACAGTGCTGGTGAGGGCCGGAGCAGGTGAGGGGCTACGTAGGTGAGGACAGTGCGAGTGAGGGGCACTGCAGGTGAGCGGCTACGTAGGTGAGGGGTGGAGCAGGTGAGGGGGTATGTAGGTGAGGGGTGGAGTAGGTGAGGGGCAGTGCAGGTGAGGACAGTGCAGGTGAGGAGCTACGTAGGTGAGGGGCAGAGCAGGTGAGAGGCTGTGCAGGTGAGGACAGTGCATGTGAGGACAGTGCAGGTGAGGGGCTCTGTAGGTGAGGACATGCAGGTGAGGGGCTGTGCAGGTGAGGACAGTGCAGGTGAGGAGCTACGTAGGTGAGGGGCGGAGCAGGTGAGGGGCTGTGCAGGTGAGGACAGTGCATGTGAGGACAGTGCAGGTGAGGGGCTCTGTAGGTGAGGACATGCAGGTGAGGAGCTGTGCAGGTGAGGACAGTGCAGGTGAGGAGCTACGTAGGTGAGGGGCGGAGCAGGTGAGGGGCTGTGCAGGTGAGGACAGTGCATGTGAGGACAGTGTAGGTGAGGGGCTCTGTAGATGAGGACATGCAGGTGAGGGGCTGTGCAGGTGAGGACAGTGCAGGTGAGGAGCTATGTAGGTGAGGGGCAGAGCAGGTGAGGGGCTGTGCAGGTGAGGACAGTGCACGTGACAACAGACAGTGCAGGGCGGGCGGTGCAGGCGAGGGCTGCAGAGTGGAGAGCTGAACCACAAACCGCTGTGGAAAGGTGGCTGCAGCAGGTCCCACTGGTTCTGCCCAAAGGCTCTGGTACGTGGTAAGCAGAACACCTGCAACCCCACCTTTGCCAGGAACGTGGACAAGGGAGGCGGCCACAACGGGGCACAAGAGGACTCCATGAGCGCCGTAGGGGACCCCAAGGCCCATGGGAAAGCTGCACTGAGGCGGGAGGGCTGTGAGTAGAAGGTGGACCCAGCCAAGGAGAAAAGCCACCCAGGCCCCCAGGCCACACGGGCTGCCAGCTGCCCCACCCCACCCCACCCCCGTCCAGGCCCCCTACGACCAGGCTACAGCTCAACCTCCCACACACCCTCCCCTGCTGTTCCGAGGGTCCCCGGTGCCGCCAGAGCAGACACCATAGCAAGCGCGGTGGCGAGGAGTGAGTTCCCGGGACAGCGTGCAGGGATGCCTCTCCCTGGGGGGTGAGGACCCCCCCCCCCCCCGCCAGCTCAGGCCTCCGGGAGCAAGCACTGCCCTGGATGCTGGGCACGCCAAACCCCAGCACTATCACCTGTGCGTGCCTGAGGGCCTGTCACCTCTGAGCCCGGGTCTGAGTCCCCACCTTGAAGCAGGAAACAGGGGACCCCAACCCCACTCCAATGAAACCACCCGAAGCCACCGAGTCCTGACTGCAGGCAGGAAACTACAGAGGCCACCCCCAGGGAAGCGCCTCTGCCATTGCTCGCTCCTGGACAGATGTGAGGGACACCCGCCCGGGGAAAGCAAAGACCAGGGCCAGCCGTCCACCCAGGGCCTAAGGAAAGTAGCAGCAGGCACCAAGGGCTGTGGGCACCTAAGGTCACACACGTGAAGCCACAGCAGGGCCAGCTGTTGTCACGCCCCTGTGCCGTCACCTCAGCCACCTCTGGGAGCCGCGGAGCACTCGGGGGGCCCCGGGGCAGCCACACCCACACGGGGCCCTACCGCAGCCCAGGGACACACAGCAGAATCAGTGACGGGAAACAAGCCCGCAGAGGCGTCCTGGGGACCAGGCCCGGCTTCCAGAACCCCCTCCTCAGGCCAAATGCCCCGAACGAGCCGAGGCCACGTGTGAAACGCTGTCGGCTGGGCAGCTGGCCAGAAGCCCGGGGCTCCTGCTGGGGCCGGTCACGTAGATGCCGCGGCTGCCGCGTGCCCCAGCCCCAGACTCCCGGGAGGAAGCAGCTGCTCTGCGTAGGACGCTCTAGGCCCCGGGAGCCCCTCCTCGCAGGGGGTGGCGACCCCGGACATCCAAGCTCCCAGACCCCGGTGCGAGAGGCCAGCCTTGCCAGGACGCCCTTCTGACACGACAGCCTTTCCTGCCCTGGCGTACGAGCCCTTCTGCACACAACCCAATGGGTGCACGGTCGGGACACAGTGCGCGGCACCACCTCATCCGGCGGCACCGACGTGGCCGCTCTGGAGCCCCAAACGGGACAGCCAGCAGGCCACGCGGCCTGAGGAGCACATGCTCCAAGCCCACCTGGCTGGGTGCCGCCAACCAGCAAGAGTGGCTTCCACGAATCCTCTTACCTTCTACGTTGTTGTAGAAATGACACGAACGACTTGCTACCTTCTTTCGGCACAGGTGGATCTGGGAGGAAAAGGCAGCAGGCCCGGCTAGCGTGATGGTGAAGACAGGGTGGGGCGCCGGCCGGCCAGGGGACTCGCTACCGGCGGTGCTGCCCGGCACCGTGCCAGCCCTGGCCCACCGGCTCCTCCCTGGGCCGTCCCCTGGGGGCACAGCCGAGAGCTCCAAGGGAACCACAGAGGCCGAGCGCGCACCCCAGAAACCCACCTGCATGTGGTTACTCTCCTGCTTCTTCACCTCGGGGTGGATACACAGCTGCTCCCGAGAGCCCAGCACACACACCCTTGGCCTGGCAGGAGGGAGAGCCGTGGGCCCAGGAACCAGAGCACCAGCCCTGGTGCCATCCAGCAGCACAAGCGTGAGCTGTGGAGCCACCGCGGAGCACCTCAACACGTGACCCGCGTGTGCACCTGGGAAGCCAAGGGAGCGGCCGTGGCCAGAACGTGCCCTGGGCTCGGGAGGTGCTTCCTCCGCCACACGGCCCAGAGTGAGCAAGGAGGCAGGGCAGGGGACACACGGGAGGACACCCGCCGACCAGGCCCCCGGCCCCACAAGGCTGGTGTGAGACCCTGGAACGGCCCCCGCCCTGCAGCGGAGGCGTCCTCCTTCCTTTCACACGACCGGCACGCCGCCCCCCACCACAGCTGACGGCAGCGCCCCCCGGGAGCGCAGGGTGCTAACTCCAGGGCGGCACGTACTCTGGGAGCTGCTGTCGCGTCAGCAGTGGGCGGCAGGGACAGCGTGGCCCTGGCTGCAGCCCAGTGCATGGCGGGCGCTGGAGCGCAGCGAAGCCTCAGAGCGGGGTCCAGGCACGGTGCACCGTGAGCCACCTTGCCAAGGCCACCCCCACCCCCCCATACCTCAGAGGCAGGGTGAGCGCACGACCTACCGGTAGGAGGTGTTCCGCAGCTCGCGGATGACCTGAGTGAGCTGTGAGTGGGTCCTGGAGGCATAAATGATCTTTGGGATGTCCGCGTAGCAAGCTGCCCGGGGACAAGGAAGCAGAACAGGTCACAGCTCCATGACACAAAGTTCTGGTGTGCTGTTAACCCAGGGGCACTTGGCTACCTCAGCCCTGCGCCCCTAGTCCCAGGAATGACCTAGGGGGCGGGATCCCTGGGTGGCGCAGCGGTTTGGCGCCTGCCTTTGGCCCAGGGCATGATCCTGGAGACCCGGGATCGAATCCCACGTCGGGCTCCCGGTGCATGGAGCCTGCTTCTCCCTCTGCCTGTGTCTCTGCTCTCTCTCTCTCTCTCTCTCTCTCTCTCTCTGTCTCTCTGTGACTATCGTAAATAAATAAATTAAAAAAAAAAATAAAGGAATGACCTATGACCTAGGAGGACATGTGTGGCCTTCTCATTTGGCCACACGGTCATGACCTCAGGCCTATGGTGAGAGAGGACGTAGCAGCTGCACCGGGACCTCACCAGCCCGCTCTACCCCGTGGCCACCTCTTTGCAGAGGCCCCAGAGGAGCTGAAAGGAGCCTCACCTGCGCCGTCTCCATCTGCAGCGGCATCTCCCCAGGATGACAAGGTGCGATCAAGGAAAAGCTCCCCTTGCACCCTCTCAGCAATCTTGCGGGCAGAGATGGCGTCGCGGAGGTGCTCCCGCCAGGCCAGCGTGCTGCAGAGGAGGCACAACGTCTTCCCCGTGCCGGTGGGGCTCTCCAGGATGCCATTTACTCTCTGAATGGGGCCAGGAGCAAGGTCACGGGAAGCAGGGGAGAGGCACTGCAGACCACAGCCCACCTGAGGCGGAGGCGGAGGCCACCCCGCAGGTAGCAGAAGGCCTGGCGACAGTGAGAACTTGACAGAGCTTCCGCTCAGGCCACCAGCCAAAAGCTATGAGCTAATTCGGCCCTCGTTAGCAAACAACTTGCAGAGCATCACTCAAACCTCGACGGTATTTTTCAACTTGATATAAATAGTAAAGTGACTAATCAGGTGCCAAATCTCAACACAGAACATCGCTCCGCGACTTTAGCCGCAGGTGGTCCGTGCTGAACAGAACCTGATGACCCACATACACCTCAGACGGGAGCCCGACCAGCAGGCTGGGGAGACACGGAGGCAAATGGCCACCACCGTGCTCCTCGTGCCCGGGCACGGGAGTCCGTGCCCACAACAGCGGCCAGGAGCCCGGCTGCAGAAGGCCGGGGGCTGCAGGGCCGGGGGCCCGAGCCGGGTGCACGAGAGCATGCCAAGAGTCAGCCAGCGACCTGCACCCCTCTGCCTTCCAGCACCCCCCGAGCTCAAACCCCTTCCCAAGCGAGGACGAGACGCTGAGAATCCAGCCCCGTGGGAATACTTCCTTCCCCCAGACCCTCAAACTGCTGGCTGCTCCTCCATATGTGGCCTTGGCTCAAATGCCACCTCCTCAGAAGGGCCCTCAAGGTGCTCCCAAGCCTGTGACCTCATGACCTTCCCTCTGAGCAACAACGGTCTTTCTGTCCTCGTGTCTCCCGTGTCTCCTAGAACACCAGCCCCGTTTAGGCCTGAGCCCTGCACCCGGGAGGAGGCCTGGTACCCGGCAGGGCTCAGCACCGGTGACCGGCGAGCGGAGCTACGCTGCGCTGCGTCAGGACTTGGCTGAAGCTCTGCCCGTGCCGACCCACCCGCAGCTGTACCTTCTGCAGACACTCCAGCACCTTGCTCATGTACTCCTCCTGGCATTTGTAGGGCTCGAATGGGAAATCCACGGCCACGCCGTTCAGGGTTATCTTGGGCATGCTGGCCCGTTCTCAGGACACAGGCTGGCTGGCACCCGGGCTGTGGGAGAGACACGACCCCTCTGACATGGGGTCTCAGCCACTGCAGATGAGCGACGCCAGCCCGCGGCTGGGACCCCAGGCTGTGCTCCAGGGAGGCCCGACGGCACAGAGGGGCACCAGGAGCCTGCAGCCAGCCTTCCTGGGGCGCCAGGCCACTTGGGCAACGACGCAGCCGCCCCGCGCGGTGGGACGGCCGGCCTGGGACACCGGGGAGGGGAGGCGCAGCCCCTGGGCCTGCCCTGCGCCCCGGTCCCAAACCGGTCCCTCGAGCTCGGGGAGGGGCGGCCGGGCCCACAGGACGGGCAAGAGCCAGGGCCGAGCAGGGCGGCACACGCCGCGCCTGCAGTCCCGCAGCTGCGCGGAGCTCGGAGGCCCGAGCACCGGAGCCACTTGGCGCCAACCCTGCGCGCCCGCCCCGCGCGCAGCCGCCCCGGAGGCCCCGCCCCGCCCCGGAGGCCCCGCCCCCGAGCGCAGGAAAACCACCGGCCCCAGAATGCAGCGCGGCACAGACCCGCGCGGGCCGGGCGGCGCGGGGCCTGCTGGGAGCTGCAGTTCCCGGAGGCGCGTGCGGCTCGGGGCGCCGGTGCCGGGGTCTCTGCGGCTGGCCACTCACTCGTCTCCGCGGACAGCCTTCCGCGGCCGGGGGCACCCCAGGATCGGCCCCAGGTCAGCCGGGGCCCCGCCACCGCGTCGCGGCCGCCGTCGGCCGGTCCGGACCCCGCGGGCTAAGGCGCTCGGTCGCCTCCGGACGCTCGGCACTTCCGCTCCCAGTTCCGGTCCGCAGGGCGTCGCTCCGGGCGGAAACCGTCCCGCGGTGGAGGGTCCGCGCGCTGGGTTCCGGCCCCGCCCTGAGCCTGGGGCCGCGCGCGTCCACCGGGGTGGGGCGCTTCCGGCCTCCCCCCGCCCCGCCGTCCGCCGGCGCCCGCCTTCCGGCGCCCTCCGCGGTCGCGCCCCTGCGTTGCCCGGGCTCGTGGGACTGCCCCGCCCCTATCCTGGGGCGCCTCGGGGCTCTTCCCCGCCTGCCCGGCGGTGTCCGGCACCCACGTCCGCGGGGGGTCAGGGTGGGCCCGGGGCCTCCCTGGGGGTGTCCCGCACCCACGTCCGCGGCGGGTCAGGGTGGGCCCGGGGCCTCCCTGGGGGTGTCCCGCACCCACGTCCGCGGGGCCTCCCTGGGGGTGTCCCGCACCCACGTCCGCGGGGCCTCCCTGGGGGTGTCCCGCACCCACGTCCGCGGGGCCTCCCTGGGGGTGTCCCGCACCCACGTCCGCGGGGGGTCAGGGTGGGCCCGGGGCCTCCCTGGGGGTGTCCCGCACCCACGTCCGCGGGGGGTCAGGGTGGGCCCGGGGCCTCCCTGGGGGTGTCCCGCACCCACGTCCGCGGCGGGTCAGGGTGGGCCCGGGGCCTCCCTGGGGTGTCCAGCACCCACGTCCAGGGAGGTCAGGGTGGGACCCAGGCCTGCCCACCCCTTAGGCGTAGCTGTTTGGACGCCCCAGCATGTTCCAAAGGGCGCCAGGAAGAAGCCACCTCTGGGGAGCTGCCAGCCCACAGCCCAGCCGGCTGGCAACGCCGCCCCCAAAGCTGCGAGTGGGCCCCCGTGACGTCCCTGCCTGTGAGACCTCGTGCTTGGGGAGGGCTGGGGGCCGCTGGCCACACGCGGGCAGAGGGCTCCGTCCCACCCACTCCAGTCCAGCTCAGGCATGGACAGGTTTGTCCTCCCAAGGCCTCTCAGATAAATCCTCTCCTTATGGGATCCCTGGGTGGCGCAGCGGTTTGGCGCCTGCCTTTGGCCCAGGGCCTGATCCTGGAGACCCGGGATCGAATCCCACGTCGGGCTCCCGGTGCATGGAGCCTGCTTCTCCCTCTGCCTGTGTCTCTGCCTCTCTCTCTCTCTCTCTCTCTCTCTCTCTCTCTCTCTCTCTCTCTCTCACTATCATAAATAAATAAAATAAAAAAAATCCTCTCCTTATCGGGTCCAGGGCCGGTGGGGAGCAGACCGCCTAAAGCCAGCAGCCCCGGGGCTCAGAGCCCTGAGTCCTGCTCTTCATTTCCACCCCCCGCGTCCTCTAAGAGCAGAGGCCTTGGTGCTCCCAGAGGCCCAGGGAAAGCAAGGCAGGACCCAGAGGCTCGGGGCCCCTGGGGCCCAAACCGCAGCCAGTGCACACGCTGTCCGGTCGCACGTCCTCTGTGGGACTGCCCAGCCCGCTACAAACGATAACTGGCGATGCCACATCTGAACCTAATCGCAAAAGATGAGAGGAAACGGGCCCCAAGGCGGGCGGTGACCAGCCCCGCCCAGCAGGCACAGAGATCTTGGCCAAGTCAACAAAGCTGAATGGAGAGCCTGCTCTTGCGGGCCCTGTGGGGACACTGTGGACCACAGGACACGTTAACCCGTCCCACCCTTGCCATGTGTGCACCTGGAGGTGTGCCTGTCTTCACGTCTGCCGGGCCTGCGGGCTGCCCCTGACCCTTCGGTCTGTCCCGGCCCGTCCCCTTTCTGAGCCTGCCTCACCTCTCCACAGGCTCCCGAGGCTTTCCACGGTCTGATTCCTGGCCTTAGGACCTACTTGGTCGCGGAGCAAGTGCTTCTCTTGACCTCCGTGGCTTCACCCCTAAAATGGGAGTGACACTCCATCCATATGGCTTCCCGGGCCCAAAGGGAGAGAGATGGCCCTTGCAGCAAGGGGCCCACCGCCTCTGCCAGGCTCTCCCTTTGCGGGTATCAACCAGAACCCTACGCCCAGAGAGGAGGGGAGGCGTGACCCCACACGTGACCAAGTGCACCCCTCTTCTCCATCATCTGGACACCGGCATTGTTGTCGCCTCTTACACTTGAGAAACAGACGTACGGAGAAGTCAGAAACTGGGTCCCAGCCGCACAGCAAGTGGGGTGTCAGCTGGGGTTGTCCTCCTCTCCAGCTGGCTCCCAGGGCTTTGTTCTAGGCCTCGCCACCCCTCCCGTTGACCCTCTTTTCTGCCTCGGAACCGACTTCGCCCTCCGGGATGCTCCTCGGAGGCCTTCCCGACCCACCCCGACCCCCACTGTCTGTGACGCGCTCTCAGCACGGGCCTGGGCACACGGGAGGCGCCTCCCGGCCGGGCGGGCTCCCCAGCCCCACCCTGATGTGGGGACCCCCTCCTCTCCCGCCACGCCCACCCTGCCCCCAAGCCCGCACAAAGCCCGGTTGGGGCAGCAGGGGGGTGTAAGGGGTAAGCAGTGGGTGGATGGGCCCCGGCCGCAGCACCCCGCCCCGCGGGCCCAGCTGGGCGCTCCCCTCCCACCGTCCCCTCCCTCTGACGGCTGCGCCCCTGCCACAGCCAGCCAGGCGCTCGCTCTCCTCGCTCTGCGCCCGCCTCCCGCCCTCCCTCCCCTCCCTCCCCTCCCCTCCCCTCCCCGGCACTGCAGCATTCGCCGACTGCAGCTCCAGCCGCCGCCCGCGCCTCCCGGCCTCCGCAGCCCGCGCCGCCAGCACCATGGCCAGCACCCTGTCCGGTAGGCGCGGGGCGCGACTCCCCGGGCGGCTCCCCCCGCCCCCGGCCCGCGCTCCGCCGGGGCTGCGAGCACCGGGCGCCCCAGGGCGGGGGCCGCGCCTAAGAGCCCCGGGCGAGGGGCGGGTTTGGGGGCGCGCGGCTGGGTGGGCGGTGGGGAGGCGCGGACCCCGGCGGGCCCTGGCCCCGAGGGAGGCGGCGGCAGGGGGCCCCGGCGGGAGCCCCCGCCCTGGGTGGCTGCCGGCCTCCGCGGCCCCGGGGGCGGGAGGGCGCTGCGGGCAGGCGGGGGAGGAGAGCCCAGCCGAGCCCAGCCGAGCCCAGCCGAGCCCGCCGGCGCCCTCCCCTGCCGCCGCCGCCGCCGCCGCCGCCGGGTCCAGGCAGCCGCCGCCCTTGGCGCAGCGGGGCTCGGGGGAGGAGCGGCCGCGGCCGCCTCCAAGCCTCCCCGGTCCGCCCCGCCTCCCCGCGCCGCCCCCCCTCCCGGCCTGCGCCGCCGCCACCGCGGGGCCGAGCAGTTCCTGGCGCCTGCGGGGCTGCCGCCACCCCGGCCGGAGGGCTCGCTCCCCGGGGGCACCCTGCCCCGTCTGGCCGCCCCAGGACCCACTTCATCTCTGCGCCCTCCGCCTCGGGGACGTCGGGGGAGCAGCTCCCCCAGCAACGCCCCTTCTCCCCCTGGACCCGAAGCTCCACTCCCAACCCACCCTCCCCTCCCTCTTGGGGGTCCCCTCTCCCCAGCCAGCCTGGTTCCCTCCAGGGGCGACACACGCTTTGGCCGGGCTCCACTCTCACGTGTGCCGTGTCCAGCCTCTCAGGCCCCAGGTGGCACCTGACCACGTGTGTCACTGAGCACACCCCGCCTGCACCCGGGCCTTCACCTGCCCCCTGCTCTCTCCTGTTGATCTCCTCGGAGATATTCAGCTCAGCTTTGGGCAGGGACAGGGGGTGGTCTGGCCTTCTCACGGCCAGAGTGCCACCCCAGTGCCCCCGTCAAGGCAGGGCTGGGGGCCCTGGCTCAGGATCCTGTCCCAGTGGGAGACAACGAGCACGGGTGGGAGATGCTCTCAGCCTTTTCTCTTACTTCGCCTCTTCCGTAAAAAGCCTCCTCAATAGGCTTTATTCCTGCCTGACAGACAGGCAGACGGGGTAGGTGGCGAAGGGACAGAGCCAAAGCTGCCCTGGCGATGGCCCCCGGGGTGGGCGCGCAGGCTCCGACCTCCCGGCCCCCTGGCGCCAGCCCTGTCTCCATCGCCAGGCTCTGGAGCACTGCCGACCCACGCTTCGTCCCAGGGTTTTTCTGGGTGTCCACGTTGCTGCTGGCGTGAAGAGGGAAAGCAAAGCGCCATCAGTTTTGTCCAGCACGGCCACCGCCTCATAGATGCGCGACGTGCCAGCTGGAGAAGTGCCCCTGGCCAGAGTCACAGGGCTGGGCCTCCCGTGTCGTCATCAGTGCAGCCCACACGTGTACACGGCTGTGCTCACCTCCGTCGAGGTTTGACAGGCGGGGGGGCCTGGCCCGGAACTGGCTGCGTGGGCACGTCAGTTGTGGCCAAAATCAGCTGGAGTGAATCCCAGGGGCTTGTCTGTTAAAAGGCCTCCCCGGTTGGAGCAGCCACTGACCTTCCCTGGCTCGTGGCCTGTCTGCCCCAGCTCGCTGGCGGGCTTCATTTCGTCTTGGTGACTGAGGTGAAGAGTCTTGTCTGATGACCTTGTCGTCAGCACGAGGTGGACCTCAGCGTTCTCTTCCTCTGTTGGCTGAAGAGCTGTCGCTCCACCTTTCCCTTGAGCGCCTGCTGACGGCTGCGCTGATGGGACGCCTGGGAGGTGGCCGTGTCTGGTAGCCTTCCCCCTCGGCTCTTCACACACTTTTGTAGACTCGTGCTCATGTTTCTCTCCTTCTGCGACTCTGTGGAGCTGAGAGGGCTCGCACACACACGACCTAAACCCTCAGGGCCTCATCCGGATGGGGGTGATAGTGACAGCGCCTCTCCTGGGCTTGTTCTGGGGGATGAACAGGGTATTTCAGGAAAGGTGCTTGGCCTAGTGCCTGGCAAGAGGCGGGAGCCCAGTCCATGCCAGGCCGTATGACTCTTGCAGCCTCATTTCCCAGAGTTTCCTGCCCAGAGAAAGGTGAATCTGCTGGAGAGTCCTGCTTCTGACTTTGACTGGTGAGAGGGCGGCCCGAGTAGCAATCAGCTCCATCTGTCAGGAAGCAATTAGCAGCAGCCTTCGGGACCCTTTTAGGGGTGTGGGCATCTGTGGGCACTCTGCCCTCCCAGGTCTGGATAGGCACCGCCTCCCCACCGCCGTGAGGCTCCCACCAGGAAGGTGCAGTCGGAGGCTGGGAGTCCTGACCGGGCTCCCATGCTGTCGTGCTGTGACTCTGGGTGGGCTCCTTGCTGTCTGGGACTCACTCTCCCTCCCCCTCTCTCTCTTCCCTTGGTAGAAATGAATCCGACAAGGGTTTCTGTCGGCTGGTCTTAAGGGTTACTTGGGACTCACCTCATGAGTGCTGCCATTATGGTTTCTGTGCCGCCGTAGGCTGACCTGGTGCCTTCTAACTCTTGCTCATCTAGGACCTAAACATCCAAAGGCCTTCGTGCATTTTTTTTTTTGCATACTTCACATTTACTATGAAAAGGACGAAGGAGATGAAAGCAGTGCAGCTCATGGCAGAGACTTGTTTTTAGTGACTCCCTGAAGTGAGTGATGGGAAGGAAGAGACGAGTCCTGGCTGGTGATGTGGAGAAACACATCCCAGCTGTCTATGGTGAGGTGCCTAGAAGGGTCTGGGCCTCGACCTCTCCCCTCTGCAGGGAGACATGGCCTTCAAGCCCCTCCAGCTCTGAGGACACAGGTGTCACTGCTGTTCTGAGCTGCTGGGCCCAGCCCTGCTCTCCAGCCCCAGCTCTACAAATTGGCCAGTTTCCCCACCTGCTGCCCAGTCCCTTCCAACTCGCAGCCAGACCACAGAGCAAACCTCCCTCCCAAGCCCCCTTCTGGGGGTGCCCCTTCCCACATGGCTCCTTCAGATGAGTCTTCTGGGAAGGAAGCACCTCGTGGGCCATCAGCCTGGGAGAAACAAAGCTGGAGAATCTCTGTGACCATCAGGCACTAAGCTGCATCCCTATTACCAGCCGCGGGACACAGTCCCCCCTTTCCTGGTTGGACACTGGCCCCCAGGGCTCCGAGAGCTCTGACTTCAGTCTCCAGCACACCCCCCCCATCCTTCTCCCCTCTATCCTAGCAGTGCGGTGCTCTCAGCTGCCCAGCCTCCCTTCCTGCTGAGGGGTGACAGTTATTCAGAAGGGAGCTGCCCCAATATTTGTAAACGTGTTCTTCCTCTGTAATAAATGCTCGTCTTCCTGGGAACACTTCCTCTCAAGGCCGAGAGGAGCTTGAGCAGCTGTGAGGCCCCAAGCTCCCCGCCTATGGGCTAAACTCATTTGGGGGTTCCCGCATGTGGTGAGGAGAGACTACCTGGAGGGTGGGAGAGGCAGTGCCTGTTGCCAGGAGGCGGGTGGTGGCAGGGTTAGACCAGCCCCTTCCTTCGTGGCCTCTCCCAGGATCCAAGTACGTTCCCCTCCTGACCCTCCCTCTGAGCAGGGGCCCGGCTATTTCCCCAGCCTTCCCAATGCCCAAATGTCTCCCGGTCCCCTGCTTCTGAAGAGCTGGCCTTGCCTCGTCTTATTCGCTCTAACTCCCCAGCCATGCAGTGTGACGTACTCCTCTGCCTACTTTTTAAAGTTAACTTTTAATAGCACAAGTAATGCACAAATAGATTATGCCTGTGAAAAAATAAAACTGACAAGTCAAGCCAAAATCCCCTTTGAGGCCTGTGTCCATGGCCCCCCTGCTTCCCAGCCTCCTGAAGCCAATGACCAAGACGCACGTCCTAGCCCTGCTTCCCCTCCACACCCCTTAAAGGCTCTCCTTGCTGCCTGCCCGGGATTCCTTCGTGCTCCCTGTAGAGTCTCTGGGGCTCTCTCTAGGAGGACCCGGGTCATCAGGACATTTAGATCAAATGACAAAGTTCTCTGCGGTGGTTGTGGGAAAACCCGGCTCACCACAAGCTGTTCCCTCAGACAAGAGCCTGATAATTTCTGTCCCGTGTCCTGTTTCTATACCAACACTTTTCCCGACCTCACATTAACTCAATTTTAAAACACTGTCCGGTGTGAAATTTGATCAGGAAGTTTCTTGTTGATCTAAACCCTTGTAGATCCAAATTCATCTGTGCTCCTTGGAAGATCATTTCATGGAAGCCAGACCCCGTCTCTGGAGACCTGCACCAGCTTCTCCAGCTAGGGAGGGGGGAGGATGGGTCTCTGAGCCTCCTAGTCTTTGGGACCTGCTAGAGTGGTGGAAAGGACACGGACCACCTGGGATTGCACTTGAGGAGCTCTGGGCAAGTCACCCTAGCCACCAGGGCCCACTATCATCTCAGTGGAGCAGGAGGACGGTCCTGGGCTCGAAGATTGTTAAGCACTAGTGAGACACCGGGCCAGCATGTCTACCGTGGGGCCTGGCTTGTCACGAATAGGTCACAAAGAGCTCAATTATTTCCATCTGGCACTGGGCTCCTCCCCTTCACCTGCCGGGGTGCGGGGCCTCAGTGGGCGAGCTCACCTCCTCTTCTGGGTGGGCACGGGCTCTGCAAGGCTAGAGGGCGGGCTCTGGTGCTGAGCAGACAGCTCCCTGCATCTGGCTGGAGCCCGATGGGGAGCCCCGGCCTGGTGATCTCGGGGTCTCAGCTGGGTCATGGGGTAAACGGGGGGGGGGGGCACACACAGGAGGAAGTCTGAGGGCTCCACCCACATGTACAGGCCAAGAAGGTGCTGCCTGCAGAAGCTCCACGTCTGTGCTGGCCCAGGCAGGAGTATGGTGGTTAATACCTGGGAGAGGGAAAGGGGAGGAAGGAGGGCCAGGGAGGGTGACTCCGGGAAATACACAGTGACAGAGACTCACGGAGACAGGGAAAGAGAGAGACAGAAGGAGTCAGGAAGGAGGATGAACGGAGACGGACAAAACACAGCCACAGAGAGGAAAGAGGCAGAAATGGCAAGAAAGAAAAGGAGGAAGAAGGCGGATACTAAGCGAAGAACGCAGGACAGCCCACGGGGGTGCGCCCCGGGACAGACCAGGCCCCCTTCTGGTCAGCTTTGGGCGGGAAGAGGAGAGGTGTAGGGGGCAAGAGAATAGGCTTCCAGAGAGACGCAGCGTCGGGGGTGCCGGGGAGGAAGGACGGCGGGTGCCCAGCGCCCTCACTGCTGGCCTCACGCCCACAGCCTACAAGGAGAAGATGAAGGAGCTGTCGGTGCTGTCGCTCATCTGCTCCTGCTTCTACTCACAGCCACACCCCAACACCATCTACCAGTACGGGGGTGAGTGCCCCGCTTGGTGGGCGCCCTCCTCCTCCTCCCCTTGCTCCCTGCTCCCGCGGCCTCTCCGGCCGACCTCCCCGCACCTCGGCTCAGCTGGCGTCTGGAGAGTGGCCTCGGGTGGGAGGCGGCCCTGGGGGCTCAGGCCAGGGAGTCCCACGTGAGCAGCCGCGTCCCCTCCTGCAGCCCTGGATTTGGGCAGGAGCTGGGAACGTGTCCCCTCAGAGCCTGAGCCCCCGTGTGGTCTTGCAGACATGGAGGTGAAGCAGCTGGACAAGAGGGCCTCTGGCCAGAGCTTCGAGGTCATCCTCAAGTCCCCTTCTGACCTGTCCCCCGAGAGCCCAGTGCTCTCCTCTCCCCCCAAGAGGAAGGACACCTCCCTGGAGGAGCTGCAGAAGCGGCTGGAGGCTGCTGAGGAGCGAAGGAAGGTGAGGAGCCCTCCTCTGCCCCCAGGTCCTGATGAGGGTGGACACATGGGTCCCCGAAGCACAGAGTGTTCCAAGCCGCCGCTTGGCTGTTGGCTGGGTGGGGGGGGGGGCTGCAGGGGGACGGAGAGGGTCTCGTGGTTCCCTGCTCTCCTCTTGGGAGATGAGAATGGGACAGGGAGGTGAAAGGGGTGTCCTTGGGCATGGCCAGCAGGGGGCCCTGGGATGTGAGCCTGGGCTGGCATCCCTGTCCAGGGAAGGGAAGAGGGAAGAAGGGGACTCCCCCATGTGTTGGGGACCGCAAGCCCAGGCCTGCTGGGAGCTCCGGGCCCTGGGAGAAGTGCCTCTTCCCCTCACACCAACCCCACAGAGGTGGAAACACACACACACACACACACACACACACACACAGACCAGTGCAGTCTGGCTCCAAGTCCCTTAGAGCATGTCCCCGTGACCCCTTGGGACCTGGGCCTGCGGGGGGTGGCCAGCAGTGACCTCACGTGGGTGGGCTCGGCGGCCCGCCCCCCTCAGCTCTCTGCGGGCCACCAGGCGGTCCCCGCCCCAGAAGGGCTGGACGGTGGGGACCAGCAGCCCGGGTGTCCGCAGCCAGAGCCCGGGCCTACCAAGCACCTACTTGGCGCTCGGGGCGCAGCCGTCGGAGGACACGGTGCGGGCTCCACGACAGCCCGGAGGTTTTGAATCAGTGGAGCTGCCCCCACGGCCCCTGAGGGTGCCTCGGCCTGGGAGGCGGCGGGAGCCAAGGCCCGTGTTGCTGGGGGGCCCCCGTGGCTCTGGGCCTGTCTGGGGCTGAGCTCCCAGTACCAGGTACCAGGTCACGGCGGTGCCCAAGCCCTCGGGCCCCCCGGAGCTCGGCCCGGGCGGGGGGCCGGTGGGGGGGGCGCTCACCTGCCACCCCCCCACCCCCCCACCCCCCGCCCAGACGCAGGAGGCGCAGGTGCTGAAGCAGCTGGCGGAGCGGCGCGAGCACGAGCGCGAGGTGCTGCACAAAGCCCTGGAGGACAACAACAACTTCAGCCGCCTGGCGGAGGAGAAGCTCAACCACAAGATGGAGCTCAGCAAGGAGATCCGCGAGGCGCACCTGGCGGCGCTGCGCGAGCGGCTGCGGGAGAAGGTGCGCGGGGCGGGGCGGGCGGGGGACCCCGGGAACCCCAGCAGCCGGGCGCGCGGCGGTGCGCAGGGGACTCCGCGCCCACAGCCCAGGCCCGGGCCCAGGGACCCGGCCGGGGCCATCGTTCCGTCTGAAGCCCCCAAGGACGCGCATGGGGTCGGAGCCACAGGAGGGAGGAGCTGCGTTAGGGTCGGGGCCAGGGAAGCCCCAGGAGCCCCCCCCCCCCCGCGGCCCCTTCCCAGCGCACCCGCAGCCCCGCTGCTCCCCGCCCTGCCCAGACCAGAGACAGCCCAGAGTGAGGCGGGACCCCCTAGGAGTGGCCCCTGCTTCTGCCCCCGGGGGGGGGGTTACCCTGGAGCCTGCAAACCCCAGGACGTCCCGAGTCCCAGCTCTCTCTGGTTGGGGAGCAACCCGTGTGGCAGCGAGGGCCAGCGCCACACTCAGGGCACACTTGGGGCGGGGGTGCTGCGGGCCTCGTCTTGGGCAAGGTGTCCTCCTCGGTGGCTTCTCCTGCACCTCGGAGGGTCCCTGAGGCCTGCTGTGGGGGCTCCCCCCCCCCGTGCCCGCAGGAGCTGCACGCCGCCGAAGTGCGCAGGAACAAGGGGCAGCGGGAGGAGATGTCCGGCTAAGGGGCTGCGGGCCGCAGGCGCCTGGATCCTGAGAGGAGCCGTCCACACACGCGGGCTCTGGTTTCGTCTTGTCCCACTTTGTCTAGATGCAACTCTTGTTCCTGCTCCCTCCTCCCCAGCACTCCCAGCTCCTGCTTCTCTTTCCGCTCTGAGCTGCCCAGTCCTCGTGGCATGTCGCTCTCCACAGGCGCGCCCTCCAGGAGCCACCAGGGCGTGGCACGGTCCCTCAGTTCAGGCACAGGCCAGGCACTGGCCAGGCCCCCTCTTGGGGGCCCTCTTAGCAGATGTGGTGACAGCCTCAATAAATCCAGTGGTGGTAGCAGGAACACCTGGGTCCTTATGCTGGCTTGTCCTGCGAACACCTTGTCACTTGGGGCACATCCCCTGAGCCAGCCCCCTGCCCACAGGCAGAGGCCACACCACCTGCAAGCCCTTCTGGGGGAGGGACTGAGCACACGGGTGGGGGTGGAGAAAGAAGGGTGACTGGGCGGTGTGTGGCCAGGTCAGCCTGTCACTTTGGCCAGCCATGGGAGCCACCTGTGCAGTGGAATGTTTGGAATTGGTGGGTGGGGGTCCTCTGAGACCACCGGGCTTGCAGTCGGAGGCTTGGGCTGGCCTGGGAGGCTGCAGTCATTGCCTGTGGCTGGAGTGGGCTGGGGGGGATGTGGCCTGGCCTAGTCTTCAGGGGAGTGGGCATTCCCCACCAGGGACCCATGAGCAAGCTACCCTGCTCTTATGGGTTGGGGGTGCCCTGACACTCCCAGGGGCACCCTCCTCCATCACCGCTCCTCCCCACCCACCGCCGGGGCAATACACACCCTTGGAGTACCCCACCTTCAGAGCCCTTTGGAGTCTTTGCCCTTTCCCGGGCCCTCACCCTGGTAAAAAGATGCTCCCGTGATGCTCCGGGCCACGCGGGTTTCAGGCTCACCTCTGGACAGGTGTAGCTAGGTGTGAGTGGCAGTCACCAGTGCCCCCGGGAGCAAACAGCAGGGGGAGTCAGCGACCAGCTGCCTGCAGATTCAGATGTTGGGGGGCGGGGTTCCCCGAGCACCTTCCTGCCTAGTCCATCCTTGACATTCTTGACCCATGGCCCCCTCTGGCTCCAGGCCTCTCCTGCCAAGCCTTCCTGGACTGGGTTCCATCTCCTCCCTCAGCCTAGGGGGAATCTCCAGATTCCTAGCACCAGCTTTTGAGGACTGTCGCCTGCTAGACATGGGGGGTATCCAGCCCTAGCGGAGTACTGAAGGCAGGGTCCTTGCTGACCATCCTCTGGGTAGAAAGCATGAGGGGACAGAGCCAGCACTGCAGAAACCAGGTGGCTTGCAGCCCCCCCCCCCTCCACCAGCTTCTATCCTGCAGAAACCTATAGGGACACCGCCAGTGGACTCCCAGGGCAAGCCAGAGAGCGCAGTGGATACTGATCCCCCACAATAGGGAAGTAGTGACCCATGCCACTATCCTCGTCCCCACCCACACAGCCTCCAGGGGAGTGACAAGCCAGGATTGGAACCCAGTTGTCCCACGTGTCGTGCTTGTGGGACTCAGAAATGGAAGCGGAAAGAGAACAGAGGGCTGGATTCCTTTCCGCAGCGGCAGCTCTCTCGCAGTGGAAGCCTAGTGTGATATGTACCCATCTCATCCACGTAGTGAAAGTGAACTTAAAATTAAATTGAATGATTAAAGACACAAAAACCCCAAAACCTGTGTGTTTAAGTGGCTGTACTGTCCCCATGTGCATCCTACATCTGTGGGATCAGACAGGTCACGGGGTACTCCTTGTGAGCATGTAGCCCCAGACTCAAACGGGTGGTGGTCCTGTCCTCTAGGACCCAAATAGGCTGTGGGGGTGCCCAGCAGGGACCCCTCTGCTAGGGAGGAGGCTATGCTCAGGCCCTGGGTAAGTGCCGGCTCCCCAGGATCCCGAGAGTCTGCTCCCCCCACTCCTGGGCCGCTCCTGGGGCAGTCCTGGCCACTTCCCCAGGCTCCAAGGACCTCTCACCACCTCCCCTCCTCCCCCTGCCCCAGGATAGGTGGGAAATCAGGATCTGGGACACGCAGCCCCCCAAGACACAGGCGTCAGAAACCTGCGAGAGCAAAATTTGGGAGAGCGGTAGGAGAGGACGGGAGTGGCCGAAGATACTTTTATGAGGCGTGAGCTCTGCATGCTGGGACTCTGGGCACACAGACACGTACATGCCATGTACAGGCACATCCCAAGAGGACCAGGTGACCAGGGGCCAGGGCGCCCCATCCCTCAGGGGGCCCTAGTCAGCCGTTAGGGGCAGACAGCATTTGACACACTTACCGCGTGGAGCCTCTGCATGGGGCACGGATGGGGACCCCTCCACAGACCCCCGCCTTCCCTGCAGGTGGGGTCCTACTGGGAGCCAAGCCTGCCTCGGTTACCTCCTCCCGTGTAACTAGTGACCTCAAGCACCGTGTCTCACGCGGCCGGCCGCGTCCCTAAGCCAGGAATCCGGGAGCTGGGCGGCCTGCGCAGGGACCCCCTGAGGTTGCAGTCGCAATGCCGGCTGAGGCCCCGCTCGCTGGAGGCTGGGCCGGGCAGGGGGGGTGCTCCCACAGGGCCCCAGGTGGCCTCGGGTCCTCGCCGCGTGGACGTCCTCGGCTGGGCGACCGGCCCCATGGGACTCCACCCGCGACGATGGACGGCGAGACTCCGCGCAGAGTTTAAATTTTTTTTTTTTTTAATTTATGATAGTCACACAGAGAGAGAGAGAGAGAGAGGCAGAGACACAGGCAGCGGGAGAAGCAGGCTCCATGCACCGGGAGCCCGACGTGGGATTCGATCCCGGGTCTCTAGGATCGCGCCCTGGGCCAAAGGCAGGCGCCAAACCGCTGCGCCACCCAGGGATCCCCCGCGCAGAGTTTAAAAGCAGGTCCGTGGTGCTGCCCGAGGGACCTGCGGCCTGGACACGCGCGTTCGCTCCGGCGGCCCCAGGAGACGGTGTCTGGTGGCAGGGACAGTCTCGCGGCAGGGCCGCCTGGTGCCGGGCAAGCCCAGCGGAGGCCACAGAGGCCCGAGGGTGGGAGCGTCAGCACGGCCGCCGGCCTTACTCTTGGGCCGAGGCGCCAGTGGGGTCCCAGGGCTGCCGTGACCAGCACCACGGCTGGCGACCTGACCTTCAGACACGTACTCTGTCACGGTTCTGGGGCCAGAAGCCCCACATCAAGGTGTCCCAAGGTCCTGCTTCCTCTGAAGCCTGTGCTGAGGTCCCCCCGGCCCCTCCTAAGCTCTGCTGTCGGGAAAGGTCATCTTGGGGCCGCGCACAAAGCCGCCTAAGAATGGGCTTTGGGCCTGGAAGTCTTTCCAACGGGTAGGGACCCACGGACCTGAGCGGGCCAGGCCTCCCGGTGGGAGCTCAGTGAGCCACCCGCCGCCCCGGGGCAGTGCCCTCGGCCTTGCCCTCCTGCAGACCCGGGGCTTGGCTCTTCTCACTGCGGCCCAGGAGGCCTGTGCCCGCCACCTGCCGCCCCAGCACACCTTGTGTCTCTTGCGTGAGCACAGCTGCCGTGTCAGCGCCCGACTGCTCACGTTCGCCTGGGCACCCGCAATGCCAGGGTACGGGGGGTGGCAGTGTTGGCACTCCTACCCCGGGGGCTGGTGCTGTCGTGAGCTTTGCCCTCCTCCACGTAGCCGGGGTCCTCCCCCGGGACTGGGAAGCTCAGTGGCTCTGCTGCTGGACACTCACAGTCTTTGGCTTGCACACGCATCACACCAATGTCTGTGGTCACGTGGCCACCTCCCCTACGTGCGTCTCTGTGGGACACCAGTCATTGGATTGGGGCCCATCCTAATCCAACATGACCTCCTTTTAGCTAATTACGCCTGCAATAACCCCATTGCCAAATAAGGTCACATTCTGAGTTACTGAGAATTGAGATGTCAATGTAGCTTTGGGGGACGTGATTCAGCTAAAAACAGAAGTTGTAGAAACACACACATAGTACACGTAGCTTTACTTATTTTTTTTAAAGATTTTGTTCTTTTTAAAGTAATCTCTACACCCAACGGGGGCTCGAACTTACAACTCTAAGTCCAAGAGTCACACGCTCCACCGATGGAGCCAGCCAGGCGCTCCAGGATAGTTAACTTAAAACATTCACACATTTATTCACATATTCAGCATTTTAGCCAGTGCTTGCTACTTAGTACAAGTGTGTGCCTCACTCTAGGGAATGCCCTTGAGAGCACAGCCCTTGCCCCGTGAGAACTTTAATGCTAGTCACTGAGACTTTCTGCACTCACCGTAATTTATGATTTTTCAAAGGCACTTTAACATGTTTTTAATCTCCAGAATGCCCAGAGTAGGCATTATTTTTATGACATTCACATTTTTTCTGGTTATATGAGTAATATATGTTCACTGCATCACTGCAAAGCACAAAGAAAAAAAACTTGATCCACCCAAACGTCTTTCCTGCACAGCGGATTCGCTCCATCAGGGGCATCGAGGGAAGCCAGTGCTCAAACCTCTGAGAACTACACACAGTAACGTTAGCACTTCTCTCACGTCATAACCTGCTTCAGCGGCCGCGTGGCCATCTAGTTTATGGATGTACTGGGGCGTTTGAGAAAACTTTGCCCATTTTTTGGTCTCATAAACTTTTTGTTTATCTGGATGATACAGATTGACAGTGACCACATTAGGAATTAAAACTCAGAGATTGATTGATTATTTATTATAAAGATTTTATTTATTTGTAAGAGACACAGAGAGAAAGAGAGGCAGAGACACAGGCAGAGGGAGAAGCAGGCTCCATGCGGGGAGCCTGACACGGGACTTGATCTCAGGTCCCCAGGATCACACCCTGGGCCGAAGGCAGTGCTAAGCCGCTGAGCCACCGGGGCTGCCCTCAGAAATTTTTTTTTAAAGATTTTATTTATTTATTCATGAGACACACACACACACACACAGAGTCAGACAGAGAGAGAGAGACACAGGCAGAGGGAGAGTCAGTCTCCATGCAAGGAGCCCGATGTGGGACTCCATCCCAGGACTCCAGGATCATGCCCTGGGCCAAAGGCAGGCGCTAAACTGTTGAGCCACCCAGGGATCTCCCCAGAAAATGTAAAAAAAAAAAAAAAAAAAAAAAAATCATTTAAATGATACACCCATTACATGTTAACATAACATTCTGAAATGAAAAACAGTATTGTGTCAACTATACTTACGTTAAAAAAAAAAAATCAGGGGCATCCCTGGTGGTTCAGAGGTTTAGCGCCACCTTCGGCCCAGGGTGTGACCCTGGAAGCCCAGGATCGAGTCCCATGTCAGGCTCCCTGCATGGAGCCTGCTTCTCCCTCTGCCTGTGTCTCTGCGTCTCTCATGAATAAATAAAATCTTTAAAAAAAAAAAAACAACAAAAACAAAATGAGCAACATTTTCCTAGGGAAAAAAGTTAGAATGGATGAAGCAGATGAATAAGTCTGGTATCAATCCATGATAGAAGGAACGTGTGTATTAATAGATTGTTTTTTTTTGTTTTTTTTTAAAGATTTTATTTATTCATGAGACAGAGAGAGAGAGAGAGAGAGAGAGAGAGAGAGAGAGGCAGAGACACAGGCAGAGGGAGAAGCAGGCTCCATGCAGGGAGCCCGACGTGGGACTCGATCCCAGATCTCCAGGATCACGCCCTGGGCTGAAGGTGGCGCTAAACCGCTGAGCCCCCGGGGCTGCCCAATAGATTGTTTTTTTAAATACCAAGCCAAAGCTTGCTGTGGGGCAGTTCCTTTGAAGCTGGCTGCAATGTGAGTCTGAAATCACGCCAGTGAACTTTTCATATGCTTCCATCAGTTCACTGGTCTGTGCTGAACTTATTTATGTCCACCTCATACCCACGTGTGGCCCTGCAGCTCCCAGGGCAGGTAGCTACGGCAGCAGGCAGCTGTGTAGGCACAGTCTCATGCCATGTGGGCCTGGTGTCCGTCACCACTGCCCTTCTGGGGCCTTCTCCTTTTAACTGTATCGGCATCATCTCAAGAACATGAGCACCGAGAAACTCAAGGAAATAACAGACACGGATTGTGCACAACCATTCTTATATTTACCAAATAATAAAATAACAGCATGAACACAAGCTCGATAGTTTAATCTTTTTTTTTTTTTTTTTTTTTTAAGATTTTAGAGGCGCCTGGATGGCTCAGTGGTTGGGTGCCTGCCTTCGGCTCAGGTTGTGATCCTGGGGTCCTGGGATCGAGTCCCACGTTGGGCTCCCTGCATGGAGCCTACTTCTCCCTCTGCCTCTGTGTGTGTTTCATGAATAAATAAATAAAATCTTAAAAAAAAAAAAGATTTTATTTGTTGGGATGCCTGGGTGGCTTAACGCTTGGGCATCTGCCTTTGGCTCAGGTCATGATCCTGGAGTCCCAGGAAGAGTCCCACATCGGGCTCCCTGCGGGGAGCCTGCTTCTTCCTCTGTCTGATTTTATTTATTTATTCATGAGAGACACACAGAGGGAGAGGTAGGGACACAGGCAGAGGGAGAAGCAGGCTCTATGCAGGGAGCCTGATGCAGGACTTGATCCCGGATCCTGGGATCACACCCTGAGCCACCCAGGTGTCCCAGGTTAATGTTTTTTAAAAAAATATCTTATATATTTCAAAGAGAGACAAAGTACACAAGTGGAGGAGGGCAAAAGGGCGAGAGAGAAGCAGGCTGCTCCATCCCAGGACCCCAGGATCATGACCTGAGCCACCCAGGCACCCTGATAGCTTAATCTTAAAAAAAAAAAAAAAAAAGTTTAATTTTTTTCCATCACTGGCTTAAAGACACTCTGAATTATGAAAACAGTGAATTACAACATTATTGAAATGAAGTTTGCTTGAATTTTCCCATTTGGGAAATGGTCTTCAGTGATGATCGTGCACTTGAGGGTGAACGCGGGCTCATGGCTTGGCCCTAACAAGGCATTTATTTCCTGCCTTCTCTGTGCGCTCACACTCGGGGCAGGGGTGAGCAGGGAGAGCAATCACACCCGGATCCGGAGGGCTTGGGCAAGCATGCCCGGTTCTGAGAGCCGAGCCGGAGCCGCCGTCGCTCCCGGGGCCCTCGGACCGACAGCGGGAAGCCTCACCACCGCACCTGCTGTGGACAGGGCGGAGGACTGTGGGTAAGCGGCCCCGTGGGGTCGAGAGGCACAAGGATGCTAGTGCCCAGCTTCCAGGTCAAGGTGCTCCGCGAGGTCAAGGCGCTCCACAAGATGAAGATGCTCTGCAAGGTAAAGATGCTCCGCGAGGTCAAGGTGCTCCGCGAGGTCAAGGTGCTCCGCAAAATGAAGATGCTCTGCAAGGTCAAGATGCTCCGCGAGGTCAAGGTGCTCCACAAGATGAAGATGCTCTGCGAGGTCAAGATGCTCCGCAAGATGAAGATGCTCCGCAAGATGAAGATGCTCCGCGAGGTCAAGATGCTCCGCGAGGTCAAGGTGCTCCGCAAGATGAAGATGCTCCGCAAGGTCAAGATGCTCCGCGAGGTCAAGATGCTCTGCGAGGTCAAGGTGCTCCGCAAGATGAAGATGCTCCCCGAGGTCAAGGCGCTCCGCGAGAACTGGCGAACACGTACGTCCCTTCCTGCGTTCTGGAAATGCACGGGCTTTACCTGTAATTAAGTAAAAAGAGCGCGCGGGCGACGCTCGGCGCTCCCTCCCCTGGGTGTGTCGGGCGCCTCTGCGGCGCGGGGAAGCTGCGGAGCACGCGGGCCGCCGCCACGGCGGGACAGTGCGGCCGCGGGGCAACAGACTCCGGCTCGGCCCAGCCCTCGCCAGGGACTAAACTAGGCAGGTGCTCCCGCGGAGCCGGCGTCGGGGGGCCGCGACCCGCCCGTGAGGGCGGAACCCGCAGGTGCGCCGGTGGGCGGGGCCCGGGGAAGGTGCCGCCGCTTCCGCCCCCGCCCCCGCGCACGCGCGCCGGGCCCCACCGGGCCTTATTTCTTGGCGCGGCACGCCTTCCCCTCGAGCGCCAAATAAGTCTCCGGGCCCGCCCCCGCCCTGCGTGCGCGGCCCCGCCGCCTGCGTCACTAGGAAGCGCGCGCCCGAGCTGCCGCCGCCGCCGCCGCCGCCGCCGCCGAATCCCCAACAAGGAGCGGAGCCCGCGGCCGCCGCCGCCGCCGCCGCCCGCCTGACGCCGTCGCCGCCGCCCGCCCGCCGGCGCCCGCGCAGGCCCGGCCGCGGCCCAGGTAAGAGCCCGCGGCCCCCCCGCGGCGAGGCCTCTCGCTCCGCCGCGCGCCGCCGTCCAGTCAGGGGTCCCTGCGGAGCGTCAGGACGTTACGGCGGGGGGAGGGGAGCGGGGGAGGGGCGGCGGCGCGCGGCGGGCGTCACGGGCGTCACGGGCGTCACGGGCGTCACGGGCCCGCGTCAGGCGGCGTCGGCGGCGGCGTCCGCCTCCATCTTGCCGGAAGGCGGCGGCCGGGCGGCGGGCATGGCCCTCGGGCTGGGCGCGGACCCCGGCCCCGGGGGGGCCGTGCGACCGCCCCGCTTCCGCCGGCCGGCGGGGGCCGCGTCCACGCGGGGGCCCCCCTCCCCCACGGCGGGGGCCGCGTCCACGCGGGGGCTCCCCTCCCCCACGGCGGGGGCCGCGTCCACGCGGGGGCTCCCCTCCCCCACGGCGGGACCCACACCCACGTGCCCCCTCCCCCACGGCGGCAGCCGCATCCACGCGGGCCCCCTCCCCCACGGCGCGGGCCGCGTCCGCGCGGCCCCTCCGGCGGGCCGTGGGTGGGGGTCCCCGGCAGGAACCGCGTGGCTCGGCGGGCGGGCGGCGGGCTGCTAGGTGGGTGGCCTCCCCGGGAGCCCCCTGCCCCGGGGCGGGCGCGTGTGCGAGGAGCACCGCGGGGACCCCAGCCCTGCCCTCCGCCTCGGCGCCCCGACCCTCGTCTCGTGCGAGGAGCACGCGGTGCACCTTCCAGCACCTTCTATGGGGCCGTGGCCGCGTCCTGAGGCTCCGCAGGACTCAGCTGCCCCCCACCCCCGCCCCGCTTGAGCCCGCCCTTGGGCCATCGTGCACCTGCCGCGCGCTCCCCGGCGCGGCCGCCGCCAGCCCGAGGGTGCAGGGCTCCGGTGGGACGCGGACCCCGTCTCCCTGGGTGTGCGCCCACCCTGGGCGCTGGGTCACCGGGAGCTGCGCCCGCGGTGTGCGAGGCGCGAGTCAGCCAGGCGGACGGCCCGGACGGCCCGGACGGCCCGGAGCCCAGAGCGGGCGCCCTGCCCTCGGTCCGGAGCGGGAGGACCTGCTGGGGGCGCGGGGTGCAAGCGGCGCTTCCCTGCGCGCGGGCCCTGGAGCCCTGCTCGGGTCAGGCTCGGGTCAGGCGCCCGAAGTAACTAACCGGGTTGGTGCCTGAGCTGAGAAGGGAGGCCGCTTGCCTGGGCGCCCCCACCCCCCCCCCGCCGCGGGCCGACCCCCCGGAACCGGGACTTCCTGTGCGACAAAGTCGGCAACTAGTTAAAAGCGTTTGAAACCCTGCGAGGATCTGAGAACTGGTGCCCGTGGGCGGCGGCTGCGGCCTCCGCTGTGTTCCCTGCGTTTTTACCGGGAAACACGTTCCTGATCTTGCCCCGTGGGAAGCCAGAGCCGAGCCCCCGAGCCCCCGCGCCCACCGCGCACTAGCGCTTCTGTCTAGTATTTACGCATCATCGCCCAGGAGGGCCCCCGGGAAAGTAACAGCATCGCCTTCGCGCGAACGTTACATGGAGCCTGGGTGGGCTCGCAGGACCCCGAGCTCCGGGCGGACCCCGGGGGCGGGGAGCCCGCGCGCCTCCCTGCGGGCCTCGCTCCGCCTCCGAGCATCATTGTATCATCATTGTATCACGGCCTTGAGTTCTGTGAAGTAACCTTCCTCCGGGTTGTTTCGAAAACTTAATACAGTTGCCACCGGAGAGGCAGGAGCGGCAGGAGCTCGCTTGAGTGCATTTTCGCCCCGTCTTGCTCTGGGTGGGCGCAGCTGCTGTAGGGAGGATCCCGCCTTCTGCGGCGTGGAGGGGGCGTTCGTGGCCCCACGGAGCTCACCCAGTGGAAGCAGGGCTCCCTGCTGGCGAGAGCTAAACCGGTTCAATGTTATTTTGAGTACAATAAAGATCAACAAATGTATTGTTTTTAAAAGTTCTTTTTTTTAAATTAGTAATCTCTACATCCTCCGTGGGGCTCAGACTCAAAATCCTGAGACCGGGAGACGGGGCCAGCGGGGTGCCCCAGAAGTACGATTTTACGGTAGACTTTGACTCATGTTTGTTTAGAGGTTTTGGTTTTACCGCTTAGACCTAGGACACAGCAGCTCTACTTTAGGAACGGGCAGTGCGTCCGTCAGCGCCAGTGACTTCATCGTGCAGCTTTCCTGGTTTAAGGCGTCTGAGCACAGGCTTAAGGTCCCTGGAGGCCCTGCCGTGGGACCTCATGACAGAGGACCCGGTCTCTCGCCATCAGCATCTCCCGCCCAATGGTGCGTGTTTGACCGAGGCAGAGTCTGCAGGCGTCGTAACTACCCGAAATCTGGGGTTTGCGTCACATTCTTCTCGGTGCTTATGTTCTGTGATGTCACATGGGCACCATCACGGCGTCCTGCGGCGGCTGTCACTGCCTCTCGCCCTCAGAGTTCCTGCAGCCGCTCATCTGACCGTGTCCCTCGTGTCGCCTCCCCAGACTGGCTCCTCTTACTTAGTGGTGTGCAGTTAAGCTTCCTCCGTGTCTTTTTCTGTCTTTGTAGCCCGTTTGTCACTGTCCCTGGATGATGTTCCATCGTGTGGAGCATAAACACCCATTTATCTCCTCACCTGTTGAAGGACTCGGTTCCCGGTCTGCTTAGAGCTGCTCCGCCAGCCGAGCCGCCAGCCGAGCCCCGCCCCGGCCCTGGCACGCGGCACACCTGGCTGGCCTGGGCGCCTTGGAAGCCCTAGCAGACCACGAGTGCTTTTGCTTTCGAGCCGTCGAATGCTCATAAGAGGAAAACGGTTCAGTGTGTACTGGCCCAGATCTGACTGTCCCAGGTACTCTGTCTCCGTCCCTGATGGGACAGGTTTCCTCTCCCTTCTGGCGGAAGAACGTCCCCTCGTGCCTCCTTTGGAGCAGGTCTCCGTGTGACCAGTTCTACTTTTCCTTCCCCTGAGAACGTCTTTATTTCTGTAGGACGTCTTCCCTCTCGAATCCTGGGCGGACAGCTCTGTTCCCCCAGCACCTTCTGGATGCTCCTGCCCCCTGGCCCGCTGGTTTCTGGCCAGGGCTCTGGGCCCCTTGGCTTCTTGTTGGGAATGTGGTGTGTTCCGTTTGGCGGCTGCCTTTGAAATGTTCTTACTTTCTCTTTGATTTTCAGCAATTTGTTAGGATATCTGGGCACGGAGCTGTTTGAGGTTTGCTGAGCGGCTTGAGTGTGTAAGTTTGTACCTTTCATTAGATTTGGGAAGTGCTCAGCTATCATTTCTTCGAAACACGCTTTTTTGTCTTCACACTGTCTTCGTCCCTCCTGGGACCCCAGGGACACAACCGTCCGCCTCTCTACCACGTTCACGCAGCCCTGCTCATTTTGTTTGTGCACCTTTGTCTGTTGTTCAGTTTGGATGACGCACTGGGCTGTGTTCATTTCGTTGTTCTCCGTTCATCTTCTCCCATCTCTTTTCTGTTATTGAGTCCTTTCAGTGAATTTTTTATTTTCATACACACACATTCTCAGATTTCCATTTGGCTGTAGGTCCTGTTCCTGTGCTGAGACTTTTTATCTTTCCACTTGTTTCAAGACGTCTGGCTTTGTCCCTGAAGCATGGTACACCAGCTGCTTTAAAGTCTCTGACGATTCATTTCAGAGTGGGCTTTTCTTGATTTTTTTTTTTTTTCTTGAGAATTGGCCAGACTTTCCTGCTTCTTTTTATGTCAGAAAAGTTTGGATTATATTCTGGGTGCTTTGAATATCGTATTGTGAAGCTCTGGGTCTTGTTTAAATCTCAGAGTGTAGACATTTCTGTCCTAGCAGGAAGGCAGCCTGGTTAGGCTCAGGCCGCAGGTTTGGAGCTCCTGCCATGGGCATGGTCATTACGTCAACTCCGTCTTCAGAGCCCGTGTGGTGCTCTTTGGAACTGACCAGTAGGGTGAGTTCTCCAAACCTTTGGTTTGCCATTTAGGGTCTGGACCCCCACAGACAGTTCTGGGGTGACCCAGGCACCCTTTCCATACCTCCCTGCTCTGCACAGTCTCCGCCATATTCTCTGACCCCGGGGCCCCCTTTCTCTGGCTAGAAACCTTGGTGTTCGTGTGTCCTCTGTGCCGTGACACCTCAGCACAAGGTCTGCCTCGGGTGAGTGTCAACTGGAGGGCAATGGGATCCGCCAGTCGGTGGACCTGTGTGCCTCTAGTCCCTCAGAGTTCTAGGTGCCTGCTGGGCCCCTGCCGTCACAGGGATTTAGCAGGGACCGAGGCTTGCTAGAAGGCAGAGCCAGTAAAAGCAAAAATAATAATAAAAGGGTGTTTCCTCCTCTTCTGTCTGGTGTGGGTTTCCCTTCCAGCTCTGCAGACCGGAGCCTGTACTCGTCTCCATATGCTTACTGTGCACGGTCCTGCAATGCGGGCTGCCTCTGCGTGGAGGCCAGGGGACTCGCCTCCGGAGGAGTCTGCTTGGGTCCTGGGGTCCTGCTCTGTCCCTGCTACGTGACCACTGAGTTTTGGGCCCACGTGCAGCAGCTCTGTGTTTCACTTGGGGGTTTTAGCTCTTCTAGTGGCAAAGATGTGTGGGCTGTACTTATTCCATCTTCACCAGAACCAGCAGCCCCGGGATAGTCCTCTGTCATTTGTGTCAGGAGGGAGCAGGCTCGGACTGAAGGGCGGGCCTGGGAGGTACAGAGTCGCAGGTGCCGGGAGCTCTGTTGTGCCTACCAGAGGCTCGCTGAGACTCTGCGCCCTGCCTTGTGGTCTCTCTAGGGCTTGGGACCCTGGCGGAGTGACACTCCTGGTTCCGGTGTCGTCTTTGCTGAGCCATGGCAACCCCGGATGTGAGTGTCCACATGGAGGAGGTGGTGGTGGTGACCACGCCAGACACTGCAGTGGACGGGAGCGGCGTGGAGGAGGTGAAGACTGTGCTGGTGACGACCAACCTGGCTCCTCACGGGTGAGATGGGGCCTCTGTCCTGTGAGGGTGTCCTGGGCATGGCATAAGGGGACGCGGCAGGAGTTTCCCTTACTTAAATGTTCTAAACTGGAGTCAAATGTCCATGTCAGTAGAGAGTGTGAAGGAAAAATAGGAACATCACATCATCCAGGAAGCAAAGCTAACACTTCATCTTTGCCTTTTTCTCCCACATGAAATGTGGTCACATCGTTTATATTTCTAAAGACACATGGTAATTTCTTTTTTCGTAAGAGGGACAGCGGGAACAATTGGGGACTGTTTTTTCAAAATGAAGTTGAAAAGTCAGTGATTTTCTTGACATTCTTCACAAAAACTGAATTTTTTTCTTCCTCATCCCTTGTAATAGAGGTGCACGTGGAATATTAGCTGAAGGGGCGCTTGGATGGCTCAGTCAGTTGAGGACTTGTTTGACCCTTGATTGCGGCTCAGGTCGTGGCCTCAGGGTCATCATATTGAGCCCTGAGTCGAGCTCCATGCTGGGCGTGGACCCTGCTTGGGGTTACCCCCCCATATTCCCTCTCTCCCTCTCTCTCTCTTTCTCGCTCTCTCAAAGAAAAAAAATATATATATACACACACACGTCAGTTGGCTAAAATGTCCACATTTGACCTCATGAATCTGCCAGCCCGTGGGGGCAGAATGGTTCCTGCCTATGCAGCGCCCACCGCCTCTGCCCTCTCTGGAAGGGCTGACCTAAGAGGTGACCCTGCGCAGGGGGCCTGTGTCCCCTCGTGCTTACTGTGCGGAGGGATTTAGGCTGGGGCGGTGTTCTTGTCTCGTCTTTCTGCATGGGGCATGTTCACACTGATCTCAGCATATCCCTGCAGGGCAAGGAGCTTTTGCTTTTTCTCCGTCTGACAGAACTTCCCAAGGAAGGTACTAGACCAGGACCCGCCCTCAGCACTGGTCCCTGTCGCTGGCCTAGAGGGCGCTTGGGTTTTCTTTTTCTCCTTGTGTAGCTAACTTGGAGTTAGCCGTGTGGCTCCAGGCGCCTGGACTCTTCCTGCCTCATTTCCGCACTTTGGAGCTGTGCCCTCCCGTGGAGGCCTTTTATTTTCTTTTTTTTAACTTTTTAAAAAAATATTTTCTTTATTCATGAGAGACACAGAGAGAGGCAGAGGGAGAAGCAGACTCCACGCAGGGAGCCCAATGTGGGACTCGATCCTGGGACTCCAGGATCACGCCCTGGGCTGAAGGCAGGCTCTAAACCACTGAGCACCCCCGAGCTGTCCCCCTCCGAGGCCTTTTAACCGCCTTCCTGCAGGCAGCATGGAGGAGGGCTTGGCTCCTGCTAGGCCCCTGGGTTTGACCGGATGCTCAGCTGCGTCACCGTGGCAGGAAACGCAGGGCCTTCCAATTGGATTTCCCACCGAAGTTGTCTTGCATTCATTGTCTATGCCCCTGCTGTGGGCAGCTATCCAGGTTGCAACCTCAACATGTCCCTCCCCGCCAGGGGGCGGCACCCAAGCGCCCTCCCTTGGATTTGGGAAGGCCTGTGGGGAGTGATTCACCATGTCTGGAGTAAGTGACCCACCTGCCCCCTCCCCCTGCCTGCCTGGCGCCCTGGATGCTGTGAGGAGCCCTGATCCGCAGCCATTCTCCTGGAGGTACTCTGGTCCTGGTCAAGCCCAGCTTTGCGACCCCCCATCAGGCGCCTGACCCAGCAGGGAGGAGTCCTGGGTGGATCTAGCCTCACATTAGAGTCTCCTGAGTGGCCCCGATATTGTGGCTGCTGCTGTGGGGTGACACCATTCTGCCCTTTTGTCCGCGGCTGCCAGTGTAAGCGCGTGTGGGTCTGTCTCCTTGGGCTGCTCAGACTCCCCAGACAAGGCGTTTCACCAGCTCTGGCTGCCATAACAAAGTACCACAGACGGGACGGTCTGCACTAAAGAAACTTACCTGCTTGTGGTTCGGGAGGCCGGGAAGTCAAAGATCAGCCGCTGGCAGGGTTTGGGTTCTGGCAAGGACTCTCCCTGGCTTTCAGGGACAGCTTCTCACCATGTCCCCATATGGTGGAGAGAGAGCTTCCTCCCTTCCCCTTCTTACAAGGTCACAGTCCTGTTGCATTAGGGCCCACCCTTAGGACGTCATTTAACCTGAATTACTTGCTAATGGCCCTTTCTCCACATTGGGGAGTCATCCTGGGGATCGGGCATCAGCAGAGGAATTTGGGGGAGGACACAGTTCAGTCGCTGGCAACACACTTTCACCCTTTTCCTGGGTGGTGACTGTCGACTGCTCTTGGTGTTTTAGGGACTGGGCTGGGGGCAGGCAGGGTCTCACTGTCCAGGATGCTTGGATTTTCCCCGTGCCCCTCCCCACCCCTGGTGCTTGAGACCTCCTTTCTCCTTCTAGGGTCTTGTGCAGGTGAGGCTGGGACTGGGATAGAGCTGCTCTGTCGTCCCTTACTCTTGCTGCCAAAGGCAGCCGGTGCCCAAGCCTCCGGATGTGGAATGTCTGTCTCGTGTTTATTTCCCATTTAACTGGGAAATTTGCAATAGGTTCTTTTTTTTTATTTTTTATTTATTTATGATAGAGAGAGAGAGAGAGAGAGAGAGAGAGGCAGAGACACAGGCAGAGGGAGAAGCAGGCTCCATGCACCGGGAGCCCGACACGGGACTCAATCCCGGGTCTCCAGGATCGCGCCCTGGGCCAAAGGCAGGCGCTAAACCGCTGCACCACCCAGGGATCCCCCTGCAATAGGTTCTTAAAAATTAATAACAAATTATTATTGTGGAATATGTGGTAGAAAATTAGGAAATATTGTTGAGCAAAGACTAAAGCAGGTTGTGTTGCCACCACCTGGAGATTGCTGCCGCCAGCACCCTGGAGCAGGCCCTCCAGGTGTCCTGCTTGGAAGCGAAGGCACAAGTCTTTCTTTCTCTAAGCCTTTTTGTTACTCGGTATAGTAGTGCACATGGAGAAAGCAGAGGCGAAGGCAATGTTTCCAGCACCCCTGAGCCCCCGCAGGCTCCCTTCCAGTCCTGCAGATGAGCTCGATCAAGCTGTATTGTGCTTTGTGTTCTGGTTTTATGTTAATCAGTGGTCTCCACTTTTCCACGTTGACATGTTTTCATCTCTTCTCCATTTCTGCTCATCGTGGGTTCTTTGAGGTCGACCCTCAAAGGCTGGGAGGCAGGCTGCTGTGGACAGTGCCCTAAAAATTCTCGAAGCCCTTTGACCATCAAGCGAATCCTTGACATGGTCTTTATCCTGAGGCCATTTCTCACTTTGAAGTCTTTTGCCAGGTGGGAAGCTGGAGACGTGAAGCAGCTGGACTCCCGTGTTCCCGGTAAATTCTGCACCCCACAGGATCACTGTCTCCCTTTTTCACACATGATTGTTTCTGCTCCGAGAAGCTCCTTGTTCCTTTCTGCCTTCTGCCCAAGATCTTCCTTGAGAGAGCCACACACAAGTCCATTAGGATCTTTTCCACCTTCTCTGTGACTGTGGCTTACGTTTTGCCAGTTTTTCCTCTACTGTATGGTGCAGGATCCTTTTCCAAGCCTGCCGCAGCCGCTCCCATCCCCAGCCTACCTCTGCTCACCATCTCTGTGCTTCCTCCCAGGATTTTGTGACAGCAGTACCATTTCTGGTACAGTTTCTTTGTTAGGTTTGCTGCATGGCCTCCCCATGCTCAGGGGCTTAATTGGAAACGGTGGCCGGCCAGGCAGTGGTGCTGGCCGAGGCTGGTGCTGCTGGGCCCAGCCAGATGGTCTAGTGTCCCCGCCCTCACTAACTGGAAGGGCAGAAGCGCTCTGCTCGTGGCTCTCACCCTCCAGCACCACTTCCTGGCTGCCTTCATAGTGGAAGGTTCCAGTAGCAGGCATGGGAGCTGCAAGACCTACTGGGGCCTGGCTGTATCCCATGGTCCTGGAGCCAGGGTACTGAGGCACTGCCCACGTTGGTCGGTCATTTATGGAGGAAAGGAGAGGCTGTGTGTGCCTTCTTCCTGGGAAACAAAACCCCATGCCGGGGTGGGGGCAAGATTATCTTAAAGGACCCAAGGATATTTCTCTTGTCTATGAGAAATCTTGCTTACTGTCCCAGTATTTGGAAGCAGAGGTTTCCTCTTGCTGTGTGTTTAACAAAAAGGGTGGAGTGAAGAAGCCAGTTAACCTCGTTGTGGGTGCTGATTTCTTTTCTGGCTGGGTATTTGGGGGAGAGCTTGGGAGTGTTCCTCATTCGTGAAAGCCGGCTAGGCCTGCCTCCCACCCACTGCTTTGCCATGGCGATGGGCATGCGTGGCCCAGGCTGGGAAGAAGAGAGTAGCATTTTGTAGATAGCCAGCAGTTTCTACAAACATTTGATTTAAGTGGACATTTTTCAAATAAAATTTGAATAACAAATGCCAGTTAATTGGCTTGTCCTAAGAGCAGTGGGGGGTTTGATCTTTGGTGTGTGTGGTGGGCAGGCACAGAGGGAGGTGCAGTTGGGGGTCTGCCCCTCGTGTCTGCCTTCCTGGATGGCCCTTTCGTCAAGGGGGGGGCCTGAGGGCTGGGTGTCCCCAGGGTGGTCCCCGTGGATGGCTTACTGCCTCTGTGCACACGACCCATGGTGAGGCCAGGCTCTGGCTCTTGGTTGGCGCTTCCCTGTGTCCCACTTCTGACTCACTTTTCTTTTGGGCTCTCCTGTGTAAAGGGGCGTGCCCCAGCTTCGTCATTACCCTTTTCACTTCCACGTTATGGCTGGGAAAGACACTTTCCCTCTGAGTCCGTGCACCATTGTTGGAGTTCCGATGTTCGCCCTTGGTAGTATTCTTCATGGAGGAGTCGCTCCTGGAAGGCCCCGAAGACCAGATTCCAAGTTTGCCTTTCTTGTCAGCTCTCACTTCTGACCTGGCTGGAGGTGGAGACTGGGAAAGTGGGCCTGGCCTGGGCAGCCATCCTTGGTGCTGCAGGGTTGTGGAGCTACTGCCGCAGGAGCAGTCGTCAGCGGGCAGGGGAGGGGATGTTGCCGTCAGAGGCCACACTGAGCTGTGCGTCTGCTAGGTGTGCAGGAGGAGCGCCTGTGAAGGATCAAAGGAGGGTGCGGGGAGGTGGTCTGACCCTGGGGGAGGAAGGAGGGATGGGAGGATTTGGGTGGGAAGAGCCTCAGACCCAGCGTGCTCTGAGAGGTCTGGCCGGGTCCTGGACGCTGACAGAGACCGTGAGAGGAGCCACGGCTCGGGCAGTTTGCTGGGGAAGTGAATGGCTGCCCGTGAGCCATTCACTGACTGGGCCTTTGTGTGTGACCACACCTCTTCCCACAGAGAAGTGCACGGATGCCCTCAGTGGTCACGAGGGGATACACCTGGTGAACCTCGTCCAGGCCCCAGACCAGTTTTCCCCATGGGGCTTGGCAGGTGTGAGGGCACCTTATCTGTTGGGTTAGTCCCTACAAGTGCGTGTCTGGGTCAGAGGGGTGTAGCATCTTGCTGCCTGCCTGCCAGGCCCCACCGTCTCCGGCCTGAGTGTGCTGGACATGGCTCAGGGGCTCTGCCCTAGGTCTTGGGCCGTTGTCCTCAAGGGTTGTCATGTCAATCCCAGGGCTCCTTAGGTAACATCGGAAACAAGCTGTCTTTCTTGTGCTACCATATGCCTGTCTCTCAATTCTCTCTTTTAAAAAGAAATTGTTCATGGTGTTTTTCCTCCATACAGAAAATTCTTATTTTTATTTTATTATTTTACTTTGTTTTGTTTTTGCTTGGGCACAGTATGCTTTATTGGTGGTACATGACAAGAGGACTCCCTACTCGCCTCCCCTTCTTCAGGGGGTCTGGGATGGAAACCGTTTGGCAGTCAGGAGATTCTCTGTGTGTTGGGAGGAGTCGGGCAAGGACATCCTAGCAGCTGAGGGCCTCTCTCTTCTTGGTCTCGCTGGGGCTCATGGTCAAGGGGGCTCTGACTCCTTGGCCATGTGGACCATAACATCAACCAGCCAGTTGCTGTAGCCAAATTCACGGTCATACCTGGAAATGAGCTTAACAAAGTGGTCATTGAGGGCATCGCCCACCCCAGCGTCGAAGGTGGAAGAGTGGATGTCACTGTACAGTGGCAGGAAACAACCTGGTCCTCATGTAGCCCAAGATGCCCTCGAGGAGGTCCTCTAGTGCCTGCTTCAGCATCCTTGTTTTTTTTTTTTTAATTTTTATTTATTTATGATAGTCACACACAGAGAGAGAGAGAGAGAGAGACACAGGCAGAGGGAGAAGCAGGCTCCATGCACCGGGAGCCCGACGTGGGATTCGATCCCGGGTCTCCAGGATCGCGCCCTGGGCCAAAGGCAGGCGCTAAACCGCTGCGCCACCCAGGGATCCCCCAGCATCCTTGTTGATGTCATCATATTTGGCAGGTGGCGGGTCAGACACGTTGGGGGTGGGGACATGGAAGGCCAGGCCAGTGAGCTTCCCATTCAGCTCAGGGATGACCTTGCCTGCACCCTTGGCAGCACCAGTAGAAGCAGGGATGATGGGTCTGGACAGCCTCTGGATCACCATGCCACACCTTCCCGGAGGGGCCGTCCACAGGCTTCTGGGTGGCAGTGATGGCAAGGACTGTGGCCATGAGTCCCTCCACGATGCTGAAGTTGTTACGGATGACCTTGGCCAGAGGGGCCAAGCAGCTGGTGGTGCAGGAGGCATGGCTCACAGCCTTGAGGGAGCTCTCCTACTTCTCATGGTTCAAGCCCATCACAAACATGGGGGCTTTAGCAAAAGAGGTAGAGATGATGACCCTCTCAGCACCACCCTTCAGCTGAGTGCCAGCTTTCTCCATGGTGGTGAAGACCCCAGTGGACTCCACAACATACTCAGCACCAGCATCACCCTGTTTGATGTTGGCGGGATCTTGCTCCTGGAAGAAGGAGATGGGGGATCCCTGGGTGGCGCAGCAGTTTAGCGCCTGCCTTTGGCCCAGGGCGTGATCCTGGAGACCCAGGATCGAATCCCACGTTGGGCTCCCGGTGCATGGAGCCTGCCTCTCCCTCTGCCTATGTCTCTGCCTCTCTCTCTCTCTCTCTCTCTCTCTCTCTCTCTGTGTGACTATCATAAATAAATAAAAATTTAAAAAAAAAAAGGAAGAAGGAGATGGGCTTCCCATTGATGACACGTTTCCCATTCTCGGCCTTATCTGTGCCATGGAATTTGCCGTGAGTGGAGTCCTACTGGAACATGTGGGCCATGTGGTTGAGACCAATGAAGGGGTCATTGATGGCAACAGTGTCCGCTTTGTCGGAGTTAAAAGCAGCCCTGGTGACCAGGTGTCCAGTATGACCAAATCTGTTTACTGTGACCTTCACCATCGTGTCTCAGGGACATGGCTGGCACTGCACCAGAAGATGCGGCTATCTGTCAAACAGAGGAGCAGAGAGCCTTATTTTTACTTTTTTTTTTTTTAAGATTTTATTTATTTATTCATGAGAGAGAGAGGCAGACACAGGCAGAGGGAGAAGCAGGTTCCATGCAGGGAGCCCGATGTGGGACTTGATCCCAGGACTCCAGGGTCACGCCCTGGACCAAAGGCAGGCACTAAACTGCTGAACTACCCAGGTGTCCCTATTTTTACTTTTTAAGGAAAACTTACGTCTCTTATTTCTGGGTTTTGTATTATTACTATTATTTTTTTGAGAGAGCACACACTGCCCTCATGAACAGGTGGGGAGGGAAGGGCAGTGGGGGAGAATCTCCAGCAGACCCCCCACTGAGCACAGAGCCCTGAGATCATGACCTGAGCCAAAATCAAGAGTTGGATATTAACCTGCTGCACCACCCAAGTGCCCTGGGTTTTTGTATTAAGAAAACTTTTTACCACTGTTAATTTTTTTTTTCCTTTTGACACTGTTGTGGTTTAGTTTTTACCTTTATTTTTGACTCCTATGTAATTTGTTTTGGTACAACATGAGGTTAGGCCTTGGGTATTTTTTTCCCTTTTCTAATATTTTATATTTTTTGTTAGTTTCTGTAACCATTTGAAATCATAATAGCAGGTGAAGGGAGGGGCAGGGGGAGGAGGAGAGTCCCAAGCAGATGCCACGCTCAGCACAGAGCCTGACTCTGGGCTCCATCTCCTGACCCTGAGGTCATGACCTGAGCTGAACTCAAGAGTCAGACACTTAACTGAGCCCCTCAGGCACCTCGAAATAAAAAACTTTGTTAAAGAAAGAGGAGGGGGTTTTAAATTGCCATGTAAGTGCCATTGTCTCCACAGACGTGCCGTGGGCACTGGAGACCCTCAGGGAGACGCCGGGTGGACGGCAGCACCGGGAGTGTCCCCGCAAGGTCTCCGACCTGCACAGCCAGTGCTGGCCCCCGGGCCGCATCAGGAGGGGGCTGCATGTGGGAAGAAGGGCGCGCCAGGCAGGCGCTGGTCGGAGTGAGCTGATATGTCCCTCCCTCCTAGGGGCGAGCTGGCGGAGGACAGCATGGAGACTGAAAATGCGGCTGCGGCAGCGGCGGCCGCGTTCACGGCGTCCTCGCAGCTCAAGGAGGCTGTGTTAGGTAGGGAGCCTGCCTTCCCGCGCGGTGCCTCTGCGGGCGGCTCAGACGCGCTCTCCCCTGGACTCTCCCCTGGACGGTCCCCAGGGCTTGGGGTGTGGGGGGCCTCCTGCTGGCTCTTGCGCCGGGTGCAGCGAGGGTGGTGTGGGCTCAGGCCCCAGGGTCCTCCCAGGTGTGGCCTGCTGGCATCTGCAGGGGCCTCCCCGTGGCGGGCCGACCCCCCCCCCCCCCCCCGCCGTGGTTGTAAAACCACAGTGAATGCTTACGGCCTCGGAACTCCTCAGAATAGAAACGACAAGCTTCTCTAGAATTATTCAAAACAAAGCTTGATTTTATTTCCTTAAGTGGTTCTTCCATTGAACTGTATTTTAATTATGCTAACACTATTATCATAAGATTGATTTTTGTAGTTTTATCTGAAACTCTAACTTGGGACTAAGGAGTAATGTTCCTGCTCACCTGCGCCCTATCTTAGTCCCTCCTGGATCTTAATTTCTGGTGTCTGGTTGGCAGCTATGTCAGTGCTTTTGCTGAAGGAAGTACTTGGGAAAGGTTGTAACTGGTTTTGTTTTTACCCTTTCCCTGTCACCACACCTTGTGAGAAGTGAAGGTGGCTGAAGAAGAGGAGAGCCTGGAGGCTGAAATCGTGTATCCCATTACCTGCGGAGACAGCAGAGCCAACCTGATTTGGAGGAAGTTTGTGTGCCCGGGCATCAATGTGAAGTGTGTTCAGGTGAGGCTTACGTACAACCAGAGTGCAGACCTGTGTGCCAGGACTACAGGGGAGGGAGGGCCTCGTGGTGCCACACCCTTGAGGCCAGCAATGTCAGACTTTGGTCCAAGGGGGGGCATGACCTGTGCAGGGGAGTGCAGAAGGCAGGGGTCAGCTGTGTTTGGGAGAACAGAGGAGCCAGGGGTAAGCCTTCAGGGATGGACACTGTTGCTGAGGGCCGCAGGGGAAAGCGTCAGATGTTGATTCCTTTTTCTGGAATGCAGCTGTGGGAAGAGGCTAGGGAGGTAGCCCTGGTCATGTGGTCATGTGGGGGACTGTGGTGGCCACAGTCACCAAGTGGGGAGCTACTTGTTTTGGTAGATTGAATGAGGTGTATGCTTTGGAAAGACTCATTTAGTAGCCATGAGTAAGGTGAATGCGAGAGGTATTCTCTTTCTGCCATGTTAGATTGAGTGCCCAGACTGGCCTTATACTAAAAACAGCCCAAAAAGCTGGTTAAGATACTTTACTAAAGCATCTTTTAGATGCTTCCATGAGCTGGCAAAAATGGATGAAATACTCAAGCCAGGGGCCCGAGTAACGGGGTTTGGAGAAGGCCGAGTGCCACCTCCAGCTTTGGCCTGCAGAGCCTTCATCGGCCCCCCACTTTCTCAGCCTCGCAGGGCTGGAGTTGAGAAGGTGAAGCCCAGGGCTTCCCTGAACTGTGTGGTTGTAAGGCTCTTACTTGATGTCAGGTGGACCCCTAACCTCAGATTGTCAGCCCCAGCCCCACCCTGTCCCCTGGGACAGGGAACCAACTGCCTGCCACCCATCTTAGCACTGAGGGAAAGAGGCACCCTCTTGAGGATTTGCATGGGAGCCTGATGGTCTGAAAATCCTAAGTGTTTAGTTGTAAGCAGTTCCTGGCAGACAGTTCCTGCAGGAGCCTGACAAGCATATGAAAAGACCTTTTGGAGGATCTCATCTTTGTCACAGGTTTTCAGTAATGTCAGCAGACAGAATTTCAAGGAAGAACCAGCTCACTGTGTAAAACAAGCAGAACATTGAGCATGTGAGGAGACCAAACACCCAAATGCACACAAACCACAAGATAGACTCATAATGCTGCAGACATTGGGATTTTGAGACAGGAAACATAAAATAATTATGTGTTTAATTTATCTCAAGATTAAAGTTTGACAGAAAAGCATAAGCGTATTTAGAAGAACAAACTAGGAATGAAAAATAGAGCACTTAGTGGATAGGTGCAGATTAGACACGGTTGAAGGGAGAGTTCACGAACTGGAAGGTAAGAGTAAAGAAGTCTATGTTTATTACTGTGTATTTCCTGCTGTTTCTATCAAATAGAAGCAAAGCTTCTTACATTGGAAAGTCAAGTCCTGTAGAGGTGGAAGAGGTGAAGCTGACTGGTGAGAGCTGGTTGGGGAGCACGATGTTCTCTAGCCTCAAAATATCCCCCATCAATTAGGTATTAACCATAGAGGAAAGGGGCACCTGGGGGCTCAGTGTGAGCATCTGCCTTCAGCTCAGGGCGTGACCCCGGGGTCCTGGGATCGAGTCCCACATAGGGCTCCCCACAAAGACCCTGCTTCTCCCTCTGCCTGTCTCTGTCTCTCTCTGTGTCTCTCATGAATAAATAAGCAAAATATTTTTAAGAAATTATAGAGGAGGGGCAGCCTGGGAGACGCAGCAGTTTAGCGCCACCTTCAGCCCAGGGCCTGATCCTGGAGACCCGGGATCGAGTCCCACATCGGGCTCCCTGCATGGAGCCTGCTTCTCCCTCTGCCTGTGTCTTTGCCTCTTCCTCTCTCTCTCCCTCCCTCCCTCTCTCTCTCTGTCTCTCATGAATAAATAAATAAGTAAAATATTTTTTAAAAAAAATTGTAGAGGAAAAACAGCAGCTCTGCAGGGGAAGCCTGGCAGGCAGCTCCTCAACCAAGTGATGACAGTGGTGTCAGGGCAGACCTCCGTCACGGCTCTCCTGATTGAATAGGCGGGAATTCTGTAGCATTCCCACAAGGAAAGCACAGCCTGACTCTTCTCATGAGAAGACTTGAGGGACAGTCAAGAAATTCACTTGGCATGCTTCAGAAATGTCCAGGTCAGGAAGATGAAGGTGGAGTCTTCGGGGAGCAGGTGTGGCGTGCAGGCTGGGCTGAGTCCTGCTTCAGAGACCCATTGCTCCAAAGGCTGTTGTCGGGGCAGCTTACAGGTTCTGCATGTGGCCTGTTGATGAGATAATACAGATTAATGGTGATTTCCTGAGTTTGAGCGCTGTGGTTCCACAGCTGAACCTTTTCCTCAGGAAGCAGACAGTGGCAGAGTTCCCGAACGTGTCCTAGCAGCTGGAGCACAATGGAGCTGTGTCCTGTGCTGACAGAGGAGAGCTGCACGTGGCAGAATCATCTTTAGACCTGGGGGGATGCAGACATTTCAGACAGAACTGTGGTGGCCACTAGCAGGTCCTCACTGCAGGGTGTTCCAGGAAGTGTTCTTGCGGCAGATAGGAGTGTTAGGTACTGAAGGCGTGCAGAGCAAAGGAAGTGGAAATGTGTGGGTGAGCCAAAGTGTGAGTGAGTCTATAGCTCTGACAACATGTCTTAGGAAGACTCCAGACCAGATAAAACATGTGGCACCTGGCAATGGGGTCAGTTAGCTCTGGACGCTGATGGTCCACGTAGGCCCTGCACCCGCCCTGAGAGTCGATCGAGCATGACATGCCAACTACTGGAGAAAACTCTGGAACTCCAAGAGTGGTGCTCAGCCCAGATGGTGGCAGAAGAGGAGAGGAGGCAGCGTGTGGACGCAGGGAAGTGGATGGAAGCACGAGACTCCAGACAGATGGAGCAGTTGGGTGCAGCTGTGGCAGGCCAGGGACCGAGGCACAGATGGTGTCACGTGGGGTGGGGGAGGGACAGACACTATCACACTAGCTGGGGGGGGACAGACTGGTGTCGTGTCTGGTGGGGGGGGAGCACTGATTGTGTCACGTCTAGGGAGTGGGGTGTGGGAGGTGTCGGCAGAGGCTGGGCCCAGGGTGAGTGTCCTGCTGGTTGCGCAGGGGCCAGAGGAGTGTCCACACAGCCCATCTCCTCGACCAGCTAAGTGAGGGGTCGAGTGGCTTCCTGGACTCCGTGAGAGGGCGTGTGTAGGTGGTCAGGATGTTAGGAAAATGACTCCCATCTGCAGGGGTCCCCAGGCTGCTTGCACTTGCTCTGACCTCAGTCTGCTGTAGGTACCAGTGCTTGGTGCTCCGTGCTCCCAGCAGGGTACGCTACACCATCCCACACCACCCAGGGCCCCGGAGGAGGCCTCCTGGGAAGGGGAGGCCCAGCGGCACTTGTGTTGCTGCTTCTGCTGAGTCCCAGTGACTCATCTCTCTCCTGTCTATAGTGTTATTTTGATTAAGTTCCAGTAATTGCTTGTTTTACATGATCGAGTGGGTTTCCCCAAAGCCCTGACATTGAAATGGATGTGTGTGCGTCAGAGTCAGAGATGCCTGCTGTGAAAGGGTGCTGGGGTGGGTCGGGTGGGGTGAAGGGGACAAATCACAGCTTATCCTGTGCACCGTCCTGTGTTAGATGTTACATACGTGAGTATTTAATGGAATAAGTGGGTTTGCCGAGTTCCAGCTGAAGGGAGAGAGCGTCTTGCTGTTCTGAGCGGTGTCACCTCAGCTCTCCCTGGCTCAGACGTACCATCTGTTTCTCGAGGCAGCACCAGGTGCTGGGCTCCCTCCCCAGGCTTGGGGGCAGTGCTGGCCACAGGTCCCCAGGCCAGCCCCCGTGCGGAGGGCCAGATCTTATTTTGCCTGAAGTGTTCTTTTCCCACGGTCAGGGTTGCCACTGGTTGAACCCGAAACATCAGAGAGGAGAAGCCTGCTGCTCTTGGAGCCAGGCTGTGGCACTCTGCCCTGCCACCCTGCACTGCTCTCCCGGGCTGGGCAAGCGGGAGAGGTGGGTCGCATGTGCGTCCTGACCCAGCTGTGCTTCCCTCCTCAGTATGACGAGCATGTGATCAGCCCAAAGGAGTTTGTGCACCTGGCTGGCAAGTCCACCCTGAAGGACTGGAAGAGGGCCATCCGGATGAACGGCATCATGCTCAGGTGGGCGTCTGCAAGAGCGAGCCCTCCGCGGTGGAGTGCAAGTGACCGCGCCAGGTGTCCTTCTATGGCTTTTTTGTTGGTTTTTAAGTTTCTTAAGATGAGGCACATTCTGAACAGGAGAACTGACCGTGTCCCCTGCAGCGCAGCTGACCCAGCTGACCGCACCTGCCATGGCCCTGCAGGCATGTGGTCTCATTCTGATGTCCTCGCACGGCCTCCCTTTCCATCCTGCATCTCCCACCGCAGCCACCAAACCCAGGGGTGCCTGGGCAGGGGCCTAGGTCTCTCACCTGGGGTGGGGTGGTGTGTCCGGCCACTTGTCCCTTCCTGGCACAGCCGATCTGCCTGCTGAGGGTCTCACCCAGACTACATCTAGTTTGCTGGCCACACATCCGTCTTCTGGACATTCTCCACCTTTTGTGGCAATACTGCTTTCAGGGTACAGGCCAGTGGGTCCCAGAGGGCCTTAGTCTAGATCCCTGACCTTTCCTGTCATCAGGTCAGTGGTGCTGGGTTGGTGCCCTGTCTCTGGCTGCTACTGATGGTATCCTCTTGGTCAGGTGCCCACTTACTCCTCATAGATCTCGTTTTCCCTTTGAGATTAATCAGGAATGTGTAGAAAGGTTGGGGCTGGCTCTCCGCTCCCTTGCCAACACGAAATCCCAGAATAGAGACGGTTGGATTTGTGCCTCTGTCTCTCCACGGGCAGCGTCCATCCCAAGGGTCCTGTCGCTTGTTTTCCTGGGCTGATTCTCAAGCTGATGTGAAGGCCATGTCTGCTCTGCTAGCCCTCCCTGGGTGTGTGTGACCTTGGCCTTCTGTCCCCAATGGCCTTCTGTCCCTTTCCCGTCACCTGTGAAACAGGAATGGTGATGCCCCTTCTGAGAAGCCTGAGGACAGACTAGGCTTTTAAGTTCACACGCCCAGAATGTCAGTCCCAGTTTTCATATTTCCTGCTTTGGTGGTAACAACTCACCCCTCCTGGTGAAGCAGAGGGCACCTCTCTCTGGTGGTCCCCACCCAACCCCTGTGTTCACTTCGTGGCCCCCCCTGCCGGCCAGTCCAGAGATGGCTGCTGTTTCTGATGGTGTCTGGCAAGGCTGGACCGGGTCACTTTGCTGCTAAAGGGGCTGCTCTCGTCTATGCGGTTATTCCCGGGAGATGTGGCTTTGTGCTGTCCTTGGGTGTGGGTTTGCTGCCCAGAGGAGTGCCTGCGGCCCTCTGGTGAGGCCTGGGTCTCGGTCCTGTTCACTGTCACCATGAACCACAGCCTGGGCTTGAAGTGGCCAGATGCCCACAGCCAGAGACCCAGCCGGCCTGCTGATACCTGTGCTTCTGGAGCGTGCTTGGCGCCCTTGCAGTTGGCTGGGTCCCATCCTGCCGTGCTCATGGCTCCTAAGTCCCACCCATTAAACGTGCTCCTGACTTTCTAGAAAGTGTTTTGGTGGCTTAGCTGTGAGAAGGCAACTGGCTGTTTCCTTGGAAGAGCACCGCAGGGGAGGTGCACTGTGGGTCAGCTGCTCACCTGGAGGTCAGTGCAGGCACGCCGTGCAGAGGCCCCGTCAAGCCCCCCGACCCTGTCACAGGGTGAGGGGGGTGAGTTGAGGTGTTCCCAGGGTTAAACTCAGGCCCTCCAGGGATCCCTGGGTGGCGCAGCGGTTTGGTGCCTGCCTTTGGCCCAGGGCGCGATCCTGGAGATCCGGGATCGAGTCCCACGTCGGGCTCCCGGTGCATGGAGCCTGCTTCTCCCTCTGCCTGTGTCTCTGCCTCTCTCTCTCTCTCTCTCTCTCTCTCTCTCTCTTTCTCTGATTTATTTAATCATAAATTTAAAAAAACAAAACAAAACAAAACCCAGGCCCTCCAGAGAGGCTGTAATAAAGGGCCTCCCTGGGAGGGCGATCCTGGCAGGTGGGGGACGTGCCGTGCCCCCTGCTACAGTCGAGGATGGGAAACGAGCCACCTTGAGTGTGTAGCCAGAAGCCAGAGGCACCAGCACCGTCCTGTGTTGCTGTACACACAGGGCCGGGCTGCTCCGGAGGGTTTCTCGTCCCCCTCTGCCTCACGGTCACCTTGTGGGTGTGCCGTCAGGCTCTTCTGTTAGCCGGGGGTCTGCTCCCCTGCAGCTGGCAGGCGGCGGAACATCCCCGGAGAGCTCAGGGCGTGACCAGCATCCCTGGGACGACTGCCTGCCAGGGCCCTCCTTTGTCCTGGCCACCAGCCATGTGATCGCGGTCCCCATGGACTTCTGACTTGTGCTGGCAGCTGGAGGTCCTACACTGGCCTAGGGAGCCCTGGCTGGCGCTGTCACAGGGCCTGTCTGGAGCCCGAGGGGCACCCAGCTCCCGGCCCGTGGTTGGCCACTTTGTAGCCGCCGCCTCCCCAGGGACCTGCCACCAGGCCAGCCCTTCCTTGCCCTGCCATCAGGACCTGAAGATGCTGGAGTGGGGGGAAGGGAGGGGAGCGAGGTACCTTGAGGTCCACCCGCACCCACTGGTTCTCTGGACGTGTCCTCCGTCCCTGGTCTCCTTTGCCACAGGAAGATCATGGACTCTGGGGAGCTGGACTTCTATCAGCACGACAAGGTCTGCTCCAACACCTGCCGCAGCACCAAGATCGATCTCTCAGGCGCCCGCGTGTCTCTGAGCAGCCCCACCTCGGCCGAGTACATTCCCCTCACACCTGCCACGGCTGATGGTACGTGCTGGCTTGGAGCCTTTGCTCTCACCGGGGCTTGAGCCTTCCCACTCCAGCTACAGCCAAGGGGTGGGCCTTTGCACACCACTCGTGGAGCCTGGCCTCCCGCCCTGGGCCTGTGGTGTCCATCACCGCCGCCGCCTTTGTGGAGAGTCTAGCTCGATTGCTATTGTCGTTGACAGGGAAGATTCCGGTGTTTTTTCTTAGTCATTTTTAACGTAAACCGTTATGATCTGTGAGTAGAGAAGTGTAGAAGGAAGGTTAGTGCAGACGTCCAGTGACCATCACCAGCTCCGACTCACCCAGGGACGCCACCCATGTGGCGGACGCGGGCTCCTCTCAGCCCTGCGGCTGAGCCGTGTCACAGGCCCGCGCTGCCTGTAGCACCCGGTGCTCGGCCCACGTGCTGGTACCTCCTGGCTTTCGGCTCACCTACCCTCCATATCCTTCCACGATGACGCCTGTGGCTGTGGCTGGTAGATGCGCATGTTCCCAGGAAGCCTCCCAGCTTTTAGAAGGAAATTCTTTTTAAAACTGCAGTTAGAGGGACGCTTGGGTGGCTCAGCGGTTTAGCACCTGCTTTTGGCCCAGGGCGTGGTTCCGGGGTCCTGGGATCGAGTCCCACGTTGGGCTCCCTGCGTGGAGCCTGCTTCTCCCTCTGCCTTCTCTGCCTCTCTCTGTGTGTCTCTCTCTCTCTCTCTCTCTCTGTCTCTCATAAATAAATAAAACCTTAAAAAAAATTTAAAAAAACCTGCAATTAGAGCAAATTCGGTCCTTGGTCCTGCTGGTAACTTGGAGGTGGTGCATTTCCAGTGATGTCACCTGCACTATCCCTAGTGTTAGTCCATGGGGCCAGGGACTGTCCTTGTCACTGGCCAGACGGTGGCCAGTGGAGGGGTCCTGGGAGGCTGGGGGGAGAGACTCAGGCACAACAGCGAGGTTCCACCGTAGCCTCCAGCTCCGCTCCTGCACTCCGCCGGCACGGGCTGGCTGGCCGAACTTCAGAGCCCCTCCTAGAAACTCCAGGAACACAGTTGCCGGTAGTCAGAGGAGCCGGCTGCTCTTTCGTCAGCTCTCCTCATCCGTTGGTTACAGTTTGCAGTGATGTGGGGCCTTGGGGCCTGGGCTTCTTTCTGGGCCAAAGCCCCAGGCTGGGGCCTGGTCTGGCTCCTTGGAAGGCACAGCGCAGTGTGGGGAGGGCCTGGGTCACCCCAAAGCCCTCTCTGCACCCCCAGTGGGCCATAGCTTTCGTGAGAATAGGGCTGATACCGGGTTATGGGTCCAGGCCCCCTGCTCCGCCATGAGAGTCCGCCCGGGACGACGGGTCTCCAGTCTCCAAGAAGGGACCAGGCTTTGAGCGCTCCAGTCAGCACTCACTGCGTCCGGTCAAGGCCACATCAGGTTTGGGTTTAGCTCTTTGAACGCTGTCACGTCTCGACGGTCTGGATGAGGCTGTGAGTTCCTTTACTTAGCTACGTGCGGTCTGCTCAGCCAGAGTTCTCAGAGAACATCTTGCCAGTTGTGTAGTTAGTGAAAGATTTTGTGTCACCTAGACTGTGGAGAAGATGTGTTTTTGCCCCGAATTATTCTAAGCACATAGCGTTTTTCAGCACGACGTCGTCGTTGGTCGTAGGAGGCCTGTGTGAGGCTGGGGAGCTTACGCAGACGTTAGGCAGTCGAGGGTTGTGCCTCAGCTGGGTCTGTGTGGGGCCAGGCCTCCATCAGAAGCAGCCTCAGCGGCCAGGTGCCCGCTGTGTCCGCGGCTGTGCGGGCGCCAGAGCGGAACCGGGGCGTGAGCCTGAGTGGATGGCGTAGGTCCCTGATCTCGGGAGGCGGCGCTGGCACACGCGAGGTCAGGGCGCTGTGGACCTAGCGGAGGTGGCGGGGAAGGGGCGGTCCGGGTGCTGGCCTTGTGGTCCGAGGAGCGTGCGGGCAGGTCGGAAGCGCCTGGAGACGAGTGCAGTGGTGGGAATTTGTCGAGGCTGGTGGTGGCGTCAGGGAGACTCCGTTCTTTCTCCTTCGTGTGTGTTTGACGATGGGTGCGATTCAGAAGCTTAAGAATAGGTGTACCTCAGAGATATAAACCCGTTGACTGCCCTGGTACACGTATGTTTGTGGATTTTATAAAAATTGGTGCAAAGGGACAGCCCTGGTGGCCCAGGGGTTTAGCACCGCCTTCAGCCGAGGGCGTGATCCTGGGGATCCGGGATCGGTCCCATCGGGCTCCCTGCATGGAGCCTGCTTCTCCCTCCTCCTTCTGCCTGTGTCTCTGCCTCTCTCTCTGTGTCTCTCGTGAATAAATAAAATCTTAAAAAATAAAAAAAATTGGTGCAAAGGAGAGCTTTAGAGCCCGTGTTGGGATGGTGGGTTGGGAGGGTTGCTCGCTGGCTGGCGAGGCTCACGGGGGCCATGTCTGGGTTGCAGTGAACGGGTCTCCCGCCACCATCACCATAGAGACCTGTGAGGATCCTGGCGACTGGACCACGGCCATCGGAGGTACCGGTCCTTCTGGTTGAGCTGCTTGGGGGTGAGGGGCGGGATGTGCTGGGTGGCCCTGGGCAGGCTGCAGGCAGGCCTGGGGGGCTTCCCGGAGGAAGTGCCACTGCGGCGGGTGGAGCTCCACCCATGCAGACCTGTGCACGCTGGCCCCCAGCCCCAGGCCTCCTGGCAGCTCTGCTCCGGCCTGCAGCGAGAAGCCCGCCGTGGCTGCTTCTTCCTGCCCTCTGAGCCCCCCTGCCCCTCACAGATGACACGTTCTCCTTCTGGCGAGGCCTCAAGGACGCAGGCCTGCTGGACGAGGTCATACAGGAGTTCCACCAGGAGCTGATGGAGACCATGAAAGGCCTGCAGCAGCGGGTCCAGGACCCCCCGCTGCAGCTCCGAGGTGAGAGGCTCCGTGTGCCCGGCACCGCCCTCCCCCCGCTCCCCAGCCGCCCCTCCCGCCCTGCCGTGCCCCTATAGACTCAGGACCCGGCTGGGCCTGGTTCAGCTCTGGTGGCGGAAGGGGGCGGAGCAGAGGCCGGCTGCCCCCCTAGGTCACTGTGTCCGCGGGACGTCTCTGTGGGGGCCGTTCTCACTGTGTGCTCGCGCCTTCAAGATGCCGTCCTCCTCAACAACATCGTGCAGAACTTCGGCATGCTGGACTTGGTGAAGAAGGTGCTGGCCAGCCACAAGTGCCAGATGGACCGCTCTCGGGAGCAGTACGCCCGAGACCTGGCAGGTACGTCGGGTGGCCAGGGCCTCCCTGGGCCCAGTGCTCCCGTGGCCGTCCCTGGTCACTGCCTGGTGGGACAGCTGCTCCTGAGAGAGCACAGGAGGCACAGTCTGGAGGGGGGAGGACCAGGCGAGCCTAGCGCCGTCTCACGGGGAAGCCAGCACGCAGGGCCTAGGTGGCCCGCCCTCGGCTCCCCTGCGACTGTTTACAGGAGAAAAGTGGGAGAGGTGAGGCCGCACCACTGGGGCCCCCAGAGTCACTCTCTGACGTGTTTGCTTCTCCTTCCTGGCGCTCCCAGGGTGCTCGTGTGCAGCAGGTGGCTCACGTGTGTGGTTTTGACCTATTTTGTATCTTCATGTTTCACAAAAGCAACTTTCTGTGTAGATGCTAGAAAGATCAGAAAGTTAGAATGGGGAAGGTCTGTTCTCATCTGGCAGGTCAGAGGCCGCCTTTGAGATGACATTTGTGTTTTCTCGGAGGGGCAGTCAGCACAGGCACCCCAGAGAGTGTCACTGGGGGAGACGGGGTGGGACAGGGACAGAGCATCACTGGTCAGGGTACATGTGTTTCTCTCCCTGTGTCGCACTGGCCTCTGCCCCCCCCCCCCCACCTGACTCCTCCTTTCCATAGTGTGCTCTGTCCCCTGTGTCCCCGTCCCCACAGTGACGCTGTGTGTCCCTCCCGCAGTGATGCTCTGTCCCCCATGTCCCCCTGTCCCCACACTGACGCTCTGTCCCATGTCCCCCATCCGCCCATGCAGTGACGCTTTGTCCCCCATGTCCCCCTGTCCTTGCAGTGACGCTCTGTCCCCCATGTCCCCCTGTCCCCGCAGTGATGCTCTGTCCCCCATGTCCCCCTGTCCCCACCGTGACGCTCTGTCCCATGTCCCCGTAGCCGCAGTGATGCTCTGTCCCGTGTCCCCGTCCCTGCAGTAACACTCTGTCCTGTGTCCCCCTGTCCTCGCAGTGATGCTTTGTCCCCCATGTCCCCCTGTTGCTGCAGTAACACTCTGTCCCATGTCCCTCTCTCCCCACAGTGACACACTGTCCCGTGTCCCCCTGTCCCCACAGTGACGCTCTGTCCCCCATGTCCCCCTGTTGCCGCAGTGACGCTCTGTCCCGTGTCCCCTCCACAATGAAACTCTGTCCCCCCGCCCCTCCCAGTGACACTCTGCCCCTGTCCGCCCACAGCCCTAGAGCAGCAGTGTGACGAGCACCGCCGTCGGGCCAAGGAACTCAAGCACAAATCTCAGCACCTCAGCAACGTGCTCATGACGCTGACCCCCGTCTCCCTGCCACCCCCCACGAAGCGGCCCCGGCTGGCAAGGGCCACGTCAGGGCCGGCTGCCATCGCTTCGCAGGTGCTCACCCAGTCTGCCCAGATCGCCCTCAGCCCCGGCGTGCCTGTCTCCCAGCTGACTGGCGTGCCGCTCGGCAAAGTGGTGTCCACCCTGCCATCCCCCGTGCTGGGCAAGGGACCCCCCCAGGCTGCTTCCGCCAGCTCTCCGGCCTCGCCCCTGCTCGGGGGCTACACAGTGTTGGCCTCATCGGGCACCACCTTCCCTAGCACCGTGGAGATCCACCCGGACGCGTCCAGCCTCACGGTCCTGAGCACAGCCGCCATGCAGGACGGCAGCACTGTGGTCAAGGTGGTGAGCCCCCTGCAGCTGCTCACCTTGCCGGGCCTGGGCCCCACCCTGCAGAACGTGGCCCAGGTGTCACCTGGGGGTAGCACCATCGTGACAGTGCCCACGGGGGCCGTCGAGAGCGCCGTGGCCGCCTCGGGGCCCGAGGAGCACACAGCCACCATTGAGGTGGCCGCCATGGCGGAGGGCCACGAGCACAAGTAGACGCTGGTGGAGGGCGAGGCCCCTCATGGGCACAGGGCTGGCCGCCTCTCCTCAAGCCCCGGCCGGCCGGGAGCACGGCACCGCCGCCCCGCGGGTCACGTCGGGCTGAACCAAAGAGAGGGAACACCAAACAGACGGAAGAGAAAGGGATCGCCAGCGACAGGCCTGTGCGGTCAGCCTCCCCCTCGAACTTCCTCCCCCTTTTCTTAGGAAATACATTCTTCCATCTGTGCTTATTGATACTGTTTACACGTTGGGCCTGATGAGGAGCCAGGCAGCGAGGACGAGGAGGCACCGCCGGGGAGCAGGGCGCGGACCCCGTGGATGCGAGGGGCCCCCGGGGGAGGGGGTATCACGAACACAAGTCTTGGGAACCGTCCCCAAGTGTGGAAACCCATGGATCCTATGGATTTGGTTTCTTCCCACAGTTTTCTGTAGGTTTAGCGGGTCCCGGCACCCTGATCTCCCGTCTCTGGAGCGGGCGCCGTGCTGCTGCAGGTCCACACGCGGCCCTGGGCAGGGGCGCCTGGGCACCCAGGGCTGGAGTGCCACTCCCAGGGCACCCGCCTGAGCAGAGGGCCCAGAGGCCCCAGCAGCTGAGTTTGCCGTCTGCCCACCTCCCTCCGCCCTGCAGGCGCTCGGGCCCCCGGGGGGGCCCCTGCACACGCGCAGTGGGTGTTTTTAAGTGAATTATTAGTAGGCTTCTAGGAAGAGTCAGATTTCTAGCATTTTCATCCTAAGCAATGCTGAGTGCCTAGGCTACCTGCATCGCTCTGGGCTCCAGAGTGCTCAGTACGAGGCAGCTGTGGGTGTGCGGCCCCGGGGCGACTGCGCTGGTGGTTCCTGCTGCTCCGGCGGTGAGCACTCGCCTGGCGGGCCGCCCGGAGGAGGGTGGCGGTGACGGTGGTGTGCCCCTGCGGCTTTTGTTCCGGGGGTGCGGGTGCGAACACAGCAAGACAGGAACCGAGGAGGGTCCGCGTGGGGCGAGGTGCTCCCACCTTTGGGGAGCTCGTCATCCACCCCGTGCTCAGCCTGCTGGCGGGGCCGCCGTGACAGCTCTAGCCCCTGGCCCTCCGGGACCCCCACCCAGGAGTGGAGGTGCACCCTGCTGGCTGGCACTGGTGCCCGAGGGCGTGTGGGGTGGCAGTCGGGTGGTCTGGACCAGGGTCTGTCACTGCGGGGCCACCCGGGGGCCGTGCTCAGGTCTGCTTGTGGACCCAGGAGGAAGAGCAGCAGGGGTCCCAGGGCCCGCCCGAGCCCTTGAGTGGACGTCCCCGCGGCCACGCTTCCCCCGGCGGCCAGTTCAGTTGCCTGCGGAAGACCCTTCTCTGCCGGAAGGGGACGGGGCTCCAGCGCAGCCACTGCCCTACTTTGTGCTTCGAAGGGAACTGGTCGTCTGTCTGTCCTTCCTTCCCAGGTGCCCCACACCTCCCCGAGTCTCCCAGGCGCTCCTTCCTGTTTTCTTTCTGTCACATACTTGTTTGCTGTGGTCACGGGTCAGCTGGTTTCAGCACGGTGTTTACCTGCTGCTTACGGAGTCCCGATGCCTGTGGCAGTGTGACCGCGGGGTGGGCGCGTCCTGTCCTGTCCTGTGCGTCTGCACCAGCTCGGGCAGTGCGAGAAAGCACATCTTGCCCTTGGGGCCTTTGTCAAAGTCAGACAAGCGGCCCCTTTGAAGCCGCCGCCCCCGCCGGCAGTCAGACCGCAGGGCTGGAGGGAAGTGCACATCCGAGCCATAGCACGGAAGCCCGCAGCTTCAGAAATAACTGCAGCCCCTCCCTCCACCTGGGCGGGGGGCGGGGGGACACCTGTGCCTGGCAGGGCCCCGAGCCCCGGCTGTCGGGGGGCCGCGGGGGCCGCCTGCACCCCTCCAGTCCCCGGGCGGGACCGCGGGCTGCTTCTGGGGAGCAGGACTGGACTTGGTTTCTCTCACGGCTGCCGGCCCAGAGGCAGCCTGGGGAAGGGAAGCATCCGGGTTCTACTTTGTATGTTTTGCAAGTATCTGCTTGGTACTTTGATTTACAGTAAAAACATTTTTCGTAACGTGTGTCCGAGTCTTGTGATGAGAGCTCGTGGAGGGGGCCATGGTGGTGCAGGTGCGTGTCCCACGCACACGGCGCTCAGGCCCTGCCACCTGCCCTGGGAGACTGTGGTCGGGGCCCAGGCCCTCCCTGTGTCCCTGAGGTCACCAGTGTTGTCGTGTCGGCACCATCCCCAGCCCCAGGAGGCCAGCAGAGTGTGTGCACGTCTTCACCCCAGAGGTGGTGCGTGTTTACCACAGGCTGCAGGTGACGCGAGGGGGTGACGCGAGGGATTCCCGCGGGGGGCATGCAGTGGACGGCCTGACCCCCTTCTCACACAGGGGAGGAGGTTGAGCTACTTGGCATGAGAGGGTGCACAGCCTGGCAGTGAGCGGGCTGCCTACCCCTGGTGGGGAGCTGCCGCCAGGACCGAGAAGCAGCAGGGGTGACCCCCACGGGCAGCCAGGGGGCCTGTGTGGGCCCCGGGAGCAGGGTATCGTCTGCAGGGGGTCTGCAGGCTCTGTTGTACCCTCCACCTCTTGCCCGCTGCAGCCCCTTCTGGGGCTCCCTTGACCACCAGACGCCTGCTGCAGTGCTCTGAAGACTCCCCACTCCTCTCAGGCCCCGCACCCAGGGGTCCCCTCGCCCTTGTTGGTGAAGCGTGTGGGGAGTCCCTGCCGCTGCCCTCCCTGTGTGGAGACCCCCCCCCCCAGCCACCGCCGGCTCAGGAGCACCGCAAGCCCCGACGGCGGCCGCTCCCCACCCCTGCATCCTCGTCCTCGGCTGTGGAGCAGTGGGTAGTGGGGCCTGCCCTGGGGACGTCCGGGAGCTGGGCCTGTGAAGCTGGTGGGTCTGTGTCCTGTGGCCTAGGGGGCCACCCAACAGGAAGGGTCGGGAGGGAAAGCGGTCAGGGAGGTACTAACGAGCACAGCCCTCTCCTGGGGCGGAGGGGACGAGAGGGAGTCCAGGCAGTGTCCGTGCTCCGGTGACCTGGAGAGGCCATCGCTGGAAGGTGGGCAGCAGGGTCACTGCTGGTGTCACAGCTCCTGCGGATTTGGACAAACATACGAAGACGTGTTTCACCCCATCATCCGGCCCTGAGGCCCTCTGAGCCACAGAGGGGCCGCTCGTAGTAAAAGCAGCACTTAGGAAACTCTGGTTGTGATGCTGGTCCAAAAAGCTTGAAGACCACTCTGTGCTGGATCCCCTCTTGCATTAAGCCGTGTTCCTATATCTATTTATTTTGTGGATGGTTTTTTTTTTCTCCTAAATTCTAGATCATCTGAAGTTGATACTGCTGTGCCAGTGTTGACTTACTTATGCTTGGTTGGTAGATGCCTGGCGTATCTTTTTCCTTTTTTATTTTTGACTGTATTAGGCTTTTGCGTTTTGGTGCATCTCTGGCACCCCTGACTTCCCTTCTTTGAAAATCCTCTCTCAGATTCTCAATCTCTTGATAGGATGTAGTCCTTTTACGTCTATTGTACTGATGTGTTTGGGTCCAGGTCTCTTACCAAGTTGACTAGGGGCCGAAGTGTTTGTGACGAGTTGCCTCGTGCTCTTCTGCTTTCCTCCCTTTTTCCCTAGCGTGTGGGTCGCTCAGCTCTCTTCTGCCTGATGGCTTTACACCATGTCCGCAGATTCTAGGACACCCGTCCCACAGAAGGTGGAGGTGGACCTTCCTCCCTTTGCTGTGAGTTGGGCTTAGTGACTCACGTTTCAAGACCGGGACGAGGCAAAGGTCTTCCAGGGCCGTGACTTCTGGGGCTGGGCCTGGGATGGGCAACGGTAGATCCACCTGCCGTTTTCCGTGTCTCAGAACGCGGCTGGTCCGCAGCATGGGGGGCCAGGCTGGAGAGACCACGTAAGACAGAGACAGCCTCAAGGAGCCCCCGCGCTCCCAGCCGTGGCCCACGTGCCAGACGTGGAGTGAGGGGTCTCGGATGACCCCAACCATGGAACAGGAGTCTTCGGGCCGACGCTCTGGACACTGGAGCTGGCCCCGTGCTGGTTCCAACCCACAGACCTCAGGAGCATAATACATGGTGGGTTGATTTCAGTGAGTTTTGGGGTCCCTTGTCAGGCACCCATATAACATCGTGGGACATACTTGTGTACATCAGCTTCTCCATCTGAGCCACGTCTGGGTCCTACTCTCCGTTTGGTGGCCTGGGGAGGGGGCTGTCCCGTGGTTTCCTGTCTGCTGGAACAGCTCAGCTGGACACTCATCTGCAAGACAGTTTTGCTGTAGCCTCAGCCAGGCCCTGTGGTTTCCAGATGAGACTCTACGTGACCGTTCTGTGCTTAGGGAGCCTGCACCACGAGGGCGGGATGAGTCCGTAATCCTCTGACCTTGTGATCATTTCTCTTTCTGGAGCTTCATCTACATGGAGTCATGCACTAAGTATTCTCTCAGGCCGGGATGCTTTTGCTCAACAGAACATCCCTCGGATCCATCCACACTCTCGTGAGCGTCGGCGGCAATGCTGTGGCTTCCTGAGTGGAGTGTCATTGTACACACGCCAGAATTTGTTTACCCAGTGGCCTGATTGTGAATGTTTGCGTTGTCTCCAGATTTTGGCTACAATGAACCCACAGGCCCAAGGACCAGGACAGCCACCAGCCCCTGCAACCGCAGGAGGAGCTCCGCTGACCAGGCCTCGCCAGGAATGATGATGCAGGGCGCCCGCAGGGCAGGTGGTGGAGCATCCAGCTGCTGGTTTTAGCTTAGGTCCTGATCTCAGGGTCATGAGATGGAGCCCCGGGTCAGGCTACGTGCTGGGCGTGGAGTCTGCTTGAGATTTTCTCCCTCAGCCTGTCCTCACTTGTCCGCTCTCTGTCTGTCTCTGAAAGAAGAAGGAGCAGGGGAAGGAGCAGGAGCAGCATGTTGCTCTCTCTTGGGTAGACACCTGGGAGCTCATCTAACCTTATCAGAAACCACCAAACTGGGATCCCTGGGTGGCTCAGCGGTTTAGTGCCTTCCTTTGGCCCAGGGCATGATCCTGGGGTCCCGGGATCGAGTCCCGCATCGGGCTCCCTGCATGGAGCCTGCCTCTCCCTCTGCCTGTGTCTCTGCCTCTCTCTCTCTCTGTCTGTCTCTCATGGGTAAATGAATAAAATCTTAAAAAAAAAAAAAAAAAAGAAGAAGAAACCACCAAACTGTTTTCCAAGTCTTCTCAGAGTCAGCCGCTCTTCTGTAGTCTGAGTGGCATCTCACTTGATCTGCATTTCCCTGGTGACCAGTGATGTCGGGCACTTTTTAAAAAAGAATTTATTAATTTATTGGAGAGAGATTAAGAGCACAGCAGGGAGAGGGTCAGAGGCAGAGGGAGAAGCAGGCTCCCCACTGAGCAGGGAGCCCGACCAGGACTCGACCCCAGGACCCTGGGACCATGACCTGAGCTGAAGGCATGTTGGGCCCCTTTTTAACGGGCTTGTGGTCATTTGCATATTTTCCTGTATGAAGCATGTGTTCAAATATTTGTTCATTTTTTAAAAGAATGCTTTAAAAATACTGAGTTTTTAAGATTAAGAAAAATAATCTGCATAGAGCTCTTCATCAGGTATGTGTATTTTGAATATTTTCCTTCAGCCCGTGTCTTGCTTTTTCATGTTTCTCACTGGTGTCTTTGAAGAACAGAGATTTTTGATTATTCATGAAATGCAGTTTATCAACTTTTTTTTTTGAAAGGGAATTTTTTTTTTATGGATTTTATATATTCATGTGAGACACACAGAGAGAGAGAGAGAGAGAGAGAGAGAGAGAGAGAGAGAGAGAGAGAAAGAAGCAGGCTCCATGCAGGGAGCCCGATGCGGGACTCGATCCCAGGACCAGGATCACGCCCTGGGCTGAAGACGGCCCTAAACCACTGAGCCACCAGGCCTGCCCCAACTTTTTCTTTTATGTGAGCACCTCTCCTGTTCTTTTAAAGAGTATTTGCCTACCCGGAGGCTGTGGTGATTTCTTCTGTTCTCTTGTAGAACCCTTAGCCTCGGGCCCTGACACTGAGGTGGTCCACGCGGAGTGAGTGTGGTGTGAGGGAGGGCTGGGGTCCACTCCGTCCTCGTCCTCGGCAGAGCCGTCCCTGCCCTGGTGCCGTTGGAGAAGACGGGCTGCGGGTCAGGCCTGGGCGCTCTCCTGACCTTTGCAGCTGGGCCGGGCCAGCATCCCACGGTTCTGGATGGTTCTGGATGGCGGGCGACTTCCCGCGGCTCCGCAGCCTGCCCAGCGCCTGCCATGCAATCAGCCTTCCTTGTCCTGAACTTTCTCTTTACAAGAACAAGCCAGGTCCTGGAGGCAACGGGTGGCTGGGGACTGGACTTTGCCTGGGAGGGGACAGGGCGAGCTGGCTGTGAGCTGAGGAGGGAGGCCCAGGGCCTCTGCCCCCCCTTCCCCCCCCACGCTGGCCTCCCACCCTCCAGCCCGCATCCTGAGCCGGGGCTTCTGCTCTGCCCCCAGTGGGTAGGAGGTGGAGGCAGGTACAGCCCGAGGGAGCACACCGCGTGTCCAGCCGAGGGGAGGGGTCCGGTGCCGGGATCTAGGGCAGGTGTGTGACGTCCCCAGAGGCCAGTCCTCCAACAGGAGCGGCTCCTCCCTTGCAGGGCTTGCCGGCACGCCCTCCACCTGCGGGGAGGCGCCCTGCCCCCAACGGGTGACCCTAGAGGACCCAGTGGGGAGGAGTCTGACTTGTGCGCTCTGTGCCAGGCTGGCCAGCTCCTCCCCCACATGGGGGCTCGGGGGCTGTCCTCAGTCTTCACCACGGCCCTCCTCGTCACTCTGCACAGCTCACTCTCAGGGGCTCCAGGAAGGGTTCCAGGCTCGAGGTGCGGGTGCAGGGGGGGAGGGGGCGGCGCAGGGCAGCCACGCGGTCGGGTGGGGGCGGGGAGAGCAGCTGGGACAACGAGCTGTGTAGACCTTTCCTGGGATGAGACCTCCCCCTCCCCTGCCCCCAGGTCAGGTGGGATGAGGGCCCCTCCACAGACCCTCCAGGCTGTGCCCTGGGAGCCTCCCACTCCTAGACT